CCCGCCGCCTCGCCCTCTGTCGTTGTCCCCAAGACCATCAAGGCGAATGGCACCGACGACGGACCCTCGGTCGAGTTCATCCGCTGGACCAAGCAGGCGCTGCAGGGTCTCTCCGTCCCCGTCGACGAGTTCATCACCATGCTTCTCCAGTTCCCCATCGACCCTCCGGCCAGCGCGCGCGCGGACCAGCTCGAGATCATTGCCGACTCGGTGTACGCGAGCTCGTCGACGCTCGACGGCCGCCGCTTCGCGCAGGAGTTCTTCACCCGCCGCAAGCAGGACGCGCAGCGCGCCGCCTCCGGCCGCCCCGTCCAGAAGGTGTCCTCGCTCGCTGACGTCGTCAAGACGCAGCCCAAGCAGGCCTCCTCGGACCTCGGCTTCAAGGTCGTCAAGAAGAAGGGCAAGAAGGCCTAAGCACCATCTACCATAAAAGCAGTACCATAGCGGCAGGGAGTCGTAGCGGAGGATGAGCATAGCATGCTATAATGCAATTATGTATCAATGCACAATTCAGAAAGTACAGAGGCAGAAAAGGTGTTGTCGTCAGTCGTCGTTGATGTCGTCCCAGTCGTCTTCCTCGACGTTGAACCCGAGCAGAGCGGGGTCGACGCCGAGCTTGCTCAGCATCGTGCCACGGTTCCACGGCTGGACCTCAGGGGGCGCTCTGCGATGTCAGCTCAGACTCAGACGGCTAATCAGCTCACGGTACATCGTCGTCTGTCAAGATACGCGGCCGCTTTGCCTCGACCACCCTCCCCCCTCCGCGCGGCAAGAGATCATCAAGCGCCACATCATCCTGGAGGGGTACCCCTTCCGGATCAACAATCTCCCCATTCTTGACCGCACACTCATCACGAATAAAAGCGACACAAGCGCGGGACACAGGCTCAGTGAAAGTCTCGTTCCATCCCCATCCCCACCCCGAAGACCTTCCTTTACTCCTCTGCGGCAACTCGGGCTCAGGCTCCGGAATCATCCGGAACAGACGCTCAGTCACCTCCCTCCCTGCCGCGCGCCACTGCTGGATCAGCGCGACGACGCGCTCGTCCTCCCCACACGCCGAGGCTTGCTTCAATACACGCACGCGCTGTTCCAGACTCGCGATGAGCTCGGCGTCAGGTCCCCGACGGCGGCGGGAGGAGCGCGAGGGCTCAGAGTCAGAGGAGGCGGAGGACGGGCCGGGGGGCTTGAACTTGGCGTTGAGGCGGCGGGAGCTTGTCGAGTGCTGCGAGCGCTGCGAGCTGAGGGAGCGGGGGAGAGGCGAGGGAGACGGCGAGGAGAGCTTGGGCGGTAACTTGTTCGGCCACTCGATCTGCGGGATAGGTAGGGCGGGGGAGGAGACGGGGAAAGGCAGTGGCGACTCGGGCTTGCGTTTCGCGCCACGCAGCACGATGCGGGCAGGCGACTTGAACGGACGCTTCAGCACTTTGGCGGTGTCGACCTGCGGTTAGCTCCATGGCCAGAAGTTCTTAGCTTACAGGCTCAGCTGCGGGGCGCTTGTGCATGCCCTGGTGTCGGACTCCAGTGGAGGGTTCGTCTTCCTCGGAGGGCTGCTTGTCTTCCTCGGCGACGGTTGGCGGCGTGGCGTCGGGAGGAGGCGGCTCGTCCTCGTCAACGGGCATGATCACGGTCGACTCGATTGGGGGCTCGGGAGAGTCCACATCCATGAGCTGAGTCTCGAGGGTGATTCCTGTAGAAGAAGGCTCCATCACCTCCTCAGAAGTGGCTTCCTCGAACGTACAGAGCGGTGGGAAAGCAGCGGGGAGGGAGAGGAGGCGAGGAAGGCGGTTCTCATCGCGAAGGAGAGCTGTCACATGTGGGTTGAGCGTGTAGAGGGGCTCCTCCTCGGCAGGCGGAGCGTAAGATGGAGGCGGATGCCAGAGCACAAGCGACCAGGAAGACATGATGAATGTTGCGGTTGCAAGAGATGGGCGCGCCGATCAGTACACATCCCCCTGTGTGCCAGAGGGCGAGGAAGACAGTTCCGCTGCCACTAGCTGACGGTGGAGAACTGAGACATTCGGCACTCAATATAACCATAGCCCCAGCTCCGCAGCACGCAGCCCGTCATGATGATAGTCTATGCATACAGTTCTAAGCTCCAAACACCTCGAGCGCAATCGAGAACGCCTTGCCCTCCACGTTCTGAGCGCTGAGCACAGGAACGGGGACGAAGTGAATGTTGAAGTGATCCATCGTTTTCGTGACGAGGCCGTCTGCTATTAGTTCCTGACCTAGGCCTGTGAACTTACAAAGCTTCGGCGAGGTTGAGGGGGCGTAGTACATCTTCACAGAGACGACGTCCTCGCCGGATGTGAGCATCATCGAGACTTGTTTTAGGTCCGCATCGTCTGGGGTGTTAGTTCGGCCGGGACAGTTGAACATACTGTCGAGGAAGATCGCCCGCCTCGAACCTTGTCGGGACGACGGCGCCTTGCACTCTTGACGGTACGCGGACTGCGTCTCGGTGTGGCTGTACTTCGGCGACGGGTCCTCGTCATCGCTGTCGTCGTCGTCATCATCGTTGGAGGTGGCAGTGGCAGCCTCGGCGCCTGGTCGGCCGGTGTGAGCATTGACCTGATATTCGACCAGCGCGCAGCGCGGGAGCTCCTTCGCTTCAACAAAGATCGCGGGGGCACCGACACAGTCGTTCTGGATGTCAGTTATCCAGTAGCTTCGGAAAACTCACCTCCTCCGCCCACGCCTTCCATGCTCTCCGAGCGACGTCCGGCCCCTCGCAGCCCAGACCCTTCGGCCGAGCCCACCAGCACACACAGCTCTCGATCCATCCCGTCCATCCGCCTCCGGTCGAGTTCGGGTTCCTCAGCACGTCGATGATGCGCCCAACGTGCTGCAGTGCGAGAGCAGCTTGGTGCGGATACGGGCTGGCCGGAGCGGCGGGGAACGGCGCAAACGTGAGCGACGGCGGCTGCAATGGGATTTGGCCGGCGATATGCAGTCGAGAGTTCACCTGAACGTCAGCTTCTGGGGACACTAGTAAGCTCACGGTAACAGCCTGCGAGTAGGGGCCAATGTTGGCCGGCGCCCAGTAGCTAAGACCTTGAATGTGGAGAGCTGTGCGTCCTCCGATGGGTGCGTCTTCAGCCTGGTCATCAAAACCGATCACCTCGATGCGTATCCGCTCGCCTTCCGGGAGCGGCACGGCGACACACGCCCGTGACGGTGGGGATGTACCGAAGTACTTGACGTATGCGGTGTTAGCCTCGGGGAAGAGGTCCATAGAGGAGAGAAGAAGTGTGATGTGAGTCGAGTGCAGGGGAAGAGAGAGATTCTGACTTTTCAGTCGCGCTGGAGTCAGTTTACCATCTTGAGCTCTCAAACTTACACTTGATCGCATCAAGCGCCCCCACAACCTCGTCCTTCACGGAAGGCGCACTAGCGGACTGACCCTCAGCAGAGACTGCAAACCACCTTCCCCGTCGCCCAAACCTAACTCCTCGGGGTGAAGCATCAACAGCGCATAGTGATGTGCCCGCCAGCTGCTCTGTGACGGAAGCAGCGTCGTCGTCCTGGGCTGTCACGGAGTCGATAGCCTCTAGTACCTCGAGGCCCTTCTCGTCCAGACCCTCCTTGCCCTCGTCGCCCGCGTCGAGCTCTAGGAGTTCCCGGAGCTCAGCGACTGTCGGCTTCACCCATCCTTCCTTCGGCTCGAGCACAGCCTTCGAGATGCGTAGGTAGGCGACGGGGAACGGCTCTGGCTCAGACTCGATGATCTCGGACTCGACGAAGTTGATGCGACTGCTGAAGAGTGGACAGTCGACAGTGAGAGTCTCATACTCGCCACCTTCACCCGCGGGATGGGCACCGAACTGCATTTGCTGAGGTTAGTTCAGGAAAGCCGATGTTCAAACTCACCAACCGTGTTAGCAGTGGCAGCAGTTGCCCGAGCGACTTGCCGACCTGCCTCTGGCCGAGACCGATTCCAGCGACTTTGACGAGAACAGCTTCCAATCCGCTGCTGACCATCCGCGTCACGAGAGGAAGCTGCTCGCTCTGCCACAAGTACGCCAGCGACGTGAGGCCGAGGCGCTGGCAGACATGCTCGATGCGCAGACGTTGGTAGTTGGAAAGGATGGCGCCCGACGAGATAGCGGTGACTTCCGGGTGTTCGGCCTGAGTGTGTCAGCTCTGCATGGCAAGGGGGGCTCACAATGATTGTCTTCAGCAGAGCAGTCAAATCCTCGGTTTCGTCACCTTCCTGCCCGGACACCTCGCCGCCATGCTCGCGTGACCCGTACTCCGCACCCTGCTCGACAGCACCACCCTTGATGACACGAGTGTAGTGCGGGAGACCCATCGCCTCAGCAATAAGCGGCGGAATCGTTGTTCCAACCGACTGGTACATGTGCGAGTCGATCTCGTCTGATGGTTAGCTCAAAACAGCAGATAGCTCACCGATACCCGGCTCAGGGGTGAGGGTTGCAAGGGCAACGATCTCGTGTCCGTTGGCGACGGTGTGCATCATGTTGAAGCAGCTGTCCTTGCCACCGGAGACAAGCCCGATGACCTTGTGCTTGACTCCGGGCAGCTTGGACGCCGCATCTGCTCCAGACATGGCTTTGTTGATGGGGTGTGTTGATGACTGTGGAATTTTGGACGACCTCCACCAAGGTACCCCGAGGTGATGCTCTGGATATCTCAGCTCAGATCACTTTCAGGGCGCAGCCACTCAAGCCACGTGCAGGCGAAAGTTCCCGCCCCGATCGACTGTGCGGCTGCACGCTGAGACTTGCCGCGAGCAGGAACAGACCAGGCAACAGACCATCACCGTCAACGCAACTTTGTTTCGACTTTTCATCCCAGCACACGCCGTACACCATGTCGCCTCCGAACGGCTCACCGGCCCCGCTGGCGCAATGGCACGCCGTGACGCCGCTCACACGGCCGCTGTCCATTTCCATTCTCGAACTCGCGCCGACATCGGTTACGCTTGCTCTGACGCGTTCGCCTCCCACCCCGCCAAGTCTGAACCCGGCGCAGCACTTGGCACAGTCGCACGCGCACCACCACGCCCACTCCGGATCAGCATCCTCGTCACACAACGGCGGAGGAAGCAGCTCAAAGAACAAAAAGAAGAAGAAACGCAACGCTGCCTCTAATCTGCAACATTCCACCTCGAACGCCGCCGATAGCGAAGACGGCGCCGATGACGATGGGGATGAGAGCGGATCACAGAGCGTCACAACAGGACCTTCCCCGCTCGCATCTTTGCTCGGGGAAGGGCAGACGTTCAAGGACATGCTCTCTCACGGCGTTGTTGTGACGCTTGATGGCATGCCGTGGTCGCGCATAGTGGCACATGTAAGCGACGACGAGGCGGACGGAGAGGGAACGACGGGACAGGGTGACGAGCAGGACGAGGATGGAGAATGGGAGGACGACTGGGAGCCGGCAGGCGGAACCGATGCGGCCGCCGATGAGGGCCAAGCCAATACGACATCCTCGGCACGACCGGCAGCCAGGCGAAGAAAGCGAAAGGGCCCTCAAGGCTCAAACGACAGCGGTCGCGTGCATGTTCCCCGCCCAATCCGAACCAAAGACACGCAAGACCGACCTCAACGATGGGATCGAGAACGTGCAGTCGTCGTTGTTTACGACCTCGACCCCTCGCAAGAGCACGAGATCGAGCTCCAAATTGTCGGACTCGCAGGGGAGATCAAGGACAACGGTGAGAGCATCCGTTTCGACAGTGGCTAACATCTTCAGTCCCGGTCTCCAACTCGGTTCTGATCCCACCAGCATCGCCCTCCGCAGCCACTCTTCACCCGAGGTCACGCGCCAACTCCTTGCGTTCTCGATCTCGGCCACGGTCGCGATCTAACTCTGTCAACACGGCTGCCCCGACAGGCGCCGGGCCCTCACCGTTGGGAACGGAGGTGCCTGCCTCGCCAAACCGATCTTCGACACCGATCAACGACCAGCCAGTTGCTGTGACGTCCATCCTTAGCCCACATGATGCGCAGATTGCGCAGACTCGCCACCTCATCACGGCTGCGCACGCTGAACGCGAACACCTGCAGAATCAAATCAAGGAGGCGCGCAAGACGGCGCAGCGATCGGAAGCTGCTCTTCGAACGGACATCGAGTCAATGAAGAAGAGCAATGAGAAGGCCGGTGCCAACGATCAGCGCAATAAGCAGAAGTACCTCGCCCTGCAGGAGCAAGTCAAGCAAGGATGGGCTGGAGCCGAGGCCGCAAACAAGGAAGCGGACGACGTCAAGGCCAGCACGCCCGAGCTGGAGAAGAAGCTCGAGACCGTCACGAAGGATCTCGAATCAGTGCGTAAAGACTGGTCTACAGCTCAGGAGGAGGAGGAAGAGGCTAAGGAGGCCGATAAGAAGAGCCGAGCGGAGGAGGACAAGAAGCTTGCCGACGTCACCAACAAGATTGACAAGCTCAAGGTGAAGAAGGAGAAGAAGGAGGCCGAGCGCGCCGAGCTTCAGAAGCGATTGGATGAGCTAGAGAAGCAGCGCGAGGAGGTTGAGCGCAAGACGGAAGAGGAGCGCAACCTCCGTAAGCAGGGATACTACCCTGGTGTTAACCGCTGGGAGCACGGCAGCGGAGACTTCAATGCCTCGGGAGGGTTTGAGGGCGGTCGTCCCGGACCGGGAGGCTATGGTGCCCCTCCCTTCCGACCTCGCGGTGGATACCCCCGCTTCCCGTCGGGTGGCCGAGGTCAAGGCAAAGGCTTCTACGGTAACACTCCTCCGTCGCCCGCTTGGAACGCTCAGATGGCGAAGCCGAACCGCCCGCCTGGAGGCACAGGCCCAAACCCGTCTGCCGCGCCGTTCATGCCATCTGGCAATTTCAACACCAACGATCCCTCGCTCCATACTGCCCTCATGCCGCCGCAGCTGCAGCACCGCATCTACCTCCCCAACAGCGTGCGCCCGCGCCCCACCCCCAATTTCCATCCTCCTCCCAGTGTGTTAGCGGAGCAGGCGCAGCAGAACAGCAACCTACCTCCAGCGTCGACGAAGGCGGCTGGTTCGGGCGCAGCGTTCCCACCTCTCCCCACGACAGCGCCCCAGCGCCCGAACAGCGCTCAGCAAGGTCCGAGTCTCGCCTCGATCGTCACGCGGGCCGTCCTTGCTCCCACCAGTACGCTTGCATCGCCCGCGCAGAGTGGCACCCCAGCCAGCCCGACCGCCTCGAGCCCCGCGCCTGGCAGTAGCGGTAAGAGCTCCGTATCCCCCAAACTGTCACACCCGCAATTCCAGCAGCAGAGAGGCGAGTTCCCGCCGTTGTCTCCCTCAGCACCAGCTTTCACGTCTCCCAATGTTCCGAATGGGCGGACGTCGTCGCCTCCGCGGACGTCGCCAGGCTCCGGTTGGGGTGCTGTAGGTACGCCCCCGGCGGCTACGGAGTAGAGACATACACTTGTTAATTTTAGATCTACGCATCTAACCATGTACACATAGCCATGACATTCTCATTGCATCAGACCCTCAGTAAGCAGGAGCGCACAGCTCTCACGGAGATCTGGCGAGCATCACGATGCAGGTCGGTGTCCAAAGAACTCGGGATCCTGACTAATGCAGGGACTAATGACCGGAGGAAGGGTTTCCAATGAACCCCCCACACAGCGCGAGAGAGTGTGAATACCGGCACAGCCCCGCGGACATGTAGGTACATAGGTACGACTTCCGAGTAGCCAACGCAAGCTGATAATGCTATGACCCCTGTGGTCCCTTAAGAAAACAAGCCTAGAACGCTTGGGACATGACTATTCTTGACATCGCAACATTCGCCTTCACCTCTCGGCGCATGTCATCATGATCGCCACCGCTCTCTCCGCCCTCATCGCTGCGCCTGCAGCCTGCGCCGGTACCTACCCCATCGTCGACTCTTACGCCGGCGAGAAGTTCTTGTGAGTGTGCGATCGGCGAGTGTGCGATCGGCGACTGGCGATCCGCGATCCGCAGCGACCAGACCATGCATTCCGACTGCGAACGGCTGGATGCCATCGGATTCGGCCCGGATGGGCTGAAGTTGAACTCTCGAGCACGCTGTCCCCCGTATGCTTCATGGGAGTACGAAGCTTTCGGATGTCGACCCCCCGTCACGCAGCCGATTTGAGTGTGCGAACCACCCTGCTAACTTCAGCGACGGATGGAACATCCCCAAGGCGCAGACGGCCGGTATCCCTCCCTGGGATGACACCACCAGGTAAGCTGGCAGGCGCGGCTTGTTATCTGACATTCGCAGCGGTGATGTCTTCTGGGCGGCCAAGGACAACAGCTCCGTCTTCTCGGTCAACGAGGCCGGCCGTGTTATTTTGAAGGGTTCGTAGCCGATGTTGCCGGCCATCTCGCCAGGCACGACCAGGATGACCTCAGTAGCTGACCTCCAGTCGACAACGAGTCCTTCGTCCCTTACAACGAGAAGCGTTTCGCTCCCAAGCTGGAGGTGAGTGCTGAGGAGTGTGCACACTGGAGTAGCTTGGAAATGGTGGGGAGAGGACGCCGGCAGAGTGCGCCCTCACCCAACCAACTACTGAGCCCAGGCAGCCACAGACCTGAAACAACTGAATTGTTTACTGACGGGGCCAGTCGAAGCATGCTTACCAGTTTGACACCGTGTTCGTCATGGACGCCGTCAAGGTGCCGTACGGCTGCGGTGTCTGGCCGGCCTTCTGGACCGCCGCGCTCGGCACCTGGCCCGATGGAGGCGAGATCGACATCTTCGAGGGTGTCAACCGTCAGGAGACGAACCAGTACGCTGTCCACACCGCGGGCGAGGGGTGCTACGCCGACTTTAGCGTGCAGATGCTCGGCGAGCCGGGTGTGGACAACTGCTCGATCGGCGCGAACTATGGCGCGGGCTGCACTGTGAAGGATAGAAACCAGAACAGCTACGGACCCGCGTTCGCGCAGGCCGGCGGTGGTGCTTACATCATGGAGTTCACGAAGGAGTTCATCAAGATCTGGTTCAAGACGCGTTCTGAGGTGCCGCAGTCGATGACCACTGATGCCAAGGAGATCAACACCGACGAGCTGGGCGAGCCGACGGCGTTCTACCCCAACACGCGTTGCAACATTGAGAGGTTCTTCAAGCCGCAGTCGGTCATCATCGACATCACCATGTGCGGTGTCTGGGCTGGTGTTAAGAGCACTCTGCAGCAGACCTGCCCGCCTCTCGGTGAACGTGGGTTCGACCTTGACGTCCCTCTGGATAAGCGAGTCCTGAGCGCTAATAGCACAGAGGAGAGCTGCTACCTCAAGTATGTCATCAACGACCAGAAGGACCACCTCAAGGACGCGTACTTTGAGCTCAACTACATCAACATTTTCTCCAAGGCTGATGTCATTGGAGGCGACTCTGACGACAAGAAGGACAGCAAGGAGAACGAGAACAAGGACAACAATGGCAACAAGGACAACAAGGACGGAGAGTCCAAGACGTCCTCGGCGAGCAGCCCTGGTACCACCGGTAGTGGCGGTGAGATCATCGGTGCTAGCAACAGCGGCGCCTCGCAGACTGGGCCCGTTGCGGTCGCTGCCGGCGTTCTCGGTGCGGCCGTTGCGCTCCTGCTCTAGATAGCTAGACGCTAGACTGTCTAGACCCCCTCCATATCTATGTTCAACGAATCTATACATATCCGTAGAACGCTCGCTTTACACCTGCTACGACTTCCCTTTAGTTTACGAATAGGACTATGCATATCTCCTGGACTACGCATTATCTGGTTCAGTTATGGCACTTGTCGGTATCCCAGTCCTCGCACGTGGCGTAGTAGCTCTTCTTGTCGCCTTGCGCGTACTTGTCGCAGAACTCCTTGGTCAGTGTCGAGAAACCGGGAATCTTGGGGCAGTGCTGGCAGCACCCGCCCCAGCAGTCGGTCGCGTATCTGGCCATCGGCCCCTGGGCGTGGACAAACTGGATGATCGCCGAGCGTTCCACACTGTCGTTACTGTAAGTGAGGAAGAAGCCGCGCTGATACATCATGCGCTGGCTGCCGAGAGCGACAAAGCATGCACCTGAATCCTGTCAGCTACCACTCCCTCCATGCTACTCACCCTTCGAGGCCCTCCACTTGTCAGCGCACCTGGCCGAGTCCGGGAGGTCGGACTGCTTGTAACACGCCTTCCACTCGAGGCCGCGGCTGTGCGCAAACTGGCGTACCAAATGCTGGAGTTGCTTCACGGAGAAGGGGATAGAGAAGGACTCGCACAGTTCCTCCTCCTTTTGGAGCTTCAAAGGATCGCTCCTTCCCCCGGTGTTCAGGTACTCGTTTCCAACGCAAGTGGTCGGCACGGAGCCGCTCAGGAACGTCCCCGACTCGATCACTGTCCAAGTGTACCCGGCACCGTTGTCTTGGAGGTATTGGTTCCAGCACTGCATGGAGGACGTTGGTCCCTCGAGCTGCCTCTTCCTGAGCTCCGGGCCCACGAACAGGGTGGTGTTCCACGGCCCGCCGACGCGCGCCTCCTCACGTTTAATCTTTGCCAGGCCTTCGCGGATGACAGTGGCCAGGTCCACGTCCGCATGGTACGTCTCGTCCCAGTGATACGCTACACCGTCGGTCGTCTGCAAGCCCTCGGAGCGACGCCACAGCCCGTCAGCGCCCCGCTCAGACCCGCTGGGGAGGTCGCGCTTCGGCAAGTCGGCAACCGTGTCGCGGAAGGAGACGTGGATGTCCTCACCGTCGACGTCGAAATACTGGCCATCCTTGACGAGGCGGCGCAGATGGTGGTGGGACGAGATGCTGCTGAGCTCGTCGACACTGCGCTTGGCCAACCTCTGGCGAAGAGGTGCCACAGCACTGCGACGGGACACGTCGAAGTCCTCAACGGTCACCTTCTGGCGGGTGTCGAGTTCGCCAGTAAGCGTCATGCCGTACGCCTCGCCTTCGTCCTTCCAGGACCCGAATGCCTTGCCCTGGCGCGCACACTGCTCGATCAGCTCCTGCGTCGCGCGCCAGCAGTTGTCAAAGTTCCTGCCCTTCTCGTCGATGCGTCCGTAGAAGAAGGCGGGCTTGAGCGGGCCCGACTTGCGCCGGTCATACTCCTTCTCCCTTCCGAACTCGTTCTTGCCGGACCAGTAGCTCTCCTGCGCTTCCCCGTTGTTGAAGGCGCCGCGCGGGTTGCTGCAGAAGGTCTCGCGCTGCGCCCAGGCCTTTTTCTCGTCCCACTTGCTCAGCTCGCCGCAGCACATCATCTCGGCGACGGCCGGCTGGGCGATGGCGATTATCGCTGTCAATAATGAGAGTAGGACCATGGCTGTTGATGAACTGCACCGTCAGTGAAAGGGGCGCTGAAAAGCTCACTTTTGTCGAACCAGCGACTTGTTGCAGTTGCCGTGGGCGAGGCATTCCTTCTGCGTCTTTTATATCCTGCACCTGTGCTTCTCTATCCTCCGAAGTCTGGCGCTCGGTGCAGCCAGCCGTTCACTCTCGCCACTGGCTCCGGAACAGTCGGCCACTCCTCTCTTTATGCAGACCATTTCAGACCCGTACATCCGTACGCTGTCCAGGGCGACGCCGTCCGCGAAGTGGCACTGGAGGAAGACGTCGTTTCACATTCCAATCAAACTGGCGTTTCCAAAACCAATCAGACTCACACGCCGTTCTGACTGTGTTGTTGTCGTCCGAGCACGTTGTACTTAGCATAGCCTGATGACACTGGTCTCAAAGCGGGACAATCGCTATTTGATGCGGTCTCGGAGCAGACACAATCGCTGCGAGGACGAATCGGGGATGACGGAGGTCAAGAACTGGGTCATTTCTCTCGGTGAGGCAGTGAGCAATGTCTTTAGTCCTGTCGCTGGCAGACTTGAACAAAGAGACATAGCAGTGTGTTCAAGGCCGTGAGCGGGGTTGGAGATCTTGAGTAAACTTGCGTATGTCACACCTGCGGGGCTATGGTGCGGCAAACTGTCCCGTGAGAGCTTCCCGCAAGTGCGTTAGTCATCTGCAGTGCCAGCCACTCCGATGTGTCTGGTAGCCGTCGGACGTACGTTAGTGGTTCTGTAAGTGGGCAGTGACGCAACCTGGCCACAGGCCAGTGGAATGAATAATGCGTACATTTACAACGGCTCGATGCCCAGTCCCTCAACGGCGCCCCGCACCTCCATTTCCCAGAACGTGTGAAGATCCCATCCGCCGCCGCGGACCTTCTTGTCCCGATCCTCCTTGGCCCAGACGACGCCACTGCGGCCGTCGACATAGTCCTCCTTCATCTCGTACCAGTGGCTCCATGGCATGAGATCCGGGTCCGCGTACGGAATCGGGACGTATGGGCCAGCGTAGCTCGGGCTCGTTGGCGGGTGGTCCTTGTCGTCGTGAACGGCAGGATTGAGCGCGGCGAGACTCGGGGGCACAGCGGCCGCCAGCGCCGCAGCGCGGTCGGCTTTCGCCTTGTCGGCCTTTGCGCGAATCTCCTTCGCCAGTTCCTCTCCGCCTCCTGGTCGGGAGAGCGCGTCGACAATCTCCTGCTTCGTACGCTCCTCCTCTAGCCGGTCGATGCGCTCTGCCTCCTCGATCAGACGCACGCGCTCAGCACGAGCTCGCTTCTCAAGCTCGTCTCGCTCAGCCTGCGTGTACTGATCGAGCTCCGACTTGTGTTTATTCTTGGCGATGAGCGATGCGTTCTCCGCCTGGTACGCCTCGATCTGCGCCTCCATTTTCTCCACATCGATGTCGTTCAGGATGTTGAACGCTGGGGTCAGCTACGCAGGCGGACTAGCTCACTGAGCGTTTCCACGTCCTCGAGATACTGGTTGTACTCCTTCAATGACTCGAAGTCATCACGAGTCTTGTTGAAGCTATCAGTCAGCATTTATACATAGGCTCACGATACGCACATCTCCGCTATCCGGCGTCTGACGGCGACCTCTTTCTCGATCTTCAGGTCCTCGAAGGTGATGTGCGCAAAGTTCGCCTTACGAAGAATCTTGCCGCACCCGGGAACATAGCACGGTTCCGGACCAAGCGAGTAGTTCTTGTTGATACAGTCCTCACAGCTATGAATGTCAGCGGGACCTCCATCACAGCTCACATTTTGTGGTAGCACGGTGAGACCATGATACGGAGACCGGGCTCGAACTGGCGATCTGAACTGCACAGCGGACACCGGTCCTCTTTCGTCTGCCCGTTAGCTTGAAAACGCTCAGCTAGCTTACCCAGAGCTCCTGCACGCGCTTCGAAGCGTCCTTGATGCCGGCGACGTAGAGGTAGCCATGGTCGTTGCCCTTGGAGCCGGGAGCGTTGCCGCCGCCAGGTCGCGCCTGCGCTGGCGGTCGCCGCATACCGGACGGCGCTCCAGGCCTCCTGGGTACTCCCAGCGGCTTCCTCTGCACGGGTCGGGACATCGTTCGTTTAATGTAAAGTGTAGTGGAGGGCTGTGGTTGACAGGAGGTGACAAATGTGACCTCCACCGGCGCAACAACAGACTGTTGGCGGAGTCGCTCGCAAGTCCTTTGTCCCTCTACGTCTGCCCTTCGATCAAGCGGGGCGTAGCGTGGTCACAAGTGCAGAGCTCCGTGACGACAATGTGATAGCGAAGAGTGCATGCATGCGTCTCTGAAGCTGCCCTCAACCATGATGAGTCTAGTGCTGACTATGACGCATGGCTATCAGTGAATCCACGTCATTGTCAGAGACTCTGCCCACGCGAGCGGACCCTTGGAAAACTACGTTCTGATCGTTCTCGACAGAGCAACGGCAGTTCAACTCGTCTCTTTGCATCGTTGCAACACCCCATCTCTGCCCCAATTGACTACGGGCAGCCACACCAAGTCCTCAAACCCGAGGACATAATTTCGAAAACCGGAATCGACTTATCGTAACCGGCCGACACACGAAAGTACGACGAACGACCACTCTCGCACGCCTTCCCCTTCCATCTTCATCTCATCCTCCCCTTACCCATAAATCACCATGTCCGTCCCCGCCGCCGTCGCCGAGGTCAACGAGAAGACCCTGTCCGACGCTCTTGCTGCTGCCAAGATCTCCGACTCTGAGACCGCTGCTGCCGCCGAGCAGCCTGAGAAGAAGGAGGACGACCTCGAGGAGGGCGAGATCAAGGACGACGGCACTCCCAAGACCGTTTTCCACGATGCTCAGCACTTCAACGTGAAGGTGTGTAGCTGAAGTGTTCGCATATGAGTGTAACTAACCGGTCAGCACCCGCTTTTCGCCAAGTGGACCCTCTACTACGACAGCCCCCAGTCCAAGCACCTCCCGAAGACGCCCCAGTCGTCCATCTCCACGAACACTGCCCTGCACGGAGGATGGCTCGATGACATCCGCAAGGTTATCTCCTTCGACTCCGTTGAGGAGTTCTGGGGAATGTACAATAACATTGTGCCTCCTTCGCAGCTGCCGGGCAAGGCCAACTACTACCTTTTCAAGGTAAGCTTCCATGCGACCTCTTGGAGCTAACTTGTCAGGACGGTATCATTCCTGCTTGGGAGGACCCGGAGAACAAGAACGGAGGAAAGTGGGCCATTCAGTTCCCCCGTGAGAAGACCAAGTCGCAGATTGACAAGATCTGGCTGTACACGATGCTCGCTGCCATTGGAGAGACGTTCGAGACCCCCCTCGACGGTGGTGTCCCCGAGAACACGGACCTTGTGACTGGTGTCATCATGTCGTGCCGCTCGTCCTTGTGAGTAATTGTGGACGGAGATGTGCGGCGAGGCGAACCTCTGGCACTCTGTGACTTCAGTGGACGTGCGACTAACTTGCAGCTACCGTATCTCCATCTGGACTCGCCAGGCGTGCGACGTGACTCTTACCGAGGAGGACCCCCTGATGAAGCGCATCATGACTATCGGTCGTCACTTCAAGGCTTCGGTCCTCGGCTACGACGTTGACCAGAAGCTTGTCACCGGCGGATTCCAGACGGAGGTCACCTTCGAGTCGCACAAGGACTCGGAGAAGAAGGGCAACAAGGCGCGCATCACCCTTGGCCCCTCTGAGGACAACAAGGAGGCCGACGACAAGAAGGGAAGTAAGTAGATGGCGTAGACGTCGGAGACCAGCGAGGCGATGCCTGGCCTATTTGTTGGAGCATCTCATTATTCTGCCCGGCCCTCGCCTTGCTACTCCCAGTTGATTGTACAGTACTTGGACCTAGCACATGATGCATTCTTCTGCTTTGATAATGACTACGAGGTCCGCATTACACGACGCGCTCTGCGTGCTATACCTGCTATGCTTGTTATGCAAGCTCGCTCACCGTGGACGTTGGCCAGAGCGTTGGTTGTGGACAATTACAACAACGAGCAAGATTATATTTGCTTCCGCTCATTTATTTTGCCACTCAAAGATTTCGGCGCGGTCACGTCAACAAAGTCAACCGACGACACCAGTCATGCCGCGCCTGACGAAGAAGCAGAAGGAGGCCGGGCGCGCAAAGAAGGAGTCAGCGAAGAAGGCGCCGACGAACAAGGGCTTCAATGTGCTCCCGGCACGTGCGCCGCGGGACGCCTACCTCGGGAAGGGTGAGCTAACGTCGTGAAATGGCAGCTGACGAGCAGCGAGGAAGATCAAAGCGGACCTGATCGAGCGCGCCAAGATTAAGAAGCAGTACGCGAAGGTGCTCGCCGAGACGGGCGTCAAGTCGGAGCGCCTCAAGCCCCAGGCCAAAGGCAAGCTCGGCAAGCCGGAAGTGAACCGGAGCGAGACGTGGAGCGCCGTCGACGACGACACGCTGAAGGACGACGAGAACGACGACGGAGACGACAGCGATGCCGAGAGTGTTGCTTCCGACGCTTCGGATGCGTCCTCAGCACTCGGACTCGCCGGCGAGACGAGGGACGACGACAGCAGCGACGACGAGGCTGCCGCCTTTGCGGCTCGCGAGAAGGCCATGCTTCGCGGCAAGGGACGTCTGGAGAAGGGCAAGGCCGCTGGAGGAAAGTTTGAGCGCAAGTCGTTCGACGGACAGCGACCAGGCGCAATCGGCAAGTCGCCGCGGGGCAAGGGCCGGGATCGCCCCGCGCCGTACTCGAAGGACCGACCTCCGCATATGAAGGGCGGACCGAAGGGAAGGGGCAAGTGGCAGGAGAAGGAGAAGCCTGTTCGCGCGCTCTCGCCTCCTGTTCTGCCTGAGGCGAAGGAGGGGAGCATGCGCACGATCAAGAAGGAGGGATTCAGCAAGTTCCACCGCTCGGCGAGCGGGAAGAAGCAGCCCAACATGGCTGCACGCATGGATGTGCTGCTCGAGAAGATTAGGCGGTCCAAGTAGATTTTACACTGTAACATTATGCATCACTGGTAATCCATGGAAATCTACCGTGCTACCTTGGGCGTCAGAGGCCCACACCGCTCATGCCTCGGCTCGCCCATACGACGCAGTAATGCGAGAGCACGAGACGGAGTTCTTCGATCTCGTCCAAAATCTGCAGCTTGGATATTCTGCAGTCAGCTTGAACGACAAACTCTTCGAAGCTCACCTCGCCAGCTCCTCCTTCGGCACGAGACTCTCGCGCACTTCCCACAGACTCCTAGCCCCTGCGTCTTCGTACCCAAGCCCGCGCAGTCGCTGGGCATAAGCGTCCTGGCTGTCCATGGCTCCGGGAAGGCTCAGATTCCGCGCGGCGAGGTTACGCTTCATGACTCTTCCGAATGCGTCGCTGGCTGTCAGTTCACTCCGGCGCACAGCAACTCACTTCAGCCCGACCATCTCGTACGCTACGGCGGCCGTCTGCGGAAAGCGTTCCAAGAACCACTTCATTACCGCGTCGCCCTGCGCGGGCGTCATGTAGCAGAACACGCATTCCGAGATCAACAGCGTCGGTACTGAGGTGTCAAGAAGCGGCGCGAGCTCTGTCTCGAGCGCGGCGATGTTGCGTAGGTCCACCGGCACCAGGTCGTAGTGAGATGAGTGAAGGGCCGCGCCTCCGTGCGCGACGGTGTACGGTTTCGGACCGGGACCAAGCGCCTCGGCCAGATGACGGTTACGCGCGACTCGCTGCGCCTTTGCCGCCGTCAAGTGCGGAAAGTCGACCTCGACGTACTTGATCTCACATTCGGACGGTTTGCTCTGCGACGTCAGCTCAGACTCCTGCTCTCCCAGCTTATTAGTTCGTGTTGAAACCAACCTTCATGCGCCAAAATCGCGTATCGCTCCCTGCTCCCAGCGATACGATCTGCGCCTTCGCCTGCCCTCTTGTGAACGAGTCGATGACCGCGTCGAGCGCCCAGGTGCGGTGGTGCGTTCCGACGTTGATGAGCGGTGCCTTCTTTGCCCTCTCGCCCAGCTTAAGCTTGTAAACAACACTCGCAAATGGGTCCTCCAAGTATCCAGCTTGCACGGCAGAGATACGCGAGAGCGCGGCGTCGTCGTCTGTCGCCCGGATCGCGTCGTCGCCGCCTGCGGGCGCGCCCTGTTGTCGTGCTCCCGGGACTGCTGGCGATCGCATCATTCCTGGGCCTCCAGGTGCTCCAGGTGGTCCTGGTGGTCCGGGTCTGCGGAAGGGCGGGACGGGTGGCGGCTGCATGGTCGGGTGAGGTGATGGGATGGACGGTTCGAAAGTTGACGCTCGACGATTGACGTGACGTCGATCGGCAGAGGCGGGGTCCCCAGACTCAAGCCGCTGAGGCTCAATTGCTCATGTCAGCGTCGCTGTAACTGTCTCCCACTTCGCAGTCGTCCAGCTGATGCATGGTCGTAGTACAGGTCGCTAACGAACCGGAGCCCAGTGCATGTGAACGCTGACGGCTGACTGCGTTGCCTTTGCTGGGGATGACTGTGACCGACACGAGCTGCTCAAGAAAAATATTCATGTTTCTATGTGTTTGCTTCCTATACTTCACTCCAGGTAATGCGATTAACCCAGGCGCAGACCAAGGATGAATCCGGCGACGAAGGTAGCACGCTCTGCATGTTAGTTAACCGCGCACACCCTGTAACTCACGCTGGAAGTTGGCCGTGAGGAAGTCAACGAAGCCCTGGAAGACGCTCTGGACGGTGGGGTACGAAACGACACCCTTCTCGTCGACATGACCAAGAAGACCGTCGTAGGACTTGTTGACCTTAGCCCAGTCGACCTTGACGTACGACTTGGACTGGAGGTACTGATGTCAGTTACAGTCTCAGTATGCAGCTCACCTGGAGAAGGACGAAAAGACCACCAAGGAGGAAGGCGAGAGCCTTGAAACCCTTCTTGACGAAGACACCGGCACAGATACCACAGACAGTTCCGAACGTGAGCTGAGTCAGGTTGACAGAGCTCTCAACAGGAGGCTCATCCTCAACGACAACAGTCTTGCGCTCCACGACGGGAGGGTTGGCGTACGCCGAGTCTAACCGCACCTTGCGGGGCGCAAAGGTGTAGGCAGCGACGCCGAGGCCAATGGTGTACATGTACGCGTTCTTCCATCCTCCCTGCTGACGCGGAGCCGAGCGAGCGACAGAGATGGCCTTCGGCTGGAAGCGGGTGAACTGCTGCTGGAACTTGGAGCCAGCGAAGCGAGGGCCGTTAGAGGGCATGAAGTGGAAGTTGCGGGCGGCGCGGGGCGCGGCCTGGGCGGCCTGCTGCGCCGAGCGGAGGAGGCTCGGGAACATGCCAAGGCGGAACGACATGATCGGTGGATGCTGCGCGAGTGAGGGTGTGAATGGATGCAACGACGGCAAACTCCAACGCAGCTCGACGCGGCGATTGCGCGATGTCAGGACGTCTCGCTAGGCCGAAGGCCTCCCGAGTGACCGGCCCTCAGTGTACGTCATCCTCGCGTGGTACTATTTGGACATGGCCAGGATACGGACATCACGCGACCTCCGCTATCGCGATCTCAAAAGTTGGGTTGCTGACCAAGACGACAATAATATCCGCGTGAATCTGCTGCATTCCATTCTACACAAACACAAAAATGTCCACGACAGAGTGGGCGCTCGCGACGTCCAAGGCCCCCGAGGGCTCGGACCGCCCCGCGGAGCTCGTCGGTCAGGTCGTCAAGGCCGACTTCCAGCCCGTCCTCGAGTCCGACGATGTCAAGGCTGCCCTGAAGCGTGTGCCCAAGCTCCTGGACGGTCTGCAAGACACCATGGATGTGGACTCGGCCGGCGAGGAAGACTATGCGACCCTTCTGGCTGCTGCTGTTGCGCTCCAGCATGCGTTTGTCCAGGCTAACTGGACCGGCCCCGACCTCAAGTTCACACCCGCTGACGTCGTTGCCTGGATCACCGGCACGGACTCGTCCGACAAGGATGCCGCCAACACCAAGCTCAACTCGGCTGCCCTTCCCTACCTCACTCTTCTCGGCGAGCCCGCCTACCACCTCGCTGCGCACCCCGCGCTCTTCCTCCTCTCTGTCCGCATCCTCAAGTACCTCGCGGACAAGAAGGTCCCTCTCGTCACTCTGCCGTGGTGGAGGTTGCGATCGCACCTCGTCCATCTCGCCCTCCTCGACGAGGCCGTCCCGCTGGATGACGAGATCGTGGGAGATGTTGGAGCTCTCATCCCATCCGCTCCGGACGCCGACACTGCCGCTATGCTTTCCCTCGAGCTCGGTCTCCTCCACTACAAGCTCGGTCAGGACAAGCCCGCGAACAACGCCTTCCTTACTGCTGCTCGGGCGAGCGGCCTCGAGTTCGAGCTCACCGGAGCTATGGGCAAACGGACAAAGTTCCAGACCCAGGACCACTCCCAGCTTCTTCTGCTCGCCGAGTCGCGGAAACGTGACGGCGAGGACGGCAAGGTCGTCCCCTCGAAGGGTGCTCCCGAGGCGCTCAAGCTCAACGACGACACGCTGCTGGAGCAGACCGAGTACACGAGCACGACCGGTGGTTCTGGAGCCCTTTCGCACCTCGATCCCGGAAACCAGCCGGCGCTGCACCCGCTCGACCAGGCGCTGCTCCTCTCGCTGTGTCTGAACCAGGCGAACAGTTCGCCGTCGCACGGTCTCACGATCCAGCAGATGATGCCCTTCGTCCAGCGCGTCGTTACCCACCCCACGAACTGGAGCGTTCATACCACTGCTCTCATCCTGCGTGCCCGCCTCGAGTCGCACCGCTCGCGAACAGTTGAGCGTTCGGCTCTCCAGCTCGCCGCGCTCATCGACCAGATGCCGACGTCCGACTCAGAGCCCGCCGAGCGGTTGCAGTACTTCCACCAGCTGCCGCTTCCGTCCAAGTGGGAGATGGAGAAGGAGCTCGCGAAGCGTTATCTGTCTCTCGGTGTTATCCGCAGTGCGCTCGACATTTTCACGAGGCTCGAGATGTGGGAGGACGCTGTCGCGTGTCTGCAGCACATGGAGCGCGAGGCCGAGGCTGAGCGTATCGTCCGCGACCTCCTCGAGGGACGGAAGCTGGAGTCGGACGTCGTTCAGGCGATGGGCCGTGCTAGTCTCTCTGACGCTCGCCGCGAGAAGCTCGGCTGGGCGCGTGAGGCGAAGCTGTGGTGTCTTCTCGGCGACCTGGCGCTCAACTCGGACGATGCGCCGAAGAACCCGACCAAGGCCCGGGAGACTGCCATCGAGTACTACAACAAGGCGTGGGAGGTTTCTCGCCACTCGTCTTCTCGCGCGCAGCGCTCGCTCGGTACGCTTTACACGAGCGCCCAGGACTTTGAGGCCGCCGTTCCTGCCTTCCGTCATGCCCTCGCCATCAACCCGCTCTACGCTCACGCTTGGTTCACGCTCGGTGTGTGTCTCATGCGCCTGGGCCGCTGGGCCGAGGCTCGCGACGCCTTCAAGCGCCAGGTCGGCGTCGCCGAGGATGATTCGGAGGGTTGGAACAACCTCGCGGCCGTCTACCTGCGGATGAACGAGGAGGGTGTTCCGGAGGGCGAGAAGCCGCCGCCGGTCAGCTTTGAGAACAAGCAGCTCGCGTACCACGCGCTGCGCTCTGGTCTTCGCTCCTCCTACAACAACTGGCGCATGTGGGCCAACTACATGGTCGTCGCCATCGACGTCGGTGAGCTGAACGAGGCGGCGCGCGCACAGGCCCGTGTCGTCGAGGAGATGTTCGTCAAGGACCCTGTCGTTGCCGTCGACCCCGATGTGCTCGACAAGCTTGTCGACAGTGTGACCCGCGATGAGTGGAACGGCGGTGAGCCCGCACAGCCGCCCACGACCTCGAACGAGGGCTGGGGCCTGTACCCCGTCGTGGACCGGTTGTTCGAGAAGACGATCCTGCCTCGCATCTCGGACAACCCGCGAGTCTGGCGTGCGCACGCCCGTCTCCTGCGCTGGAAGGAGGACTGGGCCGGCGCCATCGACGACTATATCCGCGCGTACCGTGCCGAGGTGGCGGATGACGAGCGTGTCGAGCGCGACGTCAAGCGCTGGCGCGAGGCTGTCAACTCGATCGAGGACCTGGTCGCTACGCTCGAGCAGCTCGGTCCCCGCGTCCCCAAGGTCGAGGGCAAGAAGGGCGGAGACTGGCGCTTCCAGGCCCGCGGTATCGTGCGTACATTCATGGGCCGGACGAGGAATGCCTTCGAGAACGAGCCAGAGTGGGACCGCCTCAAGGACCTCCTCGACGAGCTCAAGCGCGCCGACTAGGCCGTATGGACCAACACAATCAGCATTTGTAACTATAGAGTCTAATCATGCATCCTGGTATCTCGTACAACACCGTCTACAGTCGAATGGAATGGAAACGGAGAAGCGCTGGTGGCGCTGGCGGTGTGAATGTGGAGGGTGAAGGTGGAATCGAGGCGAGCGTCGAGTGCGCTAATGTCTAACACGAATGTCCGCAAGAGTTCGAAAGTCGAGCGACAGCTTAGCGGCGGCGCTTGGTGCGGCCAGCCTTGGTGCGCGAGAGCTTCGGGCGAGCGTCCATACCCTTGCTGACGCGCCACTGCTCTCTTCGGCTCTCGCGGGGACCAGAGGTGGAGATCTTGCGCTCTGCATGTCAGTTCCAGAACTTCCTCGGGCAAACTCACCCTCCTTCATCTCGGCGTCACCCTCCTCTTCGCCGCCCTCGGCGTCCATGGCGTTCTCGTCCTTCTTGAGGAGCTTGGCGGAGACACGAGCGGTACGGGCAGCCTCGGCGACGGCGTAGTGGGACTCGGTGGCCTTGCGCTTGCGCGCGGCGAGCTTGGCCTTGGAACGGAGCGACTTGGCCATTGTGGTTGTGTCGGTACTTGTGGAAGATGGGAGAGACTGCGTTCAGCGCCGCCCAAGTCCTTGCATCATAACAGCCCAGCCGCTACTGCAGACCTGCACCCAGAACTGAAATCTCTGCCGCGATTAAAACAAAAATTCACCGTGAAAATAATCCACGCGATATCCACGTGACATCTTGTGATCGCTCACAACGCGTGTCTCCTAAGACGTCAGCGCTTCATCAGCTTCAAGTCGCCCTCGATCCTCGACACCTCCTTACACTCACATCCTCGCGCTCGCTGAGTATCGACAGGCTAGTCTGCGCTCAGCTCGCGCATTATGTCCCGCTCATCCTACGACCGGTAAGCTACGAACTGTGTGCTCAGCTGACCCTCAGCTATCTCACCGTCTTCTCGCCCGAGGGACGGTTGTACCAAGTCGGTGAGTTGTTGGCATCCCTCGTTATAGCTGACAGACAGAGTATGCCTTCAAGGCTATCACCGGCGAGGGCATTACCGCCGTTGCCATTCGCGGCAAGGACACCGCCGTCATTGTTACCCAGCGCAAGGTGCCGGTACGTCTGCTGCCGAAATGGGGTGGACACGAGCTGATGATAACAGGACAAGCTCCTCGACCCCTCAACGATCACCCATCTCTTCCAGATCACTCCCAGCATAGGATGCGTTGTTATTGGACGTATTGGTGAGCTTCCTCGACGGTACATGCAGCTGACAGCAGCCGACGCCCGCGCGCAGGTTCAGAGGACACGGTCAGAAGCCGCCGAGTTCCGCTACAAGTTCGGTTACGAGATCACGCCCGATGCCCGTGAGCTCACATCGATGGGGTGGATAGCTAACATCCAGTCGCTAAGCGTATGGCGAACATCAACCAGGTCTACACGCAGCGCGCGGGCATGCGCCCGCTCGGCATCGCGATGACTCTGATCGGCATTGACGACGAGCGCGGACCGCAGTGTTTCCAGATCGACCCCGCCGGCTTCTTCGTCGGATACAAGGCCGTCTCGTCTGGCCAGAAGCAGACCGAGGCGACCAACTACGTAAGCTTCCGCGCGCTTTGCGATAGCTAACGCCCAGCTCGAGAAGAAGTGGAAGTCTGTCGAGAACAACAAGATCACCCTCGACCGCACCGGCGTCATTGAGCTTGCAATTGAGACGCTGACGAACGTCTGCGCGACCGACTTCAAGGGGTCTGAGATTGAGATCGCCATCTGCTCCACTTCGCCCGAGGAGAAGGCCGTCGACGGCAAGCGGGGCAACTTCCGCCAGATGCCTGAGGAGGAGCGCGACGAGTGGCTCACGCGTGTCGGAGAGAAGGACTAGAATAGGTACAGCAGCATTTGATGTATGTGAATGATAAGCCGCAGTTATCGAACAGAGAGGCTTCAGTGGCCTGCAGGTTCGGCCAAGCAACGGGGTCAAGATGGTCTTCCTCACTCAATGACTCGTAGGGAGTGGCTGTGGTGCCTGGTTGAGACCACCGGTTTCTGCCCGGTATCTCTGCGTTCCTTCCCTCTTCATCGCTGAACAAGTCTCAGCTTCGTCTTGCTCATCATTGCGCAAAGCCCCAGATACCCAACCCCCCTGTCTCCCCTTTGTATCTTTGTAGCACTGCTGCTGTCTTTTGTCCTCTCTCGGTTGCCTGATTAACCCGCTCTTCCCCAACATTGAAACTGATCTGTTGCATCATGCAACCTGACCGTCCTCAGTGATCTCCGCGGCTGTCTTCCTCGTTCCTGAACTCCGTCAGACCTTCCGACCTCTCACCATGAAGTGAGATGAATGCTCTCACGAGGAATGCTGCCAGCCCACTTGCATCCACCATCGCGTCGTTTCTTGTCTTCCTCCTCTCAGCCAGTCACCTCGTCCGTCTCGCGTGATCAAATATGTACATTAACAGTCCGTATACTACAAGTCTTCAATATCTAGAGGGAGCTCTCAAACTCCCAGTCCTCCTTCAGCTCCGTCTCGACCATAGCCTTGACCTCGGGCGTAAGCTTGCCGAGGGGCAGGCGGCTCGTTCCACCGAGACCAGGCTGGACGAAGTGGTCGAGGGCGTGCTTGGTGCCCTGAATGCCGGCCTTGACGATGATGAAGTCGCTGCGGGCAACACGGTCCTGGAGCCTGACGGCCTCCTCGAGCGCCTTGACATCGCCCTTGAGACCCTTGAGCGCCTGGGTGTAGAGACGGTTGATAGTCTTGGGGAAGACGTTGCCCGTGCCCGTGATGCAGCCGTGGTGCTTGGCGAGAAGGGCGGGGAGGAGCGACTCGCTGAATCCGGGCAGAACCTGGAACGCGCCCGTCTCCGTGACCGAGGCGAGCTGGGGGCCGCGCTTGGCGAGGAACTCCGGGGTCTGGGTGTAGGCGGCAAGACGCTGGCCCTTGCCGATCATGGCGCAGGTGAGCTTAGCACCAAAGCAGTTCGGGTGCTCGGCGAGAGCGCAGAGCTCGTCAGAGTTGAGGTCGATGCCGGCGGCGGCGCCACTGGTCGTCAGCTTCACTTGCTACATGGAGCCAGCTGAGGAGGGACTCACGGGAAGTTGTAGATCATGACCGGGATGGGCGAGTGGTCCATGACCTTGTTGAAGAAGTCCAGGATGGCCTGGCGGTCGCGGCCCATCGCGAACGCAAAGTATCCGGGACAGATGACGATGGCGTGGGTAGCGCCCGCGCTCGCGGCGTCCTTGCAGAGCTCGATGGTGGTCGCCGCCGATCCTCCGCCGGTACCAACAAGCAGGGGCGTGCCCTCGAAACCGTTCGAGTCGAGCGCTTTCCGTCCAGTCTCGACAACGGACTTCCTCTCCTCCGCGGACAGGTGCGAAGCCTCGCCGTTCGTGCCAAGGAGGACGATACCGACGCCAGCCTGAGCGAGACGCACGACCTGTGCCGCGAGCGCAGCGTGGTCGATGGTCTCATCGGCCTTGAAGGGGGTAGTGAGGGGGACGGAAACGCCGTTCGGCCAGACCTTGGATGAGGACGCGGTCATTGTGAATAGAGCTGTGGTGAGGAAGGAGGAGCGGTGGTGGGGATGAAGAAGTTGAGAGATGAGTAGATATCTTTTAACAGAGGGAAGGCGGTCTTCACAGCTCCTCCCCTTCCTCGCCGGCTCCAGCCCCGGCCCAGCGGCCCATTGCCGGGAAGAACGGCCCGGCACAAGACGGCTCCCAGCATGCGCATATGGGGCATAACGCGGCCAAGCTGCGGTGGGCCGCGGGCTGAGTTGCCCACAATCAGAGCCCGCACCGTCAGATGCCGCCTTTCACCGTGCCTTCCCTGACCGACACGTGCGACCGGGCCGGCGGCCCCGGCCGGTGGGCGAGAACAGCTCCCCAAGCGTACATGACCAAGCAATGGCTGGCCAAGCACAGTGCAGCCTATTGTCACTTGCACATAACAATGGGTAATCGACAATGGCAAGGCAGCAATATAACCAGAGTGATGGAGAGGCGTGACGGAGGGCCAATGCTGGGACTGGTTACTGACTTGCTTACTCTCTCCTTATCGCCCTGCCCGTGGGAAATGAAGACAGTTACAAGATTTCAAGGTGCTCACTTAGGATCCCATCGCGACTCCTGGAGGCGTGAATAATCCTTACCAAGGAGACTCGTAAGAAAGCCGTGTCTCAAGGCGACTCGACCGTCGTTTCGACGTGTCGACAGAGGGGAGGAGGACGACTATAGAGTAGATTGGCAAGGCCACAGAGCTCTCGCGTCGTTCCCCGCGCCTGTACTGTACGTATGCCTTTGTGTTTCGAGGGGTACGTCAACTCGAACCCCTGCTAACCGATTGTGGGCTGCGTCATAGCTGACTGGAGCCTGTCGTTGTTCCTCATATCACCGCTGATCGCTCGGAAGCTCGCTGCTACCTTCTTAACGAAGCAAAGCCCTTTGACAGTCTACCAGGACCACATAGTCTTGCCTGCATCGCAGAGACAGCTTAAGCGATCTCCGGGCACCGCAGTTGACCTTGACTCACTGATGAGGTGGAGATGTCTGACTCGCAACAGCTGGGCGTGCGTCTCACACCCGAGCCAGCCTGAGTGCCGATGGCAATGGTCCGACCGGTCCGATGGTTACGCGCACTAGCACGCCTACGCACCTCTGGATCTGATGGGCGCGATGTTGTGTACCATAGTCTTCTCTCTAAGATCCCCATCAATCCATTTGTTAGTCCAACCGCCGCTTGGCAGCACTTAGCGAGAGCGTCGTCCCAAGTCCGCTTGCGCTTCGCTTTGTGCACCGCAATGCTCGTCGACTCCTTCCCCTCGCGTACCGGCGCATACTCGCTAGATCCCTCTGTCCTTCCAAAGGATTAGAGCTGGAGTTTGCGAGACCGTCTCCGCTGCTCTCCGGCTCTACCGCTCTCGTTGGTGCCCAGGACCCCTCTGCTGTGCGAAGGATCTCGTCGTGCTCCCTCTTCTGTCACGCCAAGCCCGCAAGCTCCCAATAGGCGAGCCCAGCTGACCTACCGCCCACTCGCACTCTGACCGCCCAGTCGATCTGACGGGGCCGTGCGGGTGTGCGACGTACTGCGCAATTCCCAGGCTCCCATCCCCATGCCACCAGGTGCTTGTCCAAACGCCGTCGGGGTTGTGGACGTGTCGTGTCAGACTCTGCCGACTGAAGTGTGTATAGACCAGCTCCCCACGACATTCACCTTTCTTCTTCCCATCACCTCATTCCCACTCTACTCGACACTCTCAACACCCTTGACACCCTAAGCAATGACGGCTTCGAGTCTCTCGCTGGTCGTCCCGTGACCTTATCCTCTCAAGAGCCCGAGCCTCTCGGATTAGTAGCGAAGGATATCCTCGGTCGCTAGTGCCCTCCGCCGCGGACGCCTCCCCACCCACCGCCAGTCTCAGCGGACCTCGGGCTCAGCGTCTTCTACCTTTGTTGTTGTCTGCATATGGGCTTAATAACTCGTCGGGCGGCAATCCGGTGAGTAGTTGTTCGCGTGACCATGTGTGGCGCAGGGAGTGCGAAATGTCTCGAAATTCGAAATACCTCACTCCATCCCGGCGTTCAATCCCAGCTTCTGCCCGTTGACGCGAAGCTGACGGCGCAGGTTATACCGATGCTTCAAATTGACCTCCATCCCGGAGAGGGTGAATCCACTCGTTTCTCCTTGCCCTTGACGTTGCCGTTGCCCTACCTCTGAGGGCAGTCTCCGACCGGGAACGGATCTGCCGTAAGTTTCTGGGTTAGGTGGTGCGAGCGTATGACTCACTTCCAGCGACCTCCTCCCCTTTTTTATGTCGCGACCCGCCCCCCTCAATTGTTTCCGGGGGTGATTTCAGAGCTGTGTGCGTAGTGGAGTCCAGCTAACCTCCAGCAGGCTCCTTGCGGTGTTTCAGCGCCCACTTATGTCTTCGTTGTGATAGGCCGTGTTGCCAAGGTCCACTGTCGACGAGAGTTGGGCTGGGGTCTGGGCCGGCAGCCATATGTAAGTTCCCAGCTGCAACACGGCCCATAACAGCTGACGCCCAGTTTTGGGTGCCGCGCTCGTTGGACTCGAGCTCGTGATGGACCGTGTTGGCACCAACCCCCGCCGTCAGGTGGCCACCTGACCGGCCTCTCCTTGTGAGTGCAGCTGCCAACGCGATCCGTCATAGCTGACCGCCAGCGCGTCGCCGAGCGACGTGAAGAGGAGGTCCCAGGAGGAAGGCCATGCACACACTCACTGCATGGCATTCCTCCTGATTGTTGTTAGTGAGTCCGCCGCAAAGGTCGGTCATGAGGTCGACTGACACGCAGCAGCATTTTGCGTCACCGGGCAGACGCAACGCACTTGAGGCAGATATCAGGGTGCTCGTGAGTACCCTTCAGCTAGTATGGCCGCCAGCATGTAGCTAACAGAACAGTGACTCTGCCGTGCCCCTGGCCATCTCGACGCTTTTGTCGAGATGCAGCCAGTATGGGCCGATTAAATCGAGCTTGGGTGGCCACGAGGTCATTCAAGCCGCTGCGTGAGTCTCACCAGAGTTATTTAATCTGTCCATACCAGCTGACACCGCAGTTCACCGCTTCGTTGGGTCGGGAGAGTTGGGTGACTGGGCTCGCACGCCTGCGGGGGCGGGGAGGGCGCGCCGCTGGTCCCCAGTGCCGATAAGTCCTCGACGCGGGAGGCTCGGGGCAGCGGTGCGTCCTCGATCTTTCCTGCCAATATGACCGCCCCCACCAAAAGGTCCGAGCTCAACGAGCCCAGCCAGCCCAGCCAGCCCATCCAGCCCATCCAGCCCATCCAGCCGATCCAGCCGATCCAGCCCATCCAGCCCATCCAGCCCATCCAGCCCATCCAGCCCAGCCAGTCCAACCTCCGCCTCGCCCGTTAGCCTCCCCTCCGCTCGTCACCACCGCTGGTGGCGGGCTCGCGGGACGCCGGAAGGGAAGACGTGCTGCTGGTCCCCTATGCTTTTGAGCCCAGCCGGGCCGGGGCAGCAGCACGTCTTCCGCCACCCTCTGAATTTGGGCGCCTGGGGCGTTCCCTACGCCTATCATGAGGAGAGCATCAACACTCGGACCATCGCGGGGACCAGCAGTCCAGTCGTGGGAGGTGCGCACTTTTGTGCTCGAGGGGGGGGCTGCCTCTGCCACTCCCATGCCCACGAGGCCATTCTTCCAGCCCTCACCTTACATCGCCTCTGGCGCGTCGTCGTTGATGAGAAACAGGAGGCAAGCCCGGCCCGACTACGCACACGAGCTATGGATCGAGGGTTGGGCGCTCGTCATCCCTCCCACACGGACACGAATGAGCACCAGCCACTCCCAACCCCTTTCCCCACTTCAGGCGCTCCTCTTCCGTCCAGTCGATGACTATTGAGTCAAATCCGGGGTGCTCGGCCACTGCGACGACTATCACTTGTCGCAGTGCGCAGGGCTAACAGACGCCACTGGCTACAGCTCTGGGCTCTCATATTGAAGTGGGGCGGTCGGCCGCTATCGCTCTTGCGCTTCACACGACCCCGAAACTCCAGCGACAGTTACGGGATCGACGTGCTCTTGCCCGAGCGCAACGATGGCGCACTCCGGCGTGCATTACCTAGTGCCGGCGCTCTACAGCCGCCGTCCTCGTTCTCTCGCGCATCCTCGTGGCGGCTTTCGCTATCGCTTTGGCGCTTCACGCCGCCATGGGCTTCGCAGTCGGCCGCTATCGCTCTTGCACTGCACGAATCCCTGGATTTAGACGTTCGGCCGCTATCGCTCTCACGCTCCGCGGCTCGACCCGCTACCTCATCAAGTCCGACGTTGATGAGATCAATGACGTCTTGACGGCTTGAAACAGGGTGGGTCTCCTGGACCCCTTTCCTTGGTCTCGGCCTGCGACAGAGGCATCGTGAGCAGCCAAAACTGTCGAAGCCCCGTGAGCAGCCTGACTCACGCACTGCCAACGACAACGCCACGTTTCGAGCTGGTACTGCCCGGTCCCTTACACGGACCCCAGCTATGGCGTTAATCTCTTCCGCCTTAGCGGTCCAGCCTGCGCCCGTTATTGCTTTTGCGCTTTATGCCTCGCTCTGAGTTCATGGCTGGCCCGGGGGGGGGGCGGCGGGGCAAAAAGAATCGATAGAAGGGGCCAATACGCCCCACGGCAGTCTCCCCCCGCGCCATGCGGGTGATCCACGCACTCGCTTGCCATTGACGCATTGCTCATGCGGCCCATCAATATGTGATGAGGATGGTGAGGACTTATGCTCCTTATAGGGCGTAGGGGCTGGGACACCAGCGAGCTTGTTCTCCTCCTGCATCCCAGCCCGCTCAACCCGCTCAGACCAGGTTCCCTCGCTCCCCTCTGACGACCGCATCGGGCCAGCCGGCCTCGTCTCCAGGATGTCTCACGCCGCCCACCAAGATGGGTGGCCCATCACCCGCCATCACATTGTCCACTTCCACTTCTCGGCGATAGAGGGCTGGTCGTTGGTCGTTGGTTGGTGGTTCCGGCAACATCTTCATTACAATGTGATGATGCTGCCCGCTCTCGCTCCAGCGTTCACGGCTGGCCAGAGAGGCCGGGGCCGTTTCTTCCCTCCCCAGTGACTCACAGTGATGGAGAATGTCCAGGACATCGTAATGGGGCGGGCAAGATTCTCCGCCGCCGCACCACCATTCTGCGCAACCCGAGGGTGTCTCGGGTTGCGGACAGAGGTGTTGAACCGGACCACCGTGTCGTTTCGCCTGGGCCGCGAGTCGCCCACAGCAGACTGGGGCGGCGGACAGAGGACCGCCCGATATCGCTCCTGCGCTTCATTTCATGGCCGTCCCGCACCTCGCCACGATGGAGGATATCCAGGACCGCCCCTTTGATTGTGGACAGCATGGCGCAGCCAAGCTGGGACACGGCGAGTCATCGCCCACCACCGGTCGCGCGCAACAAACGTTTATCGGGATTCGACAATGCCAATCCATAAGGCTGTGGGGCAGACTTCCAGATGCCGACGCAAGTGGAGTCAAGAAGCACCTCCATGTCCTTCTGGGCTCAGAACGGAGTCATGCCGAAAGTCAGAGCAGTCGCTCGGCAGCCGAGCGCATCGCGACAACTCATGCGGATGGATCGTGTTGGCGTGCGGTGAGATCGGAGGACTGGGGAACCACCCTCAAGCCATTTATCTGTTCTATAAACGGGATGAGGCAGTGACCCGTATTTGTCTTCCAATAACAGAATAGACCTGTGTGAACAGAATAGACCTGTGTGAGGCAGTCACCTTGATTAGCAGAGGAACTCATATGCAATGTTAAGTAGTATATAAGTACGCCCTCGCATGCACAGCTGTCTGATTGATAACGAGAGTGTGACACGGCTGCGAGGCCCTGCGCGGTTAAGATAAGATTAGCCCTAGCGTGGGAGCCGGCTGCGTGATGCGAGTTGCTCGTCTGACCTGCGGCAATTGCCTCACAATTCAACCTGTTTGAGGCTTTATGCGAGGCCCTGCGCGGTCCCGAAGCCACAAGAGATCAGGAGATTGCACACGACAGTCCGCTGATAACCTGGTGATAGCGCGTATCTCGGCGTCTTCGCCAGTTTGTCAACTTCAGAACGCGACTGCATTTGAATTTTTCACTACGTCTTCCACGGATCGGGAGCAGATACTACTGATTGACCGTAGGGAGAGCGACTTAGGCGGCGATACCGATGACACCGCAGGCGGCACGGCCGCCGGCGTTGCCGGTGGTGAGCGAGTCCTGGTGACCGCCCTTGCCGAGGTCGTCGGTGCCGGCGTGGACAACGACGGAGCGGCCGACAATCGAGTAGGGGCCGATGAGCGAGATCTGCTTGTCTGTGGGATCAGCAAGCCGCCCTCTTCCACTCGCCAGATCTTCCAAACTCACCGGTGATGTTGACGTCGACGTTGCCAGAGCCGTCGGTCTTGACGTTGCCGAGGTCACCGACGTGACGCTCGGCGTCGGTGGGACCTCCGTGGTTCTTACCGTGGGGGTTGAAATGCGAGCCAGCCGAAGTACAGCCGTTGCTGTTGTCACCAAACCTGCGTGTGAGCGCTTGCGCTTTGTTGTTGAAGAAGATGATACGAACTGGTGGATGTGGAAGCCTGGTGATGTCAGCGGATGTTCCTGGTGGAGGTGGAGGTCGAGTGCCACACGCCCTCGACGCGGATCACACTAAAATGTGGAGGCCGTGTCTCAGTGCGCTAGCTCAGGCTAGTCCAGGGGACAGCAGGCCTAGAAGCGTGGCGTTGACGACGAGAGGGATGTACTTACCGCGCTCAGCGTTGGCGTCAAGACCGTTGATCTGAAGGTCAGTGGTGTCCGAAGGTGGGAACGGAAGCAAATGGTGGGGGCGGAGGGGTCGTCTGTGGGCGGGGGAGCCAGTGAGAGGTCGAGAGACCGAGTCGTGCTCAAGTGAAGACCTCGCACGACAGGCTCGAGTCATCAGACAGACGCTGGACGCTAGCCGGTCCGATGGGTATGTCACCGGTCATCCACTATGACAGAAGAGGCTTCCTCGTTCCTCGGGTCCGGATAAACCGACTTACCTTGCCGGTAACGTTGACGGGGCCGCCCTCGGTCTCCTGGGTGAAGGTGATGACACCCGAGACGTTGGAGTCACCCTTAAGAACAGCGATAGCCTGTGGTGTGCATCCATTGTCGAGCAGTGGTCGAGATTACGGTGGATGGATTGGGGGTTGCAGCACGTAAACGTCATAGAGGCATTATGCGGAGGGAGGTATGTCAGCGACGTGGAATGAGGTGGGCAGGCAGTAAACAAAGACGACAAGTCGAGGGATAGTAGCCCATGCCGTCTCTGCCAGCTGAACAACGTACCTTGACCATTGTGATTAGTTTGGAGTTGTTCAGTGAAGAAGAGCAAGTGAACGAAGCTGGAGAGAAGGAACGGGAGGTGGGAAGAGGTCTGCGGCATTTAAACCCCCGTGCCGGACTGAGAGGGGTCCCGATGATGTCTGCTCGCGTAATGCGCAGTGGCGGAGGGACCAAATAAGGGCGGTGCCCTCGGCCACAACAATCCCGATCGGCTCGGCGGCGGCGGAGGTCCATCCCTCGATATCTGACTCGAATTAGGACCAGCCAAGATCCAAATAATCAGTGCCCCATGCTTGGTACGCTGCCACTGCACAACTCGCAACAGAGAGCTCTGTCTGTGCACCCGTTCGAATTGTTCTATGACTCCATCTCCATGCAGCTTACACAACTGCCAAGCTTGGCTTCGAGTCGACTGCTTCGGGCTTGCAACCCCGAGCAGGCATTGCTTCGGGCACCCCCGGACCGGGGCAGCACAACACAAACATGTCAATCTGATAGGGAAAACCAAGTCCGCTTGTCCGGATAAAATAATGAAGATGCATGTCCCTATATCTACACACCAACACGGCAGTTGTCCAGCGCAAAGACGAGGATGTCAGCCGCGCCAGTCTTTTCTAAAGCGTCCATGACCTGCGCCATCTGGCTGCGCTCAACCATAGACGAAACAGCGACCCATCCGTCCTCGTCGAGCGGGGTGACGGTCGGCGCACGTCGGCCGGGCGTGAGCTTGACGGCGGCGGGGAGGTTCTGGCGCGAGACGTTGTACGACATGTAGACGTACTTCTTCGCGGCGAGGACACCAGCGATACGGCTCTTGATGAGGCCGACGAGGGGCTCCAGCTCGGGAGTGAGCGAGGCGTGCTTCTGCTTCTGGCCAATGAGAACAGCCTCCGAGCTCATGAGGGTGTGAATGGCGTGGAGACCAGCAGCACGCATCGTGTCGCCAGACTCGACAAGGTCGACAATACCGTCGGCCATGCCGAGAGCACAGGCAGCCTCCACACTTCCTCCGACGTACTCGATGCTCGTCTTCTTGTCACCTCCGGCCTTGGCGTCAACCTCGTTGAAGAGCTCGCGAGCGAGAACCTCGAACGAAGTGGCGACCCGTCCTCCACGGAGCTGCTCAATCGACTGAATCGGTCCGGTAACCGGGACCTGAACCTGGAGCTTGCACTTGCCGAAGCCGAGCGGCAGGATCTCCTGGATCATGTTGGCGTGGGTGGACTCGGCGATGACGTCCTGTCCAGTGATACCGAGCGACACGGATCCAAGGGCAACGAATCGCGGAATGTCGGCTGCGGGGAGGAAGACACTGAAGGTTAGCCTGATTGCGTTCGGTGGCTGGGAAAGTCGACACGTTGTAGCCGTAGAGAGCCGTTACTCAGCCGGCTGACTCGAGGATTGCTTCAGCCACAAGACAGCTCGTCTCGGTTGGGCAGGCTGCGGCTAGAAGCGCATGGAGACTTACAGGGCAATGGGGTGGTTCTGGACGAGGGCGACATCGAGGCGGTGAGCGCGGTTGTACTTGATGTCAGCGCCCTTGAGGAGCTCGATCGTCTTCTCATAGAGTCGTCCCTTCTTCGGGATAGCGAAGAGCAGGCGGTCCTTCAGGCTGTCGACGAGAAGGGACATGGCAGACTCGTAGCCGAACGAGCTCTTGGAAGCACGGTCATTGCCAGAGCTGGCCTGCTGGGGAGCGGCGGGGGTGACGGAGATGGTGGAAGCGGCGTCGTTGACGGGAGTCTGGGCGCCGGACATTGTTGACAGTTGCGCAATCGAGTCGGAACAAGAGTGTTAGGGGTTACAGAGCCGAGCTGCTAAACGGGATTGTCTGATTTTGTCGATGCAAAAGGGTAGAGACTCGGGTGAAAGAGTCGTCTCGGGGCGTGTTATTGTTCTAGCTCGAGCGGACTGGCGGACTAGAGCACGTTTTATCGGTTGTCAACCGCAAATGAGGTCCTCTCTACTCAAAATGTTCCGCATAGGCTCCCAAGATTGGGGTTAGGCACCCGTCACGTGCGGTCCGCCAATCAACTGTGGTCCTGCCGCCCCGGCTAATTTTCCCGGCGAATATCCGAACGTCAATCGTGTCCCAGAGATAAGAGCAAGGCCAGCGAGAAATTAGGTAGGTGATACATATGTACAACAGATGCGCATGCAAGTCTAGTATCCCGCCAGATCGAGAGCACTGATGTACTGTGATACTGGCGGCTCCTCCTCCTCCTCGTCCTCTTCCTCATCATCGTCTTCTTCGTCCTCGAAGCTATCCTCATCCTCATCCTCCTCATCGGCCTCGCTGCCAGAGAGGGATGGGCCCGAATCCTCCTCCGTATCATCCTCCTCGTCTCCGATGTCCATTCCGTCGTCTTCTTCATCGTCCAAAGACCGCTTGGTGTCCTCTGGACTTGTGTGCTCCGGTCCGCCGCCCCAGCGCGATGTTGGGTAGCCATCTTGTACGGGTCCGGGACCCATGAGGGCGTCGTTGAACGAAACTTTCTGTGAGGCGCGCGAATCCATCGAGTCGTCGCGATCGCGTTGGTTCTCGGATGGCGACAAGGTTCTGGTTCGGTCCAGAGTGATCGCCCGCGACAGGGGTACGCCGATCGGCGGTCCGCGACTGGTTTTGGCAGTCGAGTTCTCCGGGACCGCGGGGAAGGTCAGACGCATGGATGGGTGTCGGCGAGCCGTCAACGGGTTTGGGAAGGGGAACGCCGTAGAGCCCGCACTCGAAGTGGAAGCCGATGAGGTCGCCCGCTCGTTGCGTGGTCCATTCGTTGGCTGATCCTTGCGAGCTGCAGGCTGGATCGGAGCCGGCGGCGTGGGCCACAGCCAGCATGGGTACGGAGGATCGGGAAGACAGAAACTTGTCGTGTCGTCTTTGCTGGGTGCCGATGTTGACAAGTAGGAGGTGATGAAGGGCGCGAGCGGCAGATCATCGTGGTCGGGCTCAAACCTGCCCAGTCAGCGGACGAACGTGCGTGACACTCACCGAAACACCTCGCCTTCGATACTATCTGGCGCCCATCCCTGCAGCTTGCGGAGAGCCGCAACGACCAGCGTGGTGTGGGAGTTGCCGTCGATGTCTGCCAGGTAGATCGGATAGAGGGAAGGGTCTAGCAGCATCTGTTGTTAGGGGAGCCTTAAGAGGAAAACCCACCTTTAGCACCTCGGTGACCTCGTCGCGGTCCATACCCAACGTCTCTTCTCCCATCTTATCAGCCTTAACCCAGACGACGTTGATGCCGTTCTTGCTCGCCCAGTTCAGAAACGGGTCTGTCTCCTTCAATGGCTTCTTCCGCATGCAGATGAGCGTCTTGACCCCGAGTCGCCTCACGAACGCTGCATTGCGGGCCGCGGGAATCGAGCCTCTGTAGAGGATCTGGTGTGCGACATTATCATCATCGCAAGGCAGAGGGCTCGCGACAATAGCCCAGTGATATGGGGGCGTCAGTACCCGCATCACGAGCAACCCGGTGGAGGTCACCCCGCTGGGAGCGTGAAAGGTTGTAGATGTGGAGAGGCGAGCAGTAGTACAGTGGGAACTGCGTTAGGTTAGAGCGGATGCTTATGCAACAGGAAGATGCGGTGGGCTCTCTGCACTGGAATGCTTGAGGGCTAAAGAGGGTATCGGGGACGAGGCCGGTGTGGGTGACGAGAGGTGGATTTTTCTGGCTGGAAAGGAGGAGACTGAAGCTGGGGCAAGCAAGGGCGGCGACCAGACGGGGAGGGCGGAAGCAGACCGAGGCGACAAGCGGTGGGGAGTTGGACTAGCGCGTGTGCGATGGGTGTGTTATGACGAAGCGCTCTGTCGTGCAAGTTGCAAGGGCGCGTGGACGGAGACGAGTTGAGTGATGGTGAGCCTGAAAGTGACGACAGGAGCCCGGTCGGGATCTCTGACGTCCCTGTTGTTGGGTTGGATACGTTCGGCGGCGAACGAGAGAATCCGGACCCATACGGACGCGGACAAGGCACAATCCCAGAGCGTCGCGTCGCACCCCTTCCGGGTCTCAAGCAAACGACGTCATCGCCTTCTGCCTTCAAATAGACTTTTCGAACCCTGGCTTCAGCCGTCCAATTAGAAGCGGAATCTTTTCTGGTTATTAGCTTCATTACCTTTTGGTGGGTCGCAGGTCTCACTCGTCTGATCTTCGCCGCCCAGGTTCATCCCACCGCCGCCGTCGTCGCCCCTAGCCGTCAACAATCCCATCCTCCTCGACCTGTCTTCTCTTCCTTCTTCAACCCTCTTAAACACCACACGTCAGACCCAACTTCTGACCCTGTCCCGGCACCCTGTTCGCATCAGCCACGATTCACCGCAGTCACCGTCCTTCGCTTTCCACTTCTCTTTTGTTGTTGTAAACAACCGACTCTCGCCCGCACGACCCGTTATTGTGGCGCTCGACCAGCTGGACATTTTGAGTCCAAGTTGCCATGCCAAGACGCTCCTTCGTCAAGTCGGTCCTCGGCCGTCCCTCGCGCAGCTACGCAAAGGAGGCGGTCTCACCGTGGTCCGACGAGCCAAGCTATCTCAACGGTACACTCTCCCGACAGCCTACCCTGCATGATCTGCAACTTTCGACTGGGCCGCGAAGAGGCGGCTCACTCCTGAACTTTGGCGGTCCGACATACAGTGATATCGCCAGTCCGCCAGCGTCCGACATTGGTATTCCCTCCTCGTCCCGCCGACGCCCACGGAAGGCGAGCTCAGACATTGGGTACCAACCGTCGTCGATGCCCAGTTACTCGATCTTCCATGTCAGTGGCAGACCGATCATCGAGGACGAGCGGGAGACGGCCTCCGAATACTCCGAGGTCAGCGAGGCCTGCCAGTATGTGCCGCCAGCCGTGGTGAACCGACAGCCGATACGCGCGCAACCGCAAAGACCACAGGAACCACCGCAGAAGCCAAAGGTTCGACACACTCATTTTGCAGACAAGGTAGAGTACATGGAGGAGCCAAGAGAGCCGCCCCAACTGCGCAAGAACAGCAACTCTAGTTCTGCCTCCTCGGACACACAAACGTCCAGTGCGACTGTTTCTGCCATACACTCGCCGACCTCATCCATTACCGTGGCCGCGCGACCATTAGAAGCGGAACGCAAACCATCACCCCTTGGTGGAGGGCGGCGAAACGTGCTTGACACTACGGGCGCGATCCCTGGGCCGGCCATCCCGGCTTCGACGAAACCAACGAAAGAGGTTAGGTTTGAGGCACCGCCGTCTCCTCCAACCCCACCGACACGAACAGTCGAGCCTGCACCTGTCGCTCCAAGTGACGACTCGCAAGCACCAGAGCGGCGGCCAACAGTGAACGGCAGTGTCTCAACATCTACTGGAGCAGTGAACAACCAGGTGTCTGCGCCACCAGTCTCAGCCGACGCTCCTCGGCCACACCATGCCAAGTCGGGATCAACGGACTCAAGTAATGACTTCTACACGCCGCGGTCTTCCCTGGAGTCGGCTCGCTCCGGGGGCACGGAGTCGGACGCCGAAACCCCGCTAGCGCAGTACGCCGAGATGCCGTTACCAGTCTTCCGGGTGCAGCCACCGACGCCGGGTGCCTCCTCCGATATGTCTGAACCGAGGTACTTGAGCGACACTCCTGATGATCATCTGGCAGCGGAGCCTGTACCAAGGAGCCACAATCTCCAGGACGAGGACACGATAGAGGAGGAGACGGAAACGGAGACCGAAAGTGACAGCCGTGATGATCACGGGAATCGAGAAATCCACGAGATTCACACCTTCGACACCCCATCCACGTACGACCTGGCTTCTATGCCGTCGGCGCCTGTCCGACCACCGCTCCCTCGCAAGAGTTCGAAGCGACCGGAGGTGCATAAGGCGGACGAGCCGGTCACACCCCAATCCAAGCCTAAACTTGCCCGAAACCCTTCCTCATCTTCGACCATTTCTCGAGGAGGCCGTGTCACGGGCGCGACAGTCACCATCTTGAACGAGCGCCCGAACAGTCGGAACTCGGGACGCCCTAACCTCACTCGATCCAGCAGTAATGCCTCCAATTCCACAGTCACTCGACCGAAGTCGTCTCAGTCCGCTCGCAAGAGCAAACAGGAGCGCCCTACGAAGCTCCAATTACACGCCAGGTTCGACCCGTCGCCCCCTTCCTCCCGGCCTGTCTCGAGGGCTTCATCTGCGTCGCATTATTCCCAGAACTCGGACCAGACATCTTCCTCGCGACCGAAGCTGGGCTCCGAAATGTCATACAGTTCGTCCGTCTCCCAACTTTCCCAAAAGTCTGGGCAGTCCAGTGGTTCCATTCCCGGCTCAACGTCATCTCGCGGTGCGAATGGAAAGGGTGGCTGGGCGGCCGCGTCTGCCACGCCGGTAGTCATGTACATGCCTTCCGGAGGGAATGACGGGTGGGCCGCTTTCCAGCCGTTACCTCCACGCTCTCGGGCTATGCCTCTCCCGGGCTCTCACCGAACTTACGAGCGCGAGTCGCCATCTGTCTCAGCGGCTAGCAGCAGTATCGGCGGCAGTGCAGGCGGCAGCGTTGTCGAAGACTCTGAGGAACACCCCAGCTATAACGACTACGCTGGTCCGCTCTTCGTCCCCAACAGCATTCCGCACAGCGCCAGCATGCCTCTCCCTCGCGCAATGAGCCCACCAATGGCTGCCGCTGGGTCACCGCTGAGCTCCGAGTTCCCCGTGAATGGCCGCGCCATAGTCTCGCCTGCGCCAGTACGACTGCCGCAGAAATCTATGCCTCCTCCTGTCCTGGAGCCGCCAGCGCCTGCTCCGCCACCTGTCGCAGCGCCTGCAGCGCCCGTCGCGCCACCTCCCGTGGTGGAGGAAGAGAGCGACAGCGACAGTAGCGATAGCAGCGACTCCATGGAGAAGCCTTCGCGGAGCTACATCAACACGCCCCCTGGGTCATTGCCTTCGGAACGGCGCAATGGCACCGCTGTCGCCCATCGCGCCGCATCGCCTGTAGGATCGATTGCTTCGATCGCATCACTTAACCGCGAACGTAGGCGGTCGCTTCCTTCGTCCGGTAGCGTCTCGTCATCCATGTCTGGGAGGTCGGTTCGCAAGTCGTGGATGCCCCCTGGACCCGTGCCTCCCGTCCCGCCCATTCCTGCGTCGATAGCGTCGACATTGTCCCGTCCATCGGCGCCTCCTTCCATCGCCTCGGACGGTCCTGACTTCTCGAGGCCGCTGAGCCCCATGACGCGAGCTTCGCTCGACCGGCCCAGCTCGCTGAACCCAGATGTCCTGACTCTGTTGCCGGAGATGACAGAGGAGGACTCGAACACGCTGTACAGCTCGGGCAAGCAACACCGCAGGACGGCGTCGGAGATTGGTGGGGTCGTTCGTAGGACTTCCATGTTCGGTCGAAACCCGCGCCAGCCCAAGATCAGCAAGGCTATGAGTGACGTTGGTGGCCACCACCGCACCGCGAGCGACGTTGGGCACGACCTCCGGGCTGCGAAGACTGAGGTGCCCGTTGGCTACGCTCGAAGCGAGGGTGGCGGCAGCATTGTCGGTCGTCCCTTTAGCCCAACCCACTCTCTGCGTCGGAAGCAGGACGGCACCATCGATCTGAATGGCTGGGACGCTGCGAGCAACGCGGCCGAGATGCCGATTATGGAGAGCCACGGCCGCGGCCACAACGCGACCAACGGATACACCAGCCTAATCCTTCCTCAGGGTGGCGGTTACAAGCCCGCTGACCCCATGAAAGCGGCCGGCTCCATCGACCACCGTATCCTCGGCATGCCGACCGGAGCCATGGGAGCAATCACATTCCAATCGTCTGCGTACCTGAGAGCGAAGAAGTCCAAGGAGGCGCCGACGCCGAAGCACTTGCAGCAGTTCCTGCCTTCCCCCGTCGACTTCTCATCGCACATGCAGCCTCCTACGAAGGTGGCCAAGCACCAGATCCTGCTGCAAGTGTACGCTGTCTCGGTCGACGCCGTGGACATCAAGGCGTGCGACTTGAAGACGGAGTCGGATGTTGGCAAGTTCATTCCTGGACGCTCGTTCGTCGGCCGTGCCGTTACTGTCGGCACGGACGAGGGCGAGATCTTCCGCGGCGACATGGTCATGGGCCTAGTCGACGTGCGCAAGTCTGGCGCGCTCGCCGAGTACATGGTCGTGGAGCGGCGGCGCGTCGCCCGAGTCCCGCCCAGCACGCATCTCAGTTTAGAACAGCTGGCAATCCTGCCTTCGCAGGGCATCAGTGCCTTCCGCGCGCTGCAGGGCTGCATCTCGGGCGTGCGCACCGCGCTCATCATGGACGCGCATCTTGGTATTCCCGCCCTGCTCTGTCAGCAGATGCGCCGGCAGGGTATCAGCGTCACGGCAGTCATCCCCGGCGGCGACGAGCACGCCGAAGCCCAAAAGCAGGCGTACGACAACGGTGCCCGCGGTTGCATGACCGGGCTCCCGTCGCAGGTGATGAACTCGCTCGAGGAGGGACTCTTCGACATTGTCGTGGACACGCGCGGCGGGGACAAGACGTACAGCGCTGCGGTCCGCGTGCTCGCCGAGGGAGGGCTGATCATCTCGCTCGCCGGCCCGGCACCCGAGAATGCGCGCGGTGTTCAGCGAAAGGGCGCGTTCAAGCGCATGTTCTCGCGCGCTCCCCGCCCGCCCCGGTTCGAGGAGATCCGCCCAGCGGGCGACGGAGAGGCCGAGGTCGACCACTCGGGCCAGGACACGAGGGATGTGCTCGAGCAGCAGGTCGTGGGCATGTACCGTCCCGTCGTTGGCAGTATCGTGCCCCTTGAGAAGGCGCCGGAGCTCTTCGTGTACAAGCCCGGAACGGAGGAGAGGCTCCGCGCCAACGTTGTCCGCATCATCAACTAAATCCTGTATCCATTAGCACATCTTAGCAATCTTATAATACACATGCATAGAGCTAGCAGCACGTCGGGGGCATTAGTAAGCTTAGCGAGCAAGGGCGCGCGCAGCGAGCTCGTCACAGGAAGATCGTGTTTATTATACAATGCATCTGACTGGTCTTGTTCTACAACTATCGCATACCTCCCAGCTTGCTCGCGAGTTCCTGGCGGAGGAGGTCCTCCTTGCTCTTCGCCTCGAGCCCCGAAAGACTCCTCAGTTCGCCGACGACATCCTTCGTCTTGCCAAAGTACACGGACGAGAGGAGGTTGCGCATCTTGATCTCCATGTCCTCGACCATGCGGCCGATATTGCCAATGTGCGCGGTGGCGTTGGGCAGCGCGCAGTCCGTCGCCGCCTGCCGCGTCATGCTGCCCGAGAGCGTCACGTTGCCCTCGCCCTGGGCCGCCAGCTTGGCGTCCTCCGGCGACGACGTCCGCGCCTCCAGCACCAGCATCACCGTCGAGGTCAGCTTGTACTTGGCCTGGCGGCCGCGCTCGGCACACTCAAACACGTGCAGCGAGTCCCAGGAGCCGGAAGAGGGGCCGCTCGGAAGCGCTGATGTCAGCTACGGATCCGCAAGGTAAGCCGTTGGTGACACTCACTCTTCTTCATCAGCACGACGCCAGCAAACTGCATGTCCTTGGCCGTCGCGGGGTCCTCATCCAGGTCCCAGAGGTAGACAGAGCTAGTGCCTCCCTCAAAGTACATCTCGCGGTACGTCTCGAACGCGGTGTTGAGCGAGACCTCGAGCTGCCTCAGCCTCGGGGAAGGTTGAGGGGCGCCAGGCGCAGGGGGGATGTACTCGTCCGTCCACGGGGAGCGGAAGCTGTCTCCATCACGGTTGTAGTCGCATCCGAGGAAGTCCTTCCCGCTCTGCTCGTCGTGCAGCACCTTGAGCGGCTGGTCGACGTTGCCGAGCAGGTCGTCGGCGTACTCGGGCGCGAGCTGGCAGAGCGCCTCGATGTTCGCCTCGGCGCGTGTCGGCGGGAGACGCCTCAGAAGGTCCAGCAACGCTTCGAATGTGTCTGCTGTCAGCTGTTGCCCTCCTCCATAGCTGGCGACTCACTGTCCTCGGCCATGGTGTTGTGGGTGCCAGCGACCACCCGACCGATCGTCGAGAGGTATGACGCGGTAGCCCCGCCACGCCCCTGTTGATACGGAGGCCACGTGGGCCACGTATTTATCCTCGGCCTACTGCCTTTGCCTCGGGTAGTACTCCACCGAGGCGTCGGCGCCGAGCGATGAAATCATCGATTCGGCGGATCGACTTAGATTTCGATCACCCCGAACTCCCTTTGTGCATACAACACAAACACCTGCTCCCACACAGACAACAACAGAACCGACATGAACACGCGCGGCGTGTCTGTTCTGGGAAGCCTTGGGATCGGCGTCGCGCGCAGCCCCTGCGTGCCTGCTCGGCCATTATTGCGAGCGCGATCGGTAGTGGCGACGCCGAAGCGTTTCAAAACGACAACATCCTTTTGGTCTACGAGCTACCCGGCTCCGGTTCAGGATGCTGCTGCCGACAAAGTGCCCCCGCCTCCTCCGCTGCCGGCTCCGAGTGCAGTTACACAAGCCGAAGAGACGGATCGGCAGCGTGCGCGCCGGCAGCAGAGATACCTCGACAGTCTCATGAATAAGGCCGGCGAGGTTGGACTGCAGTGTAAGCGCAGTACCTCAGGTCAAGCTAACGACAGGCTCGATCCTGGACGCCAACGGAAACTGGACAGCAGAGGAGGGAAAATACAAGAAGATGGACCTGTGTCGAGCCCACGACCTCGATGTGAGTCACACGTGTGCTGATCGGCGAGCACTGGCCGACCTGTTCCATTTTCAGGAAAACGCAACGCCCCATCGGCTCCGCTTTGTTATCTTGCGCTAACATCAGCCACGCGACCTGCGCAAGCTAGACTCTATCACGCCCTCCCTCGTCCCCGTCATCCTCACGACGCGGTCCTGTATCCTCATCTCGATCCTGCACCTGAAGGCTTTGATCAAGCCTGACCGCGTCATCATCTTCAACCCACCGGGGTACCAGGAGTCCGAGGCCGCTCGCCGGTTCAAGGAACACCTGCAGGAGAATGTGCGCGCGGGTCTGAACTCGAACCACTGCGGAGAGGGAGAGGAAGAGATGGGCCTGCCGTATGAGCACCGCGCGCTGGAGAGTATCCTGGTCGACACGGCGAACGCACTCGAGGAGGAAATGGGCTTCATCCGTCGCCTGGTCAAGAACCTCCTGCAAAATCTCGAGACGGACATTAACCGCGAGAACTTGCGCAAGCTGCTGCACTACTCTCGCCGACTGGCGGGATTCCAGTCCCGCGCCAAGTCGATCAAGTCGGCGTTTGACGAGCTGCTCGACTCCGACGAGGACCTGTCGGCGATGTACATCACGGACAAGCTGAACGGTCGCCCCAGGGCGCTGCACGACCACGCGCAGCTCGAGCTGTTGCTTGAGAGCTTCACGAAGCAGGTCGAGGAGATCGTTTCCGAGATCGACACGACAGCGGCAAATATGCAGAGCACACAGGAGATTGCCGAGCTCATGCTCGACTCGGGCCGCAACGCCCTCCTCGCCCTCGACATCAAGGTCAGCATTGCAACCCTCGGTATTGGAACTGGAGCCCTGGTAGCGGGATTGTTCGGCATGAACCTGACCACGACGCTGGAGGACTCGCCGTGGGCGTTCGCCATCGTCTCGGGTATTACGGCCTTCATCGCAGCCTGTGTGTTCGGATACGGCTCGCGCGTACTGAGGAAGGTTCGACACATCGCGCTTGTTTCCAAGCCGACCTCGCTGCCTGAGTCCGTGCGGGAGGCGAAGGAACGTTTCGTCCGAGAGCGCCTGGACAGGCAGCGTGCGATGGAGGCCGAGCGCGAGCGCATTGCGCGTGAGACACAGGCGCGCACACCGAACAACACGCTGCACAAGGTGAACCTGAGCCCGATTCCGGACTATGAGGAGCGGTGGACCGCCGTTCGCATGGGACAGAGGAAGGAGGCGTCGCTCTGGGACCGTCTGTTCCGGCCAAATAAGCTAAGGAAGCAGCTCCTCGGCATGCCCTCTGGAGCCGTGACGGCGTCGAGCGTGCCGAGTTCCACGACGGGACCGAAGAAGGCCCAGCCTACGCCCGCTAAGGCTCCCACGCGCCCAACGACGAAGCCGGAGAAGCCCAGCGCGACCCGAGCACCGGCACTCCAGCCCGCCCCGGCCGCGGCTAACGCTGAATCGAAGTAATGACCTAACACCACTCAGACGACCAGAAACGGAATATAATCGCCCCACTGCATAGACATCACTTGTAGCTCACAACTCATTTGTAACCGATCTAGCATGCACACCTCTGCCATTGAGCGTCGCGCTGTCATTCGGCGGGATATGGAGCGACAATCGGGATCGGGTCGTCGGCGTCGTTACTTCGCCGAGCGGTCTCGGGATATGCTCGTCAATGGCCGGGCTCCGTTGTCGGCGGGACAGGATGATGGAATAAACCACATTCAACGTCAGCAAGGGCATAGGGCTGTGTCAATATCGAGAGGTGCGAGGAAAGTCAGTGAGCTCGACCAAGCTGTCAGCTATGCCGTGTGGCATCCGAGGAAGATTTCTGGAGGGCCGTCTTTGGCCCTAGAGCGCCGTACACCCCGCGATGAGCTTGAGATGGAGCGCTCCGAGCGACATTGACAGCGAGAAACCATCGGCGAAGACTTGGCAGTAGCGAAGCAAGGGCCTGGCCACCGTCGGCGGCCTTCGGCGTCCAGCGGCGTCCATGCACGACCTCGGGCGGCGATGGGGGCCCTGCAGGAGCAGCAACCCCGCTCCTGTCACCGCATGGCTCTGGACCGAACCGTGTCATTCGGAAGTATTAACACTCGCCACCGAAGCTGCCGATGCTTCTGAGTGTGGCCGCTTTCACTAATGACGCCCACGACGTCGCCGCAGGTCTCTGATCTCTGAGAGGCGGGAGGCACGATCCAGAGGGAGGCGGAAGTGTAAGCCGTTGTTCAGCCGGCCATTGGTGTTCTTGCCGAGAGCATAGTCGATGCAGAAGCAGTGAGTGATGGAAGAAGATACAGAAGCACCTTCTTTCCTTCTGTTGCAGAGATGTGCTCGTGCATCGCACAGTCAGCTCATGATGAGACCATGGAGGAAGGTGCACCCAGCTCAGTAACTGGGTCCGTGCATCGCGCGTTCGGCCCAACCACTGTCTGTCGAGGGTTCAGCCAAGTGTGGGGACTGTGGGGTAAAGGGCGATAACGTCTCTGATTCTTACTGGCCAGGCAGGGTACAGGGAGGGATGACGCAACGGCCATCTCCGCTGCATTGGCCGCCTGGACAACAGGAGGCGGGCGGGCGGGCTGGCGGCCCGCGGCACTTCCAGCCAATGTACCCAGCGTGCCCAGCATGCCCAAGACGGTATGTCGGGATCACCCGTGTTTGTCGTCCTGCATCCCTGCTGATCAGGTCTGTTCAGGGTCCAGCCAGCTGCCGATTCGAAAATAAGGCCGGCACGAGACCCTGGATTCTCGGTGTGACTGGTTAGAGCTGGCTGATAGCAGCGAGGATTCAGGGTTCGGGCCCAGATTTATTTCGAACTTGGCCATCGTTTTTTGCATCACTGTGCTTCCTCTTCGACTGTCGTCGTCGCCTCTCTGCAACGCTGACGCTTCGAGGGGAGGTTCATCCGCATGCTGAAGAGGAGCTCCGTTCGATAATGGCGGAGCTTGTCGTCCGCTCTGCTCTTCCCCGCTCGCCCAGCCTCGCACCGTGCTGTACCGAGATGTGATCGATGTGGCTCCGCGCTCCGCAGATCCGTGGCCTTCGTGTCCCCTCGCCCCCGCTATCACGCCAGCTGTGCCAGCGCCAAGCTCCCACCCAGAAAGACAATCCGACGTTTGCCAGCCATTCGGCCCCGGGATCCCGGGACTGCTCCCGACACCATTGCTACGTGGTTCTTCGAGCGCGGCCGCGCTTTCGCGCTTTGATGGTTACTCACGCATCACGCAGCCACCCCTGCGCCACGAGAAACGGCGAAAAAACCGAAGTCCCACCACCAGTGGTCCTAGGCACTTGGCCCAATCCTGGTGCTCGGAAGTCCCGGCGCTGGAAGTGCTTCATGCGCTGATGGCAGGCACGCTGACAAACGTCACACACCTGACACGCTCAGGGTCCGCTCCAGCCGGCCCCAGACGGGGCACACGGCGACTTGATATTAGTCCTATGGACCCGGCCGGTCGGTGACTTGGGTTCAATTGCCCCGATATTTGTGCGCTTGGATCAGCCCTGGGACATGGGGTTGATGTGGAGGTGATGCCAAGTTGCGGCGCTGCGTTGTGCGCTTTCTGTAGAGTTATGCTGGTATCTGAAAGATGCATCAACCGGTCCTAACGGTTGCTAAACTACAATCTATGCGCACCCATCATGTCGCCCGGTAACAAGACATGTTATTTTTAAGAGGAGAAAGTATAGATGGGAGGGTAGGTAGATGAGATGATGAGGGGAGAGTCATGATGAGTGATTAGAGTTTTATCGCCATGTCCGAAGCCGCTTAGACCTTGGACTTGGGGGCGCGAGCGAGGAGCTTCTTCTGGAGGAGCTCGTTGACCTTTGTCCATGTAGACAGTGGTCGTGACCCAGTCCTCGCGCTTCATGGCCTTGCCCTTCATGGCGAGGGCGAGGTCCTTAGTCATGACACCACCGTTGATGACCTCAACACAGGCGTCCTCAAGGTCCTTGGCGAAGGCGGCGAGCTCGGGGGTGTTGTCGAGCTTGGCACGGAAGGCAAGACCACGGGTCCAGGCGAAGATGGAGGCGACCGGGTTGGTCGAGGTCTCCTCACCCTTCTGGTGCTGGCGGTAGTGGCGGGTGACGGTGCCGTGGGCGGCCTCGGCCTCGAGGATGCCTCCGTCGGGGGTGATGAGCTCAGAGGTCATCATACCAAGCGAGCCGAAGCCCTGGGCGAGAACGTCAGACATAACGTCACCGTCGTAGTTCTTGCACGCCCAGACGAAGCCACCGTCAGACTTGATGGCCTGAGCGACCATGTCGTCAATGAGACGGTGCTCGTACCAGATGCCGAGCTTCTCGAAGGTCTGCTTGTAGTCCTTCTCGTAGATCTCGGCGAAGATGTCCTTGAAGCGACCGTCGTAGGCCTTAAGGATGGTGTTCTTGGTGGACATGTAGAGGGGCATCTTCTTCTCAATGGCCATCTTGAACGAGGCGTGGGCGAAGCCCTCAATCGACTCATCGGTGTTGTACATCGACATGGCGACACCCTTGCCCTTGAAGTCGAAGACGTTGAGCTCAATGGGCTCACCTCCGTTCTCGGGCTGGAACTTGAGGGTGAGGGTTCCAGCACCGGGGACGACCATGTCGGTCGAGCGGTACTGGTCACCGAAAGCGTGACGGCCGATGATGATGGGCTTGGTCCATCCGGGAACGGGCTTGGGGAGGTCCTTCAGGATGATGGGCTCACGGAAGACGGTTCCTCCGAGGATGTTACGGATCTGCCTGTTAGTTTGCGCGCTTCAAGCACAGAAAAACGCAACGCCCCCCGTGGAATGCTTCCCCAGTGTGGGGCCTCGGGTGCCGCGCGGTAACTCACGGTTCCGTTGGGCGACTTCCACATCTTCTTGAGCTTGAACTCCTCAACACGAGCCTCATCGGGGGTGATGGTGGCGCACTTGACGGCAACCTTGTACTTGAGGGTGGCCTCAGCGGACTCGACGGTAACCTTGTCGTCGGTCTGGAAATGGTCAGCGCCGGAGTTACTTCGGTGGAAAAACGGTCGGTAGTGACGTCGACGGAAAAGGCCGAGAGCCGCTTTTTCGTCGTCTCCAGCGAAAAATCGCTAGCTCCTACCACCAGCTGGGTACTCACGGCGTCACGGTTCTCCATGCCGAGGTCGTAGTACTTGAGGTCGACGTCGACGTAGGGGAGAATGAGCTCGTTACGGATCTTCTCCCAGATGATGCGGGTCATCTCGTCACCGTCCATCTCGACGACGGGGTTCTTGGCCTTGATCTTCTCAAGGCCGGCGGGGGTCTTGGCAACCTGGGTAGACATGGTGGCGAAGAGTCGGGTAGGGGAGGGGTAGCGGGGTCGAAGGGGGGAGGTACGGGAAAGAAGCGAGAACTGTTGAGATCGAAAGGATAAGAGCAATCGCAAAGAAGTTGCGTGTCAGCTTTAATATGGAAGACGTATCGAAAGGGGGAAGGTGGGGGCTGAGATATACCGAATGGCCCGAGGCAGGGGCAAGGACAGCGCAAGGTGCAGGGCCGGGGGGACAGGAGTTTCCCTGTCGGCTGCCCAGGTGTCTCCCTGGCTGATGCCATGACACGCGGCGGAGGGCGGGCCTGGCAGCGGAGGAGTATGCAGGAGGGGAACAAGGGGCAGCACGCCAGAGCATTGCGCTGGGCCCATTGGGCCGCCCGGCGGTGATATCCAACGCTACGCTGAGAAAAGTGCTCTAGGGCATTTTGTGGAGCAACCACTTGGGGTTCGGCGATGTTCGGATTTCGCCGTGGTTACGCAGCACTGGCCATTACAACCCTCATTACAAAACACCCTTGGTCCCTAATCGATCATTAGGAACAACGTCACTCACCATGATGATTTAAACTCTCGCGCGAGTGAACGTTGCTGGCTGGCTGGCTGGCTGGCTGGAGGCTGGAGCTGAGCTTGACGCAAACGGTGGGGACAGACGAGCACTATGCGCTGTCTGGTCGTCTGGGTCGGGATCGGGGTCCTAGTCGCAATGTATGTGCGACGGGTGTGCGGGCAAGGGCAAGGGGGCTGACGCGATGCGTTTATGTGGTTCACAATCAGATCGTGCGGACTTGTCCGATGGATGGTTTGAGACTGGCTCAGGCTGATTGAAAAGGCGGCTCAAGTGCGAGGTTGATATAACGTCGCGAAATGGGTTTCGGTGGCGAGAACGGCTGTGCTAGCGGTTCTGGGGATGCGTAACGGTAGGATCGGTTGTGCAGCGGGTGAGTAGTGAGTAGAGGGAAGGATGCATTGTCTACGACGGTAGTGTTGTTGCCCATCTTGACGGGCTGGGCTGGGCTCAAGGAGCGAACGGCGTCAATCAAGGCTCAAGCGCCGTTGTGCAAGCTGGTCAGGTGGCGGCATGGGCACATTGGACATTGGACATATGGGCGAGGCTGGGCGGGCTGGGCTGGCTTTTTCGTATCGCGCGCGCAGGTGACCCAGTACCGTTACTAATGGACGGGCATTACGGAGCTTAAAGAGCTTAGATCGGATTACCAGGACACGCGTTCTATTAGTCTGTGCTCACCCCGCGTCGGAGCAAGGGGCCCTGGCTCTGGTTCCAGCAATGTCCCTGCTTGCCCCTGTTCTTCATCGTGTGCGCGCACGCTCACCTAAGCAAGTCTTTAATCCAGGTCAAAGCAGGCCCTGTTTCGGCACAACCAGGCTTAAATTCCGACGTCACCGTGGGAGACCGTGACCCGTATATACTTATGTCTTGCACCAGAAGATGTGGGGTGCCTGTGCAGTACTTCTCCTCAGATGATCGGATTATTAACCTAGTGAGACTCTCCGCGGAAGCTTCAGCACCGCTCACCTGCCTGCCTGTTCCAATCGCACGATTTTCCGCGCCGGGGCCGCACGGGCCGGTCTCAGCTTGACCACCGTACCCAGCGGCGCAGATGTCCCACTCCAGCCCGCTGCAACCCGCCCAGCGGACACAACGGCATGCGGCACACCCAGCGGGCACCGAAGCATGCCAAGATTGGATATGTCGCCCGCGTCCTTGGAAAATCGGTCAGCTGACAATTCGATAAGAACCGCAGCCAAACAAGCCAGAGTCAAGCCACCCCGCGACGCCATCGAATGTAATGTCGACGGCGACGGCCACCGTGCACTCAGTGTCGAGCATCGGTGCACATCGCCGCTCGACTTTCCGCTCTGGCTTCTCGTCAAGCGATGCACGCCATGGCAGCCATGGGCGAGCCGGCGCGCGAGCCATGCAGGGCACCAAGGGCCCAGAGGTACCGACGCGCTGGCTTGCTGCTCCTGTTATGCCGATGCGATAGGCAGAACTAAGTCCCTGGCAATCTGGGGTCTCCGCGTCTAGTCCAGCCCACTCGGCGATAACTTCGGCATTGCTCTATACGCTGACGACTAGCCTCACACCATATGTGGGCAGCTTAAGGATTCGAAAAGCCATCGTCGACATTCCCGTTCTGAGCCTTGACAGCCGGCTCGGTGCCGGCGAGTACGTCGTCGCATGCCGCCGCTGCCCCCGGCCTGGTGGCCGATACATGCCCGAGCCCACCGACCAGACCGCGTGCTGCACCTATCTTGGTTTTCCCAGGAATCGCTGTGGTCGTCTCTCTCGTCCGGCAATGCCGAGATGCACCGGCAGCACCGGCAGGTACGAGTGCAAGAGAAAGTTGCCGTACTGAGCCGTTACGAGCCGCTCAAAGCACCGGCCGGGCCGGGACCCGGACGACTGAATGCACTTCGAGCTGATGCTTCGGAAATCGGCGATCGGCATATACGGCAAACGATGGGTATAGCCTCGCACCATCGTGCACCATGCACTGCGCACGCGACGTTCAACAGGGCGAGAGACGCCGCAACTCCGGAGAGCACCAGAGCGGGACTTGGATACCGCCCCGTCCTCGCGCCCGCGGTCGCGGGCTTGAGCGTGTGCGTCCTGGCTGACGGCGGAGATTCCCGATGATCGACGGCACAATCATTGGTGACTTCCAGTACTGTTATCATCCCGCGTATCTCGTCAGCCTCGCTTGGCTTTGCACTCCAGAGCAACGGTACAAGACGTCATGGCATGTCCGAGTAGTCCGAATCCCGTCGCACAACTTGCGTGCTTTGCAGCACTCCACGCCCGCATGAGTCGTTTCGTTAATGAGACGCTGCTGTGGAGGAGCTCCCGCGGGGTAAGGTATGTGGGGTCCAGATCGTCGCCAGAGTGGGGGAGCTCGGTGCTCGAGCTCTGCGCGGTATGCGGGGCGCTCTGTCTGGGTTCCAGCGCAGAACCCTCGCTCCGTATCTGAAGCTCAGACGCTGCATAGCTCCTTGGCGTGATACGGCCCCAGCCGTGTGTTGAGACGCCGATGAGGCCTGGGGAGCCCCGGACACTTACGAACACCTCCAGATCTGCAGAACCAAAGACACAGGGGCGTATGCGCGACTTCGAAGCTATAGAAGCGCCAGATAGGCGTTCTGAAACAAGCCGAGGCGCCCTGGGCGTCGCAGGTTATGCATCAATGCGGCGAAGCAGTGTCACAGTAGTGGCCGAGTTGAGGATCTGTTCGGTTCGCCTTCAACGCTAACATGCGCTAACGACGTTCGTTTCACTTTCTGCAGATCTGCAGATGGAACGCAGTGTCCTTCCTCACTCGACGCTCCAATGTTTCATTGCTCCAACAGACGTCATCCAAAAACGATTTACGTGCCCCCACTCAGAATCGAACTGAGATCTAGAGATTGCAACAGAGCATATGAGACTCGCGTACTAACCATTATACTATAGGGGCTGTGCTCGTAGAGCTGTTCCCTGCCGCCGCGCCGCGGCTCATGTTCACCGCCCGACGAACTCGAATGCTCGAGCTGCGGCCATTTGAGCCATTCTGAGCTCATTATGCATGCAGAAGAGGGGGAGCCCTGAATGCAGGAGCATGTTCAGAGGTTCTACGAGCGCAGAACTCAGATCAAGGGTAGCGGCGACCACGTGACCCGCCAGCCCAATGTCTGTTCAGCCGAACGTCATCTACTTTCCTCGACATTTGTTCCAGCTGCGCCTTTCACACATTTCCACACTCTTCACATAGACCAACACCATGTTCCGAACAGCCGTGCGCCTTGCCGAGTCTGGCCGTGTCCCCCTCTCGCTCTCGCAGGCGAGCGCCGAGCTTCTTCCCCCGATCCCGTGAGTCATTCTCCTTCCTCCGCCTCCACCTGGTGTCTTCCTCCACTCCTCCATTCCTTAGACTTCAAGCTGTCGAGCGCCGACCACGCAAAGCTGACACCACAGGCTGTACCGACGACTTCTGCGTGCTCACCGCTCGCTTCCCGCCGAGATGCGCTTCATGGGCGACGCCTACGTCAAGTCTGAGTTCCACGCGACCAAGGGCACCGACAACCCGCTGCACATCATGGCCTTCCTTGGCCAGTGGAAGATGTACCTGGACCAGATTGAGGCGCAGCTCAACGAGGGCAAGCCGTTTGACGGACGGAAACTCGACCCCGAGATTATGAACTCGCTCAACAACGAGCAGGTCGGACAGCTGTACGAGCTCATGCACTCGACGGACGACCTGTGGAAGACGTGAGTGTGCAACAGTTATACAGGTGTAACTGACATCAGGCCGGAGGAGCTCGAGGCTGCGGCTGCCGAGGCCGAGGCGGCTGACGCTGCCGAGCGCGCCGCGGAGGAGAAGAAGTAAACCCAAATCATCAATGCATATCTAATCACGGACATCTTGACTACTGCTTATCCGACCCACTCGTACGCTTCTGTCGGCTCGGTGCCCTCGACGGTCCAGCCCATGATCCGGGGCAGCGGAACAGTGACCTTCTTGACCCGTCCTTCTCCCTCGAGCTTCTCAATGTGCGCCGTAATCGTGCGCATCGCGGCCATGATGAGCGGCTGGTGGCCGCTCTTGTAGATCAGGCGACAGAGGAGCGGGAGCGTGACGGCGCTGGCGCCCTCGTCGTTCGGTCCGGGGAAGAGCGCCGCAAAGTCGGGCACCTCGGCGAGCGACGCCTTCGCGAGCGGCGCAGCGGGGGCGGTCGGGTCGCCCTCGGGCTTGTGCTTCTCGGCCTCGGCGTGGCGGATCTCATCGAGCTGCTTGCCAATGATGCCCGGGTTTGCGGCGATCTTCTTGAACTCCTCCACGATCGTGTCCTCGCGGTCCTGCCTGTGCTTGATGTAGGCGGCGAGGTGGTCGTCGCACTCTTGCCTGCCGACGATCGCAGGTCCGTGGGCAGGGTACAGCACGCTCGGCTTGAGGTCGTAGAGCGTCTTGAGCGATTTCATGTCTGGAAATGTCAGCTAGTCTGCGAACGTTTGCTAGCTTACAAGCCGCAAAGTCGGTGAAGATCGTGGTTCCCTGGCCCAGCACCGTGTCGCCCGTGAGGACGGTGGGACCGTCCTGTCCGTCCGAGGGCTCGATCAGGATCGAGATGGAGTCGGCTGTGTGGCCGGGGGTGGGCACGACGACGGCATCGAGTTTCTTGTCGCCCGAAGTGACCGAGATCCTGTCTCCGCCGTTCAGTTCCCAGACCTGCTCCCCGCTCTCCGTCGGCTGATAAGCGCCCTCGCACGCCTTGACCGAGTCAATCAGCGTCTTGTCCGTGTGGATGCTGTCGCGGGCGTTGGCCTGCAGTTTCGCCTCGTCCGGGGACACCATCTTCCACACCTTGGGCTTGGGGTAGCCCTGCCCCTGGAGTGCGCGGAGGACGGGGGCAATGCCCCCAATATGGTCGATGTGCCGGTGCGTCATGACGATGTGCTCGACGGGCGGGCGGCCCTTCTTCTCGAGGTGCTCCATGAGCACGCGCGTGTACTCGTCTGCCGTGTTGGGCTGCGTCGTGTCGACCAGTATGGCGGGAGAGCCAGCAGCAGCCTGCAGGAGGTACGAATTCGTGCCCTGCAGCGTCATGAGGCCGGGATTCTGGCCCAGCACGCGCGTGACGCGCTCCGAGAGCTGAATATCAGCGACCGCCCATCGGAGAGGCTTACCTCTGTCACATTGCCGAGGTCGGCGAGCTTGCCTGGTCCGCCCATGGGGAGAGTCTTGGTCGAGCGCGAGAGATTGAGGCGGAGAGTCGGAGCTGTGGCGCGGCACACAACTCGGGCGAAGGACATGGGTTAGGAGGAGCAACAACAGCCGTCGGGGCAGATATTAGTCAGTCTAACGCATCTCGACTTCGGCAAGCCACCCTCCCGAGCAGCCGGTGTCTTGGTGGGGAGTCGGCCATCCCCGGCCCATATCGACGACGACCGTGGGAGACCCAGATCCAGGCACTGATCACCGGGGCCCTCGAAAGCGAGGAGGGGACGCCGTGCGCCATGTCTTCGACTTTCGACGTCATTCACACCCCGCAACACGACCATAACACAATGGCGCCGCAGTCCTACTCGGTCCTCACCGTGTGTCTGGGGTAAGCTAACCTTCGGTGATTCGAGCTGACAGGGTACAGCAAGTGCGTATTTCGGCCGTTCCTCGAAAGGGAAGAGGAGGGCTGTGGCAACGGGGAAGACATAATGTGGATCTGATACTGACGCTCGCGCTTCCTAACCTGGCTTGCGTTCCGTGTACAGCATTTGGTAAGCTAGAAGCTCTGGGCTGCATTAGCTAACATGAAGTCGCTCTCCTATGGCCGAGGCCGTGCTCCTCGCCGAGGCGAAGAAGCGTCCAAACCTCAACCTCAAGATCGACTCGGCGGGAACGGGCGCATACCACACGGGCGAGAAGGCGGACCCGAGGTAGGTGCGAGCGGAGCGAGCGGTGCATATCAACGCTTCGTGGATACAGCTGGTGCCACACAGAGCAATAGCTGACAGCAGGACGATCTCGACGTGCAAGCAGCACGGCATCCCCTGCCCCTCGATCGCGCGCAAGGTGCGCGACTCGGATTTCACCGATTTCGACTACATACTGGCCATGGACCAGTCCAAGTGAGTCTCTACCTTCACCACACGACTTCTCGCTAACATCCCAGCCTGCAGGCCCTTCAAGCGCGCAAGCCGCGCGGGTCCAAGGCGCGTCTCGCGCTCTTTGGCACGTTTGATCCGGACCTCCTCCCGCCTCGCCGGGGAGCAGGAAGGTGCGCCCCGCACCCATCGAGGACCCGTACTATGGCGGACGGGACGGGTTTGAGACGGCGTACACCCAGTGTGTCAAGTATGCCAAGGGATTCCTTGATTTCCTCGAGCAGGGAGGGGGTGATGTGCCGAACCTCTGATGAGTGGACGAGGCCAGGCCGCGGAGCGTCGTTTCGAGTGGCAGGATGGATGAGGATATGTGAGGAAGCGTTCAGACATAGAAAACAATAATGTATACAGGATCCTGACATGCAGGCTCGCTCGTGACATACGTGCATGAAACGTTTCTAAAGGTGGAAATACTAGATCTAAAATGGGAAGGGTCTACTGGTCGAGATAGTGCGTCGCCGACACCGCGCGGAGCTTCTCCGCCGCCTGCTCCGGCGATAGGTCGCGCTGCACCTCTCCAAGCATCTCAAAACCAACAAGGAACTTGCGCACCGTCGCACTGCGCAGCAGCGGCGGGTAAAAGTGGAAGTGGACGTGGCTGAGCCCTTCAGTATCGGACAGCGGGCTCTGGTGCACGCCCATAGAGTAAGGGAAGGGGCAGGAGAACAACCCGTCGTACCGGACCAGCAGGGCCTGGAGGACCTCGGCGAGCGAGGTGGACTCGGCAGCAGTCAGCTGCGAGAGATTGGGAATGTGCCGCCTGTAGGGCAGGACGAGGGTCTCATACGGCCACACGGCCCAGAAGGGAACAAGGGCCAGCCAGTGCTCGTTCTGCACGACTATGCGCGACTTGTCCAGATACTCGGCCGCCGCATACGTGCAGAGCAGGCACGCGTGGCCGTCGCGGTTGGGTGTCTGGCCCGCGGGGACCTCGGCACACACGCCCCCGTTGCAGCAGCTCTTGCCTCCCTCCGGTGCTGTCGTGGTTCCCTCGACGGCAGGCGCCTTGTGCGTCTCGGCATACTGCCTGAAATGCTCCAGCTCCGTGCTGACTTCGTCGGGGACGTAGTCGAGCGTCCAAACCTGGCCGTGGGGGTGTGGCGCGCTCGCACCCATCATTGCGCCGCGGTTCTCGAAGATCTGGACGTAGCCTTCCGTCGCACCCGTGTCTTGGAGAAACTGGAGCTCAGACTCGTACACCTCGCCCCACTTCTTGACTACTGCCTCGACGGCGGGTAAGGGCATGCGCGACAGTGTCAGGCCGTGGTTGGGGTGGAAGCACAGCACACTGCACCGGCCCCGCACCGGCTGGATCTGGAAGAGGTCCGAGGCGGGGCCTGGCGGCGGCGAAGGGGGAGGGGGCGGAGGGGTCCGGAAGGAGGGCGGGGAAGTCGTTCGGGAAGAGCTAAATGTCAGCTCTGCTCTAGTATATCACCAGCTTGGAGCCCAATTGATGACTCACGTAGGTGTCGTGGTATTGCGGGTTGCACTCGCCAGCACCCATGCGCTTGTTCCCCGGACAGAGGTAGCACTTGGGATCATACTCTGGCAGCTGCACCTTGACGGGCTCCTCGGTCTGTCCCTGGACTTGTCAGCTTGATCTCACTAGCACCCCAGCTGTTCTGAGCCAAGGAAGACTCACGTTCCACGGTCGCTTCGTCCGGTGCGGCGACACGAGGACATGTTTCCCCGTCAGAGGGTTGTCTGTCGTAAGCTAACGCTTCCTGTCTCCTGAGCTAAGGGAAACTCACATCGTCGGTGGGGATGTTCTGAAGCATCGAACTGCATTGTTCCACCGCTTCTGATTGTTCGAGTTGAGGAGAAGGCGCGCTTCGTGGGGCGAAGCGATGGAGCTACTCGAGCGCAGAGCTGGATGGATGCGGCGATCAAGCGAAAGAAGTGAATGCTGTAGGGACACAGAATCGCAGGCAAGTCTGGATAAGTGAGTGATGAGTGAGTAGGTAGTGAGGAAGAAACGTTTGTGTCGGTGCACAATCTCGGCCCCATCCAGTCTATATACTGTCCTGTCGGTCAGTGACTTCATCGTACCTAACTTGATCCATCCCACCCAGGCAACCAGGGCTGAAGCGCTGATATCACATCCCGCGCCGAAATTCCCGTTCGCCGCGCGGCTATCTTCCCTCTCGTGCCCTGACGCGTGCTTGAATCATCTTGAATCATCTGCAACCATCAACTGAGATTCCCGTTCATGGCTGCTCGCCCACTGCTCACGCAACGGGAATCAGCTTGCTCTGCACGGGAATCCTCACTCCATGCACGGGAATACGCCCGATGTACAGGCTGTAGCTTGTGAAATCCGGCAGACCCGGCACAACTTCCGGGAGCATGCCATCACGTGACGCCAACACCAAGTAGCACCCCCAGTCTCTCTTACGTTCTGACTAACACTTGACGACGCACGTCTGGTCAGTAGAGCTCGATCAAGGCTCTGCTCCCTCGCGCACTCGCAGCCTTTGTTTCACTCGAGAAATTCATGCTATCAAACGGGACAGACGAAGCCTGGTGGTACAGGAGGCTCCTTTGGCTCGCCGCACGGGAACGCGAGGGCCGCGGGTGGTGGTACAGAAGACGAGGTCAATGTTCTGTTGACTGATGTGGAGGTATGGAATGGGTGTGAGGGTTGTAGTTGGTTGGCTTTGTGAGCTAGCACATCGTTCCGCATGGCATTGCGTATGGAGAGCACTCGGCCTCAGGCCGAGAACTCTACCACGGCCACCACTTGGACTTGGCCGGCGCCGGGGGAGCCGGATTGTACTCGCGCTGCATCTCAGCGAGGAGGGCGTCAAAGGCGCCCTCGACGTTCTTGTTGTCCTTGGCGGAGGACTCGACGAACGCAGCGCCGAGCTTCTTCGCAAGCGCCTGGCCCTCGGCCGCGGTGACCCTTCGCTCGTCCTTCAGGTCACACTTCTGTCCAACAATGACACACGGGACCTTCTCGAGGCCTCCCTGGTCGAGGATCTTCTCGTACAACGTCGTGATCATATCGAACGACTGTCGGGACGCAATGCTGTACACGAGCATGTAGCCGTGAACGCCGGTCGCGTACTTGGGCGGGAAAAGCGAGAACTCGTCCTGTCCGGCAGTGTCGACAATCTCGCAGTCGTACTCGATGCCCTTGTACTTGACCGTCTTCTGATTTGTGGACTCAATCGTCGGGTAGTATTGCTCGTTGTACGTCGGGGGCGTGACGTATTGCTGGGTGATCGACGTCTTACCTGGAGGGGGTTGTCAACGCAAGTTACACTGGCAGGGGTCTCAAGCGGACTGGTAGTCCGATCCACAGCTACTCACCAACACTGGGAGATCCAAGGATCACCACCTTGCGCTTCATTCCACCTGCGGACGACATTGGGACGGTGACGTTTGAATTTGCTAAAACGATGCGTCGTTCAGCGATGCGCACAAGACACGGCTGTGCGTGGTGCGGAGTCGGAGAGAGGAGCGGAGAGGCCGGGGCCGGGGGCGACGAGGGGCGGTACGGTGGGGGCGGTGATGAGCCTGGTGGGTACTCGTCACTGTCTGGATCCTCTTCCTGGAGGATGGACGGTCTTCGTGAGAGACACGGAGTGCCGGCTCGGGAAGACTGGCGCGAATGGGCTCGAGACGGGCCTGCTGAAGTGCACGGAGACTGGAGCCAGGGCCTGGGAGAGGTCGGCGCCGGAGAAAGCGGAAGGTTGACGGCGCGGTTACGAGGCGAGCCGTTGAGCTTGAACTTGGTGAAGGCCGGAGACGGGAGTCCTGAGCCAGGCGAGCCGGAAGAGGCTTGCTCTGCCGTCAGTTCAAAGTTGGGGAGGTCACTGTAGCGCCTCGGCGCCATCGTTGCGAGCGGCGGTGGGAGTGGCAAAACATGTAGTGGATGGCAACAAGGACAGAGAGGACAGCGATGTCGCCAGCAGGACGTGCAGCCTCGAGGCAGGCTTGCGCCCCGCTGCACCAGTGTCCATCAGATGCGGCGGCGAGACGGGCGAAGCGTTTCGCACCAAACACATGTGTGTGTGTATGTGCATCATCACTGCCGGCTCCCGGACGGGCGGTGAGTACCGACCCCCGGCACCGCTGGAGGATCGTGCGCCGGTCTGCGATATGAGAAGGCCGCGAAGGCTGATACCATGCTTCGGACAATGGGCGTCGGGCCGCCTGAACTGGGCGCCGCAGAGGGTACAGGCCGTGCAGGCCGTGCAGAGCGCGGCAAGCTCAGCAGGCCTCGTCAGGTCCAAGAGGCTCTGCGCGCAGAGCCCGAAGCCATATAGCCATGAAGCCGTCCCGAAGCCGAAGCCTTTGCCCCAGAAGCAGCCACCCGATCACGAACCGAAACAACATAGATAAGCAGCACTGGCAGTCGAGACTCGCTCCACCACCGCGCTGCTTTGTCTTCGGCAGACCATCGTTCGGAGCGAGCTTCGGCCAAAGACACTCGAGACAGTGTATTCGCCGTAAAGTTATTGGCCGCGAGCTAAGTGCGCTAGAAGCCGGATGAATGGGTGGCCGGTAATAGGCCGCTAGCGTTCCCACTACGTTGTACCGTTCATGCGGTGCGGCAAGCAGCGAAGCGTGTGTGCGGCATGCGGAGGTCGCCAAGACAAGCAGCGGAGAGAGCGGCGAAGCGGGGAAGACGAGACGAAAGGGCAGGCGCAATGCTCGTGTGACGGCGACCGAGGACGGAAGAAGGAACGCGGGATGACTTACATGAGTTGAGCGAAGTTGGACAGATCCCTATCTAGAGATCGGCAAGGCAAGGGCGCGCTGTGGAGGTACCGGTGAAGCGGAACGAGACAGCGAGGCTGAGGGGGTGGGTTGGTTTGTTGTCGACAGCGAGGAAGACTGGGTGTCGTGGAAGGGGGGTTGGGTCGGAGGGGGGTTGTGGTGTGTGAGGAAGAGAGTGGATGGTGATGGTGGGATCGGTATGGGTTGGCTTGCCGAGGGATGGAGAGGGAGGAAGGGGGAGGTGAGACTGCGGACCAGAGGTGAGAGCTGAGTGGTGGTGATAGTCTAGGCTCTAGGCTCAATGTGCTGAGGCTGGGCTGGCTGGGCTGGCTGAGGCTTTGGCGGCAAAGAGAGAGAGGGAGGGGCAGGGTCGAGTGAGATCACGAGTGGTTGTGCACAGTGGAGAGACATGGACTCCTAGATGCTCTCCTGCCTGGCTCCTGGCGGTGCACGGCGCGCGCACGGCACACACCCAAGCGAGCCAGAGGAACGCGGCTGCTTGACCCAGGAGACTTGAGCTGCTCTGGGCCCTGGGTGGGGGAACGAGTCACAGCCAACCCCTGGCCACCCTTGCCAGAGAACACCCAGCCAGCCCCAGACAATTGCCCAATCCGGTAATCCCAGATACCGCGCCGTCCCTCCTCGTCCCTTGGCTCCCTTCCCCGCCCAGCGTATCGACGTCGCCCGCATCCACACCTCTGCCTAAATACGACCGGGCGTCTCAGATCAAATCAAATTCAAATCAGCCGTCAGATGCAGCGAGCGCTCTTGCTATTGCAGCCTCTGTGTTGCTTCCTCTTTGAATGAATGCACCTTGGCCTACCCACTTCTCAGCGTGCACTGGATTCGATAGATCGTAGACTCGGCTGCATTGCGGGCGAACATCTCCCCGAGAGGCAATCTCAGATCGGCGCCCCCGCATTTCGATTACTATTCCAACGATCGCATTTCTCTCTCAGCCGGACAGCCAGCAGCGAGGCGTCGTCTATTCTCGTCGCCCGTCTGGCCAAAGCCCGTTTAGCGGCGCATGCGGCGCAGAGTTGTGCGCCCCAGTGGCAGGCGTACTTGTCCTGTCATGTGTGTCACTCTAATTTGTTCATGCTACGAGCGAACGCCAAGCGCTCTTCGGTCCCCGGCTGCTTCATACCTGACCGAGTCTATGAGCAGTAACTACCGGCCGTCTATGTGTATTTACCAGATCTACTACTCCTGACCGACTGACTACCATCGCACCTCAACGCGGCCCTTCGCGCCTGTCCTTACACCCTTGAACGGCTTGTATCCAACATCGCCAAGCACCTTGAGTTGGTCCACGCGCAAGCCAGAGTACGTGTGCGTCGGCACGGTGTAAGTGACATGGAAGGCTGGGTCTGGTGTTGGTTTGCCGTTTCTGGTCGTCAGCTACCCGTAACGAGTAATCTCTTGAATTGCGTTCGAGAACAGGCCGAAACGCATCGTGTGCCACCCCTTGCACCACAACATCGCCTGCAAGCCACACGCGAGCTACCATGCCATCATGTTATCGATCCGGTGGTCCGTGGCCACCATCTGAAACGACCGTGACGGCCAATGTGATCAGCACCGCAATGAGAAAGCCGCTTTGGGACGGGTAACTGCGATGCCAACGGCGGCCGGGGGTGGGCATCAATGAGGGGCTCCTCCGACCTGCCCGTTGGAGCCTTCCCCTCCTCCTGCATTCTGTCCGGTGCGAAGGCGGTTCTGCCCGTTCTTCACAGTTCTGTACTCACGAGACGAAGCTTCCAGTTAACGTCGGTGATCGTTCCGTCGCAGTCAGTGACGCAAGGTGCCACCGCAGCGTGTGCGTATTCGGATCGAAGTCAAACGTGCCTCCTCCAACATGCCCGTCCACGACGCCTTCCGGCGCAACATGCCCCGCCGGTCGGCGGTCGCCCGTCTGAGTCGCCGACACCGACACGGTCGAGCGACCTAGGCAGATCGACACCGTCACGTCCTCGAGCGCACGGTGCGTTAAGCGCGAGGTCAATGTCAGTGAGAATTTGCCTACCCGTTAGCTCGCAGTTCAAGGAAACAGCTACTCACCTCCCGTCGCGTCCGTTGTCACCCTCGCCTTCAAAGTGAGCGGCACCTGAGCCGCCGGCGCCTCATAATCAAGCAGTTTGAACTTTCCATCTGGCGGGATGAAGCTGAGGACCGAGTCGCGCTCCCAGCGGTTGTATCGGATGCATGGGTGGAAGGCAGGCTCGCCCATGACGCTGACGTTCGCGAACGTGAGGAGCAGGTCCGGGTTCCCGCTCAGGCGCGAGTTGCAGCTGATCCTTCCCCACACCTGTCCGCTGATGGTCTTTCCCTTCCTGTCCACGATAGCGTCCAGCATCTCCTCAATGTCGAAGTAGATCTCGTTGTTGCTATGCCGCACACCTGGCCGGCGCCAGGGTATCGGCGCAGTGAAGGGAGCGACCTGTTGGTTCTGCATGCTGTGACGAGTTAATGACGTCGATCTTCGAACTCCAAGCCGGCACTTACCCCGACACACCGGCCACGTTTAGCAGCTTCCGCACAAGACTCGGCGGGATCACTATGTCCTTAAGCATGTTGGTCTCCATCGTCATGGGGTGTCCCTCGTCGAGCATCTCCTCGATGAGCTGTGCAGAGTTAGCGCGGACAAAGCGGGGAAACTCACCATGTACACGATGTCAAAGTTGTCCTTGACAGTACCTTCTGTCACGTCGCCGAGGTACTCTCGCAGCGTTTCGAGAAAGCTCTCGAGGAAGGCAAACGCAAATAGCGGGTTCACCTCTCCAGATACGGGCACAAGGTAGCGCAGTCCGTCCCGCTCGATGTGACAGAGTGCTGAGCCATTGCTTCCGCTGTGCGAGAAGGAGTTGACCCAGAGCACTGGCTCGAGTTCTGTCACCTCGGCATCAGAGTCAGCTTTCGCCGCAACCGAGCGCTGCTGCGACAGTGCGTGGTTGAACGCATCGACGTGGATCGCGGCATATGACGGCGGGTGAGTCGTGAAGTTGGACGTGATCAGGGGCTTGCTGCTTGTTAGCTGATAGAGCCTTGGCTAGCTCACCCATTATTATCGAGAATGATGATGCCGTCTATCCGTGCCATCGTGGCGTACTTGAACGGGCGAGGAAGACGGCGAGCGGCGAGGAAGACGTATAGTCAGACGAGGAAGAAGCGATCGACAAACGAGACGTGGTTGTGTCATGTCCCCTCGTCACTGGCGGGATTGTGGGGCTCCGCGGCGTCAAATCTGAGATTTTTGCCAGTCACCCGTCCACACCTCCACTACTGCTTGTTGACGCCAATCTCATCAGCTCCCATCTACCCAGGCGCACACCATGACGACGCATACGTACCGCTCAGTCGACTTCTGGGCGCCGGCACTGCACCCCAACACTCTCCTGCATGTCGCTGTGCCGGAGCCGGGACCGAGCCGGGACCCGATCGTGCGCCACTTTGCGATCAAGCACGGCGACCACGAGGCTGTCTCCGTGGTCAAGAAGATGACCCGGACAGAGGGTGGAGTGAGTAGGCGGCGACCTCAGCTAACAAATGGTGTGCGAAGCTGACATACAGCTACTCCTCGTTGACGACTCGTTCAAGGTTACGCAGGTCTCCGTGCCGACAGAGGAGGCGCCGATTCCGACAGTCTCGGCTCAAGTCAAGGCCAAGATCCCCGCGAAGGGAACAGTCATGTGGTCTGGTCTCTCGACGGTGCAGGGCAAGGCGATTTCTTCGCTCACCTCTGGCCGAGTAAACCTGTTCAATGATGACCTGAGCTCGGAGAGCTTGAAGCTTGGCGCACCGGCGCTGACGCTGTCGACGATTGAGGGCTCGTCTCACTTCGCTGTTGCGGGCAAGGAACTCGAGGTGACTATTCTCGATGCTGAACGGGCATTCTCCCCTTCTTCTGGTAAGAGGAAAGCGGACGAGGCGCTTCCGGGAGAGATCTGGCGTGCGAAGAACCTCCCCCACAACCACCTCCGTCTCCGTCAACCCATCTACCACCTCGCCTCCACCTTCCTCGACACGCCTTCCTCCCTCCTCACCGGCACCAAGGCCGGCCAGATTAGGCGGTACGACACACGGCAGCGGAAGCCGGTGCACAACTGGGCCGTGGGCAAGGAGGCTGCGGGCGTGCAGGGCCTCGTGTACGGCGGCGAGCACGAGGTCTTCTTCTCCGATCTGGCCAACACCCTCGGCGCCCTCGGCCTCCGCACCGGCAAGGTGCTGTACCAGGTGCCGAACCTGAGTGCGACGACAAACTGGATGACGACGCTGCCGCACGAGATGGAGGACGGAAAGAAGTTTGCCGCCGACACGCTGCCGAAATCAAGCTTTGCTGGTCTCGCTGCCATTGCCTCCGACGCCACGCTGCGTGTCTGCCAGACGACGCCGCCGCCGAGCGACGGACCCGTCAAGGGCAACTGGAACACGAGCGGCAGCAAGAAGTCGGCCGTGCTCGCGTCCGTCGGTGGCGTCGGTGTTGGAAGCTGCGTCTTTGACGGCTTCGGCACGCACACCGAGGTCATTGAGAAGAAGGAGAAGGAGCGCAAGGAGGGCGACGACGAGGATGACATCTCGGACGAGGAGGTCGATGACGATGAGGAGGAGGAGATGTGGGAAGGAATGGGCGAGGCCGAGGAGGGAAGCGATGAGGAGGAGGAGGAATCTGACGAGGAAGAGGACGAGCCGGCGCGCAAGCGCCGGAAGTAGGGTAATCTTGGGTTTCATTTCATTCATGCATAACTTCATTTCCATTCCGTACGTGTATTCTAAGCCTGCTCACCTACAGATCATCACTACAACCGCTCATCTACAGATCGGACACTACCAGCGGCCGCGCCAGAGGCCACCAATACGTCCGAAGCGCGTGAACGGCGGCGCGCGAATGCCGAGTCGGTTCATCTCATTGCGCGCCTCGTCGTCGCTATCTTCCTCCTCCGCTTTGAGGGGCTCGGGGTCATGTCGCTTGTGTCCCAGTACGAGTGCGCCGGACTGCATTCCCGCCGCGCAAATGGAGAACACGAAAGCCTTCTGTCCGTCGTCGTCGGCTGGGAAGTTGACCCTGGTCGGCGCTTCCTTGCGCTGTCCGCGGTAGAACGCTTTCTGCAGAGCGCCATCGCCCGACAGGCCCAACTGCCCGTGCCCGTCCTCGCCCCACGTGTACATGTCGCCGCGGTTCGTGAGAGCTGCGAAGTGATGGTCGCCGGCGGCGAACTGCACGACCGGTCCATCGAGCACGGGCAGCGGCTTCGCCTCCACCTCCTTCAAACTGTCTACGCTGTATGGGCCGACGGCCTTGCCGACGAGCACGTTGGACTCGTCGGGTGCCGCTCCGCTCGAGGACGGGACAGAGTACGACGCGAGCGTCTGGAACTGAGCCGTGATGTGCGAGATCCCCGGCGAGCTAAACTGGGGGAGGTACATCCAGTCCCCAAGCCGGTCGTTCATGCAGGGCAGGAACCAGACCTCGCCGTTTTCCTTGAGTGCGATGAGAAAGTCGATACCACAAGCGATGCGCACGACACGCTGGCGTTCGTCGTCAAAGCCCGGGTTCGCGGCATCCTCCGGCCGCTCGGGAAGGGGTGGGGCGTCAAACACCGGCTCAGGCGCGACCTCACCCCAGCGCAGCTGCCGCTTATCGTCACCATCCGACAGCGGGCCGTGCAGACTGTCCGTGGCCGTCAGCGCAGACTTGTATCCGTCCGAGAACGGGAACCAGATGAACACGCGGCCCTCGTTCGTCAGGCAAGCCGAGATGTGCCAGCCTGCACCGATTTGAGCGACGTGCGCTGAGCGACCGGGACCACGAGCACCGGGTGCCGACGGCGCAGTGAGCTCGGGGGCAGTGTGCCGGTAAGCCTGGCGTCAGCTGAAAGAGAAGACTCACGAAGCTTACCCTTCCCCAGTTCCTAAGCTCCCAGATGAGGTTGTCAGAGTCGAGGACAAGCAAGTGGCTGCGGCCACACGCGACAGACACAGCGCGGCACGGCAGGGGTATGCGGGTTGCCTTGTCAACCCGAGTATGCGCGCTCTCCCAGTTCTCGTACCAGCCGCCGCGCTCGGCCCAGAGTGTACCTGAGGTCAGCACTGTTGGAGCGAGCTGACTTACCCCACACCCACACTCCACCCTTAGCGTCACGCGCGGTGTAACTCCATCCGCCAGTCTGCAGGTCGACGATGCGTTCGCGGCACTCGCCCTCCACTAGCTGCTCTCCCTCGTCGTCTGAGGCCAGTGAGTCGGCCGGATACTTGGGCGCTGGTGCTTTGAAGCTCGGGGTTGCGTCGGCCGGCGCGGGGACGCTGGACCACCGGTTCGGGTCGACGCCGGGTATGGCCCCAAGGCGACCGTTCTCGTTGGCTCCCCAGAGATACACGCGCGGACGCCAGAGGCCGAGGTAGACACGCTGGAACCAGTGCGAATCGTCCTCGGACGGCTTGCTGAGTGCGACTGACGGGCGGTACGAGAAGTCGCGCGCCGTCTTGAGGCGCCAGAGTCCGGGATCCTCCTGGACGTTAGTTTGGCAGATAAGGATCACGCACGACTAGCGTATGCAGCTGTTGGTTCACCTGCGACACCGAGGCGAGATCCTTTGGCGAGAGTAGGGGCAGGATGTCGTAGATGAGGACCTCGTTGGGGAGGTCGAGGAGCGACGCGCCATCGTTGCCGCTGGCAGACATGATGCAATGTGACGATGCAGGAAGTGCTTGCCACCGCGAACGTTTATATCAATCGGCTTCCACCGAACCCTAGCCACGCGTCATAGTAGTTTCAGACGTCGCCATCCACCCATGCACCGCCCTGCAGACGCGCTCCCAGTAATAGTGCTAGACATACACGATGCGATGCATCAAACAGAGAGATCAAAAGCGAAGCTACAGAACCATGGAGGTTGACGAAATACGATGATGGCACAGGAGGGAAGACGCGAGAAACCGAGTTTACTTGGTGGTGAACTTGGTGACGGCCTTGGTTCCCTCAGAGATGGCGTGTTTCGAGAGCTCTCCGGGAAGGATGAGACGGACGGCAGTCTGGATCTCACGCGACGAGATGGTCGAGCGGTGGTTGTACGACGCGAGCTTGGACGCCTCAGTGGCAATACGCTCGAAGATGTCGGCAACGAAGGAGTTGAGGATAGCCATGGCCTTGTTGCTGCATTGTCAGCGGAGTTCGGTCGAAAGACAGGTTCAAACTCACGAGATACCAGTGTCGGGGTGGACCTGCTTCGTTCAGAAATGTTGAAGATGGAAATATTGCTTTACGTAGTTTCAGACGTCGCCATCCACCCATGCACCGCCCTGCAGACGCGCTCCCAGTAATAGTGCTAGACATACACGATGCGATGCATCAAACAGAGAGATCAAAAGCGAAGCTACAGAACCATGGAGGTTGACGAAATACGATGATGGCACAGGAGGGAAGACGCGAGAAACCGAGTTTACTTGGTGGTGAACTTGGTGACGGCCTTGGTTCCCTCAGAGATGGCGTGTTTCGAGAGCTCTCCGGGAAGGATGAGACGGACGGCAGTCTGGATCTCACGCGACGAGATGGTCGAGCGGTGGTTGTACGACGCGAGCTTGGACGCCTCAGTGGCAATACGCTCGAAGATGTCGGCAACGAAGGAGTTGAGGATAGCCATGGCCTTGTTGCTGCATTGTCAGCGGAGTTCGGTCGAAAGACAGGTTCAAACTCACGAGATACCAGTGTCGGGGTGGACCTGCTTCAGGACCTTGTAGATGTACGAAGAGTACGACTCGACACGCTTCTTGGTGCGCTTCTTGCCGCCCTCCTTGGTGGACGACGTCTTGGCAGCCTTAGCAGGGGCTTTGGACGCGGCGGCGGGGGCCTTCGAGGCCTGCGAGGCGGGAGCCTTGGAAGCGACGGACGACTTGGGAGGCATTGTGGGTGGTGTGGTGGTGGTGTGGAGTTGGAGTTGGAGAAGACGAAGAGCAAAGGATGGACAAGTTGGATGTCGGTCGACAAGGTGGGAGGATTATAAGTGTCGTGCAGCAACGCGGTCAGCTTTGTTGTGGACTGTCTCTGACAGCTGCGTCGCCCTGAACTCAGGGACATACGTCAGCACTAATTCTGCACTAAGTCACGTGACTTGACTGATCCCATTAGTGCCACGTAAGGAATAACAAAACAACAACCACGCCAACACAAATGCTCTTGTGCATCTCCGCGCGTCCAGTTCATAAAGCGCACGACTTCACCGAGCCGGTTTCGACATCCCAACAACTTTCAAGTCGCCTGTCTTCTCCAACTTCGTTCACGAAGCCCACTCTCACCACCTCTCCCTCTACCAACACAACACAACTCAGCAACAATGTCTTCTGGTGGCAAGTCTGGCGGCAAGTCCGGCTCCGAGTCCAAGTCGACCTCGCGTTCGTCCAAGGCCGGTCTCCAGTTCCCCGTCGGTCGTATCCACCGTCTCCTGAAGCGCGGCAACTACGCCCAGCGTATCGGTTCGGGTGCCCCCGTCTACCTCGCTGCCGTCCTTGAGTGTGAGTTATTCACCGACCAAGAGCTTAGCTGACATCAGACCTCGCCGCTGAGATTCTCGAGCTTGCTGGCAACGCCGCCCGTGACAACAAGAAGTCGCGTATCGTTCCCCGTCACCTTCAGCTCGCCGTCCGCAACGACGAGGAGCTGAACAAGCTCCTCGGCTCGGTCGTCATCTCGCAGGGTGGTGTCCTCCCCAACATTCTCTCGGAGCTCCTTCCCCCCAAGGGCAAGGGCGGCAACAAGGCCAAGATCCCCGGCTCGCAGGACGCTTAAGCGCCCTTCCTTCTTCTCTTCATTACAGTGTTTTTCGTTTTCGCTTCCTCCTTTGTACCAGTGTCCGCATGAGATGCACCATTGTATCATAACACCAACCCTGCTGCTACCTACTGCTCACCTCTAGGCATAACGCACGGACCGCACGCGTAAGGTTGCGTCAACTTGCGCCCCATGTTCCAGACCGTCCCCTCACGTCTACAGTATTCCTCGCCCACCCGCCAATCTTGCCTTCCTCGCCGCCGCCGCATGCAGTCCTGTGAGCCCGATACATACAGTCTAGTCTAGAATACGAAGTCCTCCACGCGCCACTTGCCGACCTGCTCCTCAGACTCGTCCTTCCTCCTCGCGTCTGCCCGCTCCCTGCCCGCGCGAAGGGTAGCCTCAACCGGGGCCTTGAGGCGCCTGTAGTCATTCTGGGCGGCAAGGGCGGGCTCAATGGCAGCCTTGAAGCGCTCAATCACAGCCTGCGCTGTGGGGAGCGTGACGAGGTTGCCGAGCTGGGCGTCGAGGAGCATGCTGGCGTGCTGCACCAGAGCAGCGAGGGGCGGGAGGTCCTTGGCCGACTGGCGCTCGGGCCAGGACTCGAGTCCGTCGCCGCGCGAGGTGTGCGCCTCGGCCCAGGCCAAGTACTGCTCGAGCACCTTCAGCGCGTCCGTTGGCGAAAGGGCGCGGAGCTCGGCGCGGTACGCCGGATCCGGCTCCGGACCAGAGAGAATGTCCTCGAGCACCTGGGACAGGCTGGGGCCAGACTTGCCCTCGAGGGCGTGCTGGATTAGGCCGACTGTGGCCTTGGACGGGAGCGCGGGGGAAGAGCGAACGAGGCGGGAAATGTTCCGCCAGTCGCCGACGGGGAGGAGCGCGCCGAGCACAAGGCCGCCAGCGTACATGTCGTCAGAGAGGAGGCGACGCTCGGCGAGCGTGCTAATGATGCGGCCAGCGTAGGGACCCTTGCTCTTGCCCTTGGTCTCGAGGGCGGCGTCGAAGACGGCGGAGACAACGCGGCGGACAACAGACTCGGGAATAGTCGCCTGGCGCTTGCCGCTGCCGTGGGCGTGCGCCGTCGCCTTCTTGTCCTCCTCGTCGAGCCAGTACTGGAAGCTCTTCTCCGCCTTCTCGGGCGTGTTGGCCGCGAGCGAAGTGCGCAGACCCTCGAGCATCTTGTCGACGGCACCGTGGGGCTGCGTTCGCTGCGAGAAGACCTCGGCAGTGGCCTCGGCGGATCCGATCAGGGACGAGAGGCCGATGCCGCTCTCCGGGACAGAGACGTCGAGAACGTGGATGACCGATCGCCCGCTGCCGTCAGAGCCGGGGTGCGAGAGAACAGTGCCCAGAGTGTAGGTGCCGGGAGCCTGCGAGAGCACGGCGAGGTGCGTGATCTGTGTTGTGCCGCTTGAGATCGCTTGCGTGGCCAGAGCGGCGGGGGAAGGTCGGGAAGGGGAGAGACGAGAGCGACTGAGGGGAACGGGTGGGGTACGGCGAGGGCTGCGATGGGACGTCCAGCCATTCCGAGGGAGACGATTGCCGCGGGGGTGCAAGGGTGAGCGAGGGGAATGGAGCCGCCACCGGCCTCGAGGTCGGTGATCTTGCGGACGTGAACGCGGTTGTTGCTGTCGATGGCAGTGAGCACGCCTCCACCGACAGAGGCAGCGAGAAGAGACAACGGCTCCTTGCCGAGTGTGACATCCGCAGCGAGCTCCGCGCGACCACCGTCATGGTCGAGCGAGAAGGCGTACACCCGTCCATGCTCGTCGGCGAGCACAACACGGTTTCCCTCCACTCCCGCAGCCAGGATCCGAGCCTTGCCTCGCGGCTTCTGCAGGACCTTCACGCTTCCGTCCTCGTTGATCAAGTGCAGCGATGCGGCGGCGCCGACAGCAAGCAGCGGCCACCCGCCGTTGAGAGCATGCAGGCTCTGTACAGGCTGCTCGAGAGCGATAGCGCGCTTCTCGCCCTCCTCTCCGCTCCAAACCCAGACCCCTCGTCCCTCACCCTTGACTCCCTCGCCGCTGTGAATGCCGACGGCGGTGGTCCTGCTGCTCTCCGCTTCTCCCTCCTCGTTCTCAGTCTCGGTGACGAAGGAAACGGGTGGGGTCGCGAAAACCGTCGAGGGAGACACTGTGAACGACGTCGCTGGTCGCAGCGTCTTGATCTGTCCGTCAGCTCGAAGCAACCGGCTAGCTCACGTCGTAGGTCCACACTCCATCGCCGTGCACGGCTGCGACGGCCAGCTTCGGCCGTCCATGCACCGGGCCGAGCGTCACGTGCGGGGCGCGCGAAGACGACGCATGCGCGTACGGAAAGGTCGCGAGCGACGTCGGTGCTGATATCGTCGCCATCGTTGTGCTGTTGTTGCTTGCGAATATCTGCGGGGTCGATCTAAGTGACATCGTTCAGAAATGTTGAAGATGGAAATATTGCTTTACGTAATGTCACGTGGCTGTCATGTTGATTATCACTCGCGACGACCGTTTTTACCGTCGGAAGGGTGCTTGTGATGAATGTAACCGGCACTACTGGTGCATGTATAATGCATGCGGCACTGCTGTACAGGCCAAGGGACAAGTCTGTGAGCAACGTCGAGATCAGTGTAAACGTGCAAAAAGTGGGACGAGGGCGGATCGAACGCCCGACCTCAAGAATTGAGTATCTTCACTCTCGCGCTCTCCCAACTGAGCTATCATCCCGAGATTGTTATTGCTGTCTGCGGGAGCCCGGGCGTGTCCAGGCCCAGGTCGGGCTTTGAAAGTTCGCGAAATCGCATGCATGCATATTGCACTCCTTCTCGCATCACTTTCCAGTGCTCAGGAAGCAGTAATATATGTGGCATGGTCTGAAACTAGGGAGGTTAGGGTTACGGCAAATCTGGTCTGTTTCGGATGGCAGTGGCATGTTCATGTTGGTCTGGTTATGCGACACCGCAATCGCACTCGCTCCCATACGAAACCAAACCCAACTGTGACAGCGAGACATTCCGGCTCTGAACTCCGAGGAGAATAAGAATGGTAAAGGAGCACCGCTGCGGCTTCGGGTCCCATGATAAAGTAACGTCGAGGGGTGAAGTGGCATTCACGCCTGCTTCTTGTCCTTGGTTAACGGCTTCTGGCTCGCTGTTCGTCCTCGGTCCGGGTTCGCGCTCATCTGCTGTTAGCTGACTCATGAGATACATCGCACTCACTGATTGCGCCTGACTCGAGCTCCTCTCTTGTTCCCTTCGCCGAGACTCTTCATGTCGCCGCTCCTCAGCCTCCCGCACTTCGTCATGCGCCATCTTGTTAAGACAAAAGCTCCAGAACATCTCGCCGGTCCTCGTTGGTCGTTATTCTTCCCAGCCTTTCTCCACATTTCTGCGAGTTTTGTAGCGTAAGTGCCACTAGTGGGCAGCCATACGCGCCGACGCGTCGTGAGTCCGGCTCCGAAGTTCTCGGGCAAGGGGGCGGTGTGGTCCCACCCTGATAAGTGCCGTCCTCGGACCGCATCGTACATAAACCAACGACGATCCGCTATTCCGGATGGTCTGCTCGGCTCGACCTGGGATACAGCTGAACACTTTCCAAGCGTCCCTACTGGCATGAAGATGTCGGTGCAAGGCGGTGACTTTGACGGTCCTTACAAATGTGCTTGGCACGGTGATGCCTCCTACGCCTGGCACGCAACGCGTGTCCTCATGTTGCTAAACACCAAGCTATTACCCACACAAAGCGTCGTACCATTGTTCCTCCTACCAACCAGCTGCCCCGGACACCCACAACTGCACCAGCCTCCCATCTGTGCCACATCTAATGCTGCGCAGAGAGGATCACAGAGGATCACACATCACGTGACGCGGCATCTGACTCGGGGGCGTCGGGGGCGAAAGTCGGGCAAGTCCGAGTGAGAAAATCCCGATTTTAGCAAATTAATCCTATCAGATAAAGCCTAGCCGCATCGGTAGCGCCCAGCGCGGGTCATGCGGGCGGGGTTTGGCTTGGCGGCCGACCCGACCAGGGTTGCACAAGGGAAAAAAGTCTACGTGCCCCTCCGGTGCCAGTGTCAGCTGCCGTCAGCCTCGTCCGAACGTCCGAGTCAACTCTGCACACTGTCCCACATTCGTTCTGATCCCACGCTCACACGTTTTCGGGCATCATTCTCCGTGAACTGGGAGCATAGGAAGAGCGGAACAGATCTCATCGCAACAACAACAACCGGCTCATCTTCGGAATCAGTGCACTCTCCCCGCCACCGTCAACATCTCGGCCGACGAGAAACAACCACGACCAGCGTCTTCCTCACCACCCACCCATAAGAGTGACTGCCCATAAAGAGTCCCAGTAGCCCCTCCCCCCTCCCCCCTTCACTCGCAAACCCCCACCCACAATGACATCAACAAAGACCGTCCTCGTCCTCGGCGGGTCGTACGGCGGTGCTCGCGCCGCGCGCATTCTGTCCGAGACCCTCCCGCCAGACTGGCGAGTCGTTGTGCTCGAGCGCAACTCGCACATGAACCGTGAGTCGTAGTGCCATCCCCGCTAGATGGCGACTGGAGATGAGAGATGGAGGACTGCCAGCTGACAGCGACAGACGTGTATGTGTTCCCGCGCTTCGTCGTGCTGCCCGAGCACGCGCCGAAGGGGTTCGTCCCGTACACCAACATGTTTACCCCGCCTTCGACCTCTGATTCATCAGCCAACGGCAGCGCCAACGGTGCCAATGGCCAGGCGAACGGCGTGAACGGCGGGTCGAGCAAGTCCCGCAACATCGTCATCCAAGGCCTCGTAACCTCCATCTCGCCGCACAGCGTGACGTACCTCTCCCCATCTCCGTCGTATGACGGGGTGACGGATGCGGGGCACACGATCCCGGACTCAGAGCGGGGAGTAGAGGAGCACACCCTTCCCTTCGACTACCTCATCTACGCGCTCGGCGCGGGTCTCCCCACGCCATGCGACGTGTGGGGCGAGCCGCCCTCTCTTCCCTCTCCTGCGCGCGGCAGCAAGTCTGGCGGAATCGAATGGATGCAGCGCCACCACGAGACGATTGCTGCTGCCGCCTCCGTGGCTATTATCGGCGGCGGCGCGCTCGGTATCCAGTTCGCGACGGATATCAAGTCCCTCTGGCCAGAAAAGAGCGTGACGCTCATCCACTCCCGCCAGACGCTCATGCCGATCTATCCCGGCCTGCACGATGTGGTCATGACGAAGATGGAGGAGCTGGGCGTGCGGACGATCCTCGGCGAGAGGGTCATGGAGTGGCCCCAGGATGGGGACAAGGTGAAGCGCATCAAGACTGCGGGCGGGAAGGTGGTCGAGGCCGACGTCGTGCTCGCGTGCACGGGGCAGCGGCCGCGTGTCGGACTGCTGAGCGGACTGGCGAATGTGGATCCCGTCTCTGGGCGGATTAGGGTCAGGCCGAGTCTCCAGATCGAGCCGTTGACGCAGGTCGAGGAAATCGTGAGCCGCGTTGAGGGTCTGAGCGTTACCGAGAACGGAGTCAATGGCGCGAACGGATCGAGCCACGAGGAGAACGGCGAGAAGGAAACGGGACTCGGCCACATTTTCGCCATTGGCGACTGCGCGCATACCCCTGCCATCCAGGCTGGCCACACGGCGTACTGGATGGGCGAGTGTGCGGCCCACAATGTCGTCAAGCTCATCAACGCCGCCGAGGCCAAGTCGAATGGCGACTCCAAGCCCAACGGTCACGCCAACGGTCATGCCAACGGGGACGCCAAGCCCAACGGCGTCAAGACCGAGGGCGACGCCGAGGTCGCAGCCAAGATGAAGGGCGACTCGACCGACGTGCAGCCCGTTGTGTACAACGGTGTCGAGCTTGAGACATATGTCCCCGGCGCTCCGGCCATTAAGCTCACGCTCGGTCTCACGGACTACGTGACGCACTTCCGGTCGGGGGAGATCGTCCAGGCTAGCGACGGCGTGCCGGACCTCCAGGCAAGGTTGATGTGGCCGTCTGTCAATGCTGACTCGCTTCCGGATGACGCTTAGACTGGACAACGGGATAACGGGCCAGCTCGGCTCCGCCGCAATAGTATTATTAGATACATCATTATGCTAGCTGTATATTACAATGCGCGGGCTCCGTGTGCGCCCGGACTGGTACTGGTACTCCTACTACAACCGTCAGAAGCTGGTGTGCTGCTTCTGTTTCGCGCCTGGGCCTGGACCGGCTGAGACGAGATCCCTGATCAACTCTGCTAGATCTCGCTCACTCGTCATGTCAGATCGTTACGCTTAAGCGGCACTGCCCTCCGGCCCATGCTCGCTTGCGCTCGCGGCGTATGCTCGTTCAGAACTCGTACTCAAGCTCGCTTCGCTCGCACTCGTACTCGCACTCGCACCCCGCGCTCAGAGCTTCTTCGCCAGGAACCATGTGTCGACGCTCGAGCCAGCGCCCCATGGTGTTGAGGCCGGCTTCCGTCCGAGAGCGATGGAGGAGACGAGCTCGTACCCGATGCCGTCGAGGGCGTAAAGCAGAGCACACATGAGCTGGCCGCCGAGCTCAGAGTCGGCCATCGTGTTGAACGGGTCGGTCTTGAGGACCGCTTCAAGGCATCCACGTTCCGGCACGCAGTGTCCAGCAAGTCCACCGGGGAATTCCTGCAAGTCAGTGGCTGTAACTTCAAAGATCAGGAAGATGCAAAAGTGTAACTGTCACGCCGGTGCTGTGTACCTGGGCGGTGCCCGGAAATACAACCAACGTTTTACTGGCCGCAGATGAAACGTTGTTCACACCCGGCACATGTGAAAGGGCCGGCGGCCAGGCACTGAGCCAGAAATAGAGGTTGAGGCAAAACTTACACTGAGCGTGTCGAGGAAGACCTGCCTCGCATCGTTCGGCGCATCGATCATCTTGATGCTGTGCGTGTTCTCGTCGTCAAACCCGACAGAGAAGTATGCGCGGGCGACCATGGGTCCCTGCTTGAAGAAGAGGGTGTCCCGGCTGCGACCGGGCAGCTCGCACGAAGAACTCAGGTGCCATCCAACCTTGGACAGCGAAAACAGCAGGAACTCGACTAACCGCCGCGAGCGCACGTCTTCAATTCCTCCTTCCCCTGCAAAAGTCAGCATGCTGCATGGTTTAGATGTTCTCAATGCGGCGGCGTGCATGCCGTGCCATGGACGGCGGTGGGGTGAATGAGCCGTGCCTTGCGGCAACGCATATCTCGTGATCCCAGTGTTCCCACCTCCCACCCGCATTTCGGGAAGGGGCATCGGTAAAATGCCACTCTTACGCCGCGCTGCAGTGGTGGAGGCATCATATTCCGTGCACAGCCGGCGAGCGTACCGGACATGCGCTGTGGCTGCCTCTCGGTACTGGCGTTCTGCTCGCGCTTGCAACCACCGTGCCCGCCAAGTCTCACGAAGCCATTGCCATCGCACAGACAAACAGAATTTCACTCACATGGTGCGCCGAGGAGCTCCCAGTCCTGGACGGCGGGTCGCGGGGAGTGTTTCCGGGTGACTCCCTTCCAGCCGCGGCTGAGGGTGAGGTCGATCGCCTCGATGACCTTGGCAGGGAAGCCAAAGGTGCGGACTACGTTCTGCTCAGCGAGGGTCATGATGGCGAAAGCTGGTCGGGAGGCGGGGTGGACGCTCGACGGGCGGCGGGGAGCGGGCATGAAGCTGTGGCGGTTCATCATTGGCGACATGGTCGAACACGGGCCCTGGCTCGGGGCGACCGAGGGCGTGAGGGAGACGAGACTCGGGTTCGACAGAGTCGTTATTGACTGCGACGGGGGGGAAGACATGAACATGTCCGAGGACGCCGTGCTGTAGCTGCTCGAGCGGGAGGGAATGACCGGCGCGGGGCCGGTGGGCTGGGCGACCATGGGCGACATGCGCATTGTTGTGTCGTAGCTCGGGGGCGCGCCCTTGTCGGCGGCAGTCGCTGGTGTCGGCGTCGTAGAAGGTGGGATGGTAGCGAGCATCTTGGTGTGTGTAGGAGGGGGAGATACGATGGGAGGTGGGAGCGAGGAAGGATATATGAGGGGAAGGGGGGGCAGGTGTGTGTGTGTGGGAGGAAGGCACGGCCGGCATGCAAGAGCGATGTGTCTGGGTGGGTTTTCGTACGTAGGAGGTAGGTCATGGTCATACGGTCGTAGATACGCAGGGTCGACCCTGAGTGAGGATCGAGCGGTGTCCCTGGCAAAGGGCAGGAGCCAGGGCGCAGGGCACGGCAGCCGCACCAAAACTAGCTCAATCGAGCACCGCCAGCCAGTGCAGCAGACTGGCTGATGATGATGACGGGTGTACGGGTGTACCACCGATAGGGACCCTCTGCAGCCGCCAGGCCGCCAGGCGTCAGCCGCTCCCAGCTTTTTGCTTGCATTAGGCGCATCTCTTCGGTCAAATCGGCCGCTCGCTCTCTCCATTCTGACCATTCTGGCGTGCTGCCTGGCGCTCTCTGGCGTGCTAAAATCAAGCCTCCCTTCCTTCATCAGCAGAATTTCGGGCTGCGCACAATGCGGCCCAACCAACTCTAGTGGAGCGCGCGCGCGGGGGCGTATCGCTTGTCCGTGTATCCGTGGGTTGTGGGTTGGGTTGGGTTGCATTGTTGTGAGCATGTGCTGCTAGCGCTAGTCGACGACCGAAGGACCGAAGCTTGCGCCGAAGCGGAGCGGTCTGGCGGAGCGGCAAGCGCGGCGATGGAGCTGGGTAGCTGCGGTGGTGCGTCATGGTCAGAGTGGTGCTCGATCCCAGTGTCCCAGCGTCCCAGCTCCCAGCGTCTCAACGCGTGCCTGAGTCAGATGCGACAAGCTGGCATGCAGCAACCGCGCGCGCGCTTCGCCGATTGGAGTTGGGTGGTGGATACGGTGGATACGGTGGGCGCCAGTCAGTCAGCTTGCAAGCCAGGGCCTGATAGAGGCTAGCGCACTGTCAGCGAGCAACGTGCGCCTCTCTCTCCATCAGCGGCGTCAAGAAGCTCAGGGTCAACAGGGTTGGTCCCTTTCTCCTGGATACATCATTTCAGTCAGACTCCTTGCGGCGTTCTGCGATCCTTACGAAACGCTGCCTATTGCCTAATGCAAAAAGGGAGGCCAACGGGCCATAGTATACGCGTACGGCGCCCAAGGATTTCTATCGGTAGTGCCTGGTAGTTGGCCTCCCTTTATGCATTAGACAATAGCTGGCCTGGCAGTCCTGACGTCGGCCATCCTTGGGTCCTGTGCTCTCTTGCCCTCGTTCCGAGCGATTCCTCCCCAGTGGTTGCAGCGGTCAACGTTCCACCGAAACTTGGCTTGCATTTCGCATCCGAATCCGGCATTTACGCCCGGTACACCAGGCACTTGTCAGTCTGTCAGCTGTTCACTGCGCAGACTCTGACACCGAGCCAAGCTAAGGACACTTTCATTGCCGCAACTGGCAGCTGTGCCGCTCTGCGCAGAATGTAATTATTAATGGAATCGACAGAGGCGGAGCGCGGAATGAACCGTGTGATGACAGCAGCCACCGCCGCTCCGCCCCCCCCAGCCTGCAGCCTGGCAGGCCCCGCGACCTACCGGGCGTACGCCATAGGTAAGCTTGGCTTGGCTTGACTATGCGTGCACGGAGGTGCTCGAAGCGAGAGCGTAAACAGAAAACGGGATCTCTCAAATCTGCCGTACCGTACGTACATCCCAAATGCAGATGCAGATGCAGATCGCCGGCGAGCGTTCGGCAGCAGTGTAGTGCTCGGCAGCAATAGCAGTCGCAGCTGTACGTACGTGCATAACAGGTCCACTGCTCGGGCATTCCTGCAAAGTCAAGGGGGGTTAGTCGTCTGAATATTTGATGCACATCGGGAACAAGGTTGGGTTCGCTTCAGTCCTTTTGGGAGATCGACCGACGACGATGATGAGACATGATGAGCAAGGCCGAGTGGGCTCTGATTGCTTAACGGCAAGCTGCGGTACGAGATGAGGCTCGCAAAGTGGGATCTCGTCTGCCTCTCGCACCCGTCTCAGAGTCTCAGCCGACCGACTGTAGGCTTGTGACCATGACTGGGCGGCAAGCACCAGGACCAGGGAGATTAAGGTGCAGCGTACCACCTCCCAGGACTCAGGGCACCAGGGTCCAAGACTTCGGCTTATCCCATCTCTCGTAGCTGGCTTACCTCACTTGTCCGCTGCTCTGTGCTCCGCTGCTCACCTGACACACCGACACGAAAGAGTTCAGGCAGAGTTCAGGCAGAGCTTGTATTTTCGGGAGCTGGCTCGCACCCCTCTCTCTAACCCTTCGTGCGAGCTTGCTTCATGTCTCGTTTGCGACGTCTTGGCACGAAACAGGCATCCCATTGGCCTCCAGGTGCATTCTCATGCCGGTATCGGGTCGTGTCGTCGGACTGACTGCATTCGCCCATCGGCGCAGCCCGTAGCGAGCGAGCGAGCATGGCGGCCGGGCGCCCCTGGCCGATCACCCGCGGTTGCGATGCATACGTACCAGCACCGTGGTGTGTGGCAGTCGCGAAGTGGAGTTAATGCAGACCGAGTTGGAGCCGGCAGACGACTGCTCGGTCTCGCTTTTCGCCACTGCATAGACAATGCCACAGACACAGTCCCAGCCTCCCATCGTCTCATGTATGCTGGTGCGCGCACAATAGTTCCTCCGAAGAGCGCGACCAGAGGCACGCAGGAGCATAGAGCTAAGAGCTACGAGTCTACGAGTTCGGACCGAGCATCCGTCTGCTCGTCTGCGCCTGTGTGCCGCGAGCCGTGCCCGTTGCTTGGCGAGCGAGAGGTACAGGTACAGTTCGACAGCAGGTACGAGGTGCTGGAGGTACAAAGTGGCCAGGAACGGCGAGTGCACGGGGTTGGGAGAAGGCACAGCTTCACGGAGATGTGCATGGGGCTGAGCACGGAGTTGAGTTCCAACACGGGGTTGCACGGGGCCGCAGGCACAGCACTACTTGGGTTGCAAGTTGTCCACGGCAAGCTCAACGCTCAATAGTTGCTAAAAGCAGAACGAAACGAGGAACGAGAGAGGAACAGCTGCGCCGAGGAACAAACGGTACTGCAGAGATCGAGGTCATGGCGCCATCGTCGTGTCAGTCTGCATTGCATGCGACCATGCGAGCTTGCATTGGTGGCGAGCAGGCGCGCGAGACAGATCCCAATAACACCCAGGAGGCAACGAGACCCATGCGCAGTCTCAAACCCGGGCACCCGGGGATTGGGGAGGCACTGCGTCAGCGAGGCGGTCTGGCAATCGTGTGATCTGAATGCTGAATGTCCATTGTGGCCCATTTGGTATATTCACCATTGTCCGTGTTCCAGCAATAATGACGGGGTCCCACCGGAACCCAGAAGCAGAAACTTGGGCGACACAATTATCAAGGAAGCGGCGGACAAAGCTAGTTGGTTCGAGCGGCCGCATTAGCATGCTAAGAGAATGGGAGAATGCGAGGAACAACAATTCATACGGCATCCTCTTTGGGTACGGTGGGCAGGTTACGTTGGCCACCTACTTGGACTGGCCACTGGTCGCTGGATCTGAGACTACAAGCCTGTAGGACTGCGTCGCTCGTGTCGTCTTGCCAAGTTGGCTTGGGAGGGTTGACGCGGGGGTCTGACAAACCGCGCTGATGGGTTGGCCGCTTCGACCATTCCAGCGGCCGATCTGTTGCCACCCATCGTTCCACCTTCCATCGAGCAGCCGAGGTAATGCAGCTCCGGCATACCTTTCGGCGTCTCCGGCGACGCTAGCAGCAAGCAGTGATCGACGGGCGGTGTTCTATGCTCTCTACTTCCAGTTTAGGTCCCTACCGTGTCTGCCGAGAGATGCATAGCATGCAGGCAAACGTGGTCCCGCTTGCCCGCTATTCCTTTCCTTAACCCTCAATGTCCCTCGAAGCATCAGCTTAATGCGTGCAAGGAGCGCTCCGAGCGAGGATTCCAGCACGCGTTGGCCCCGTAGGCTGTGCAGCACTTCATCAGATCCCCTCCTTCTTACGTTACTTCCTGGGTACTTCCTCCCACGTGCCGAGGGAGGGTGCGGTGCCTCCCTGCGGCCAATAAAGCGGACACCGAAGCAAGCACCGGGGCAGGCTGTGCGGTGGGTTAGGCGACGCCGAGCGGCATGGGCGGCCCGGAGCAAGGGGCCAGGAGGGGGGTATCTCCGAGGGCCCGAGGCAGTGCGGACTTTAAGCCCTTTCGGACACCGTACATCGTTCGACATGTTGAGCCCGGTGCCCTCGAACTCACGTGTTGCCGCATGCTCTATCCTGCAATGCGTCCTGGATCAAGGACAGCCAGGAGCAATGAGCATCGGGGACTTGCGAGACGTTCTCTCGTCAACGAGGAAGTCACCGCCGACTGCGGACTGCTGTAGGGTGCTCTATGTGGCCCTGCAGTGTCTTCTCCGTGTCCTGCCAGGGGTGGCCGGGTGGTAGGGACAACGGGGCATGCCTCCAGCACGTACCGTTCGCTTCGCACTCCACGACTGCGCTCCCCTGAACATGCCACCGTGCCCTCCAGTGGCTCCAAGGGCAGGTCTGATGGCTGGTGCGGCACTCCGAGCTCATGACGGACCTCGGAGCGCGCTCGAACTCCGTCGTCAGCGTTACACATTCAAGCCCACCCGTGTCTGCCCTGTAACAGATATCACCTGCTTCTGGCAGCTTTCTGCTATCACATGCAGAGGAGTTCATCACATGCAAGAGCGACATCACATGCATCGCGCCCATCACATGCCAGTAGACTCCACAGTGGAGCGGTCAATCGCACTAGTCCGTGGTGAGCCCCACATGTTCCAGCGGGCACGTGAGTGATCGATGGGCGGGACACTACGTCATAGCCTGTCTCTGCCTAATCACTTGGATACACCAGGATCCCAGGAGCGAAATGTTCGTCAACCGCAGGAAAATCGGGCAAAGCGTCGCAATGGACGGCGCACTCGCAACGTGATACCGACCTGAGACTGTAGACGGCATGCATATGGAGCATACCAGAAGGGTAGAGTGGAGTGCGTGCCGTACTCCATGCTGCGCGTTCCAGAAAACTACTCCACAGCGACGAGCCAGACTGCTCTGAACCAGGGATTCAACAGGAACGAGCTCCACAACTGACGCGAGAACACGAGTAGCACTTCCCGATATACCGGGCGACCCAAGATGTCGGAGCGAGGCACCTAGATCTAGGAGAGGCGTTCCAGAGAGACGACAGCCTGGGGAGGTAAGCGCCCAGATAGGTAGGCAGGCGAAGATCAGAGCGAAGCCAGTGTCTTGTTCAGACGTCTTTCGTGCTACTCGCGCTCTGCCCGCAAAACGGCCAACTTCGAGTCCAGGTTCGCCATCGTCTTCTCTTTGGCGGCAATGAGGCGCTCGAGCCGTACTGGGTCGGAGATCGCCGCGTAGTTTGGTTTTTGTGGGACAGGCGTGCGCATCTTCTCGGTTTCTTTAGTTCCTTCTGCCTTGCCGTCTGCATCGGCACCGTCATTCTCAGCGGGAGCCTTACCCGCTGTGGCACTTGGAGCATTATCGTTTGTGGCGGACAAGATGGCAATGTCGCGGCGCAGTTCGCCAATTGCCTCGTCCAAGGTCGTGAGCGCCGAGCGCAGATCGCGCAGCTTCACTTTCTCCATGAGCGCTTGAGCTGCATGCTGGGCCGTAACGCCGATATGGCTGAAGCGCGCCGGCTGATGTCAGCAACGAAGTTCTCGCTCACAGACTGCAGCTCTAGGTGCTGCTCAGATACCGTGCAACATGGTCAGTCACCGGCGCCCTTGCTCAAACCGTCGCAGCGAGGCTCTTCGGGCACTAGCACTAGCACTCGCGCTAGTGGACCAACAACAGCCCACTCTGTAAGGCGCTACGCCGATCGTTGGCTAGGCATAGCAGCTACCTCGGCGCTACGATACCTTCCGAGGCATTAGGACGCAGCCCTACGTCCCATGGCCCGACCCATAGCAGCGACGCGTCATCCGTCGCCGAACCGCGGGGCGTCTTATCCGCGTCCGAGACACTTACACCGAGCATATCTCCGCCGAACCACCGCGCACAAACAACGAGCACATCAACAGCGCCAACCTCGTTCAGGACTTTGAGCACTCGGTCGCCGCCGTACCGCTCTCCGTCATCGTCCATCGCTTCCAGAAGCTGGAGTTAGCGTGGGTGTTTCATGGACGTCGCAGAGTGGGATGCAATGTGGGTCCGGTTGTCCCTCCGGGCGCCGAGCAAGTACCGCAGTGACGAGGGCGGCGCTCGCATGGCCACGCAAGCTGTTCCCACATGTCTATAGCGATCGGCCATGAGAGGGCAAAGTGGTGACATGCCGCATGCCCACCTAATGTCTTCCGACGGCTTTCCACATTCTCACGGCCGCGCATGCCTACCTCGGAGCCTCGGAGTCCAACGCCGGCTGCGGAATCGTTTCGAGTCCGTCACGTTGACCCTTCCTCGTCGTGAGAACATACCTGATAATCGTCCTCTCCCTGTGTCCCATCTCGTCCTTCCTTCAGCACGAGTGTCCGGCATGCCCACATTCTGTGATCTGGCTCGCGGGCTCTCTTCCTCGGGCCCGGAGCCAGCCCGCCGTCGCTCTGGAAAGCACCGTCTCGTGATTCGAGCAACTCCTTGCCGACAAGACTGACAATGTCCATGCCGCGGACAATGTTCTGCACATGCTTCTTCAGTGCCTCTGCTGTTCGAATGTTGGAGGGTGGAGAGAGTGACAGTGCGAACGACGTAAATGTGCTGGACACAGCGTGGAGGTGCGGACTTGAGACGAGCAGCGGCGCCGGCTCACCCGGCTTCAACCAGGAAGAGAGCGCATTGCGTGGCGGAGTGTGCACGCGCGCACGCTTCTTGAAGGATTGGGGCGGTGTCGAGGAGGAAGGCGACGATGCGCGCTTCATTGTCGAGGAAGGTCGGGAATGATAGGTTGATGTCAACAACAGCGATCGAGAAAGTGGAGGTCTGCACGCGTCATCTCATGTTACGCTACGGTGAGACACACCAGTGGCAACCGTCACATGCTGCGATCTCTGCCAGAGGGTGCTGGGCATGCGTGCTTTGGGCAGTGCGCAAACAAACTGTTGCACTGGCAGGATGCAGCTCCGAGGCTCAATCATGATCCCAGAGATCTTATCACTTATGCTACGTATACATGGAAACAATGCTGCTATCTAAACAATCGCCTCGAGCTGCTGCGCCAGCTCAAGTGCCGGCTTGACCATCGACTGCATGGGTCCACCACGCTTGATACCCTTTCCGCCCGCAAGGTCCATCGTGATGCGAGATGAGTCGTGCGCGGCGACGGCAGCGAGGGCGATGTCCGGGATGGGCGACTTGGGGAAAGTGAAGGTTTGGGTGGAGGGCTCGAGGTCCCATCCACGCTCCTTCGCGAACTCGACGAGCTGGGCCGTCTCGCCCGAGCGGAAGAAGAGGAGCTGCGCAGCGTTCTGCAGCGGCAGCGACGGATACGACGTCTCGATCGTGAGCGCGATCTGCTCCCTGATCGTTCCCATCAGCCGCTCGAGCAGAACAGCATACTCCTCGCGCGGAACACGGTCGCGCGCCCGGTAGATCTTGTTGTATGCTCCCTCCATCATCCAGCGCTCGAGGTCCACCGGCCAGCGCACGAAGACGTCCCCGAGCTCGCTCACGTCCAGACCCTCAAGCGCCATGTGGAACTGCGAGTACTTGCCCTCGGACAGCATCGTCAGGAGCTGCAGGCCGATGATGATCGGCCGGTTCGCAGACGGCGGCAGGGTGTTGGCGAGATTGACATAGAACGGTTGAAGCGCAGCATTGTACTGGTTGTACGCGGCGAGATTGCTCTGCCTCAGAGCGTTGAAGGCTCCGATCTCAATGATCGTACCTGTTGTCAGTTATAGGCAATAAGTAGATCAACTCACGAGCAGCAAGCAGGTCCTGGGGATTGGCATCGGGAGGAGCAAAGTAGAGTCCCGACTGGGCCAGCTGGATCTGATGGTTAGCTTCAGGAGCGTGCATGCCATGACTGACCTTGAGCTGGGTGACAAGCTTGGTGACCTCGTCCTTCTTGCCGGCGTCGAAGAGCTGCTGCAGCTGGGCGACCGACTGCTGCAGGTCGAGCGACATGGTGGTGGTAGTAGCGGGGTGTGTGGTATCCGAAGTCAAAGTCGTAAGCGTCGCGGGCGTCTAAGAGTCTAATGAGAAGCCGATGCAAGTAGCGAGGAGAAGGTGGACGACGATGAGCAAGCTGGTATGCATGGTGTAATCGGTGACCTGGGTGTGGTTATGACGACGCGTGGCTCTGGTAAGGTGCTGCCACATGCTGGAAACGCCGGAAAGGTGGAGGTCGCGCTGGGCGAGGGTCGCTCGCGCTGGTGATGCCTGCCATTGAGTCATCCAACGGGCCAGCGACCCTCGAGCCAGGCCCTCGACCCAGACCGACCAGCGCGCAGTGTCCAGCGTCACTAATCATCATCGTCTTGACCCGTCTTTTGCCCAACATTCAACGCCTAACCACACCGTTTCCCCTTCCAACACCCTTCCCCCGCCCCTCCTCCTCACTACAGAGGAACTAAAACCACCTCGAAGGGACTGCCAGCCCGCCCTCTGCGCACTGTCCTCTGTCTTGCAACAAGGTTGCCGACCACACAAAGTTCAACCCTCCACCTTTTTTCTCCCTCCAGCATCTCTTCTACCTCGTTCTACTGGTACGTTGCCCAACCGCTCGTCCGACGCGTCATTGGATAGAGCGGCGTCTCTTCTGTTGAACGCTTCACGCTGACATCCTGCAGTCATGTCTGCTCCTAACCCCGCTCAGAACGGCCAGCCCGCTCCTGCCTCCACCGAGCAGCCCACCCAGTCGGCTGCTGCTTCGACCTCGAGCCAGGATGCCAGCAAGATCTCGCCCAGCGACGTCGGATGGCAGTTTGTTCCCCAGTACTAGTGAGTATCGGATCCTGTCACTGTCGCATGCATGACACGACGCTCGAGCCGTTCCGAAGCGCGAGCGTGTGTGGCGGACGTGTCGGCAGCCTTGCGCCCATCAGTGATGAAGAGAGATCGGCGTGTCGCAGGCAGAATGCTGACAGACTAACAGCAACTTTGTGAACAAGCAGCCCCACCGCCTCCACTGCTTCTACAACAAGCGGTCAACCTTCATCCACGGCGAGGAGGGTGACGATGCTACCCCCGCTCTCGGTCAGCAGGTGAGTTTGCGTGCCTGATTCATGAAGTAATAATGTCCGCGTGACTGACCAGATAACAGGAGATCCACGACCGTATCACCAAGATCGGCTACGACCAGTGCAAGGTCTTCATCAACTCGATCGACTCACAATCCTCGGCCGGCGGTGGTATCATCATTCAGGTTCTCGGTGAGATGTCCAACGCCAACAAGCCTTGGCGCAAGTTCGTCCAGACGTTCTTCCTGGCCGAGCAGCCCAACGGCTACTACGTCCTCAACGACATCTTCCGCTACCTTAAGGAGGAGACCGACGAGGACGATGAGGACGACGAGGTTCCTGAGGTCTCTGAGGCTCCGGTCGTTAGCAGCGCCCCTGCCACTCAGGCCGAGGTCGAGCACGCCCAGGCCGCTCCCCCCGCTCCCGTTGCTGCCACCGCCGAGGCCCCTGAGCCCAAGGTTCCCGCTGAGGAGCAGAAGCCCGAGTCCCCCGCTCCGGAGAAGAAGGAGGAGCCCAAGGAGGCTGAGCCCGAGGCTGCCGCCCCTGCCGCCGAGGAGGAGAAGCCCGCCGCCCCCGCCCGCAAGTCCGAGGAGACCCCCGCTCCTGCCGCCAAGGCTGCTTCTCCCGCCCCTCCTGCGTCTGAGAAGGCTGCTTCTGCTACTCCCAACGGCACCTCTGGCGCTGCTACCCCCGCTGCCCAGCCTGCTCAGCCTGCTCAGCCCGCCCAGCCCGCTCAGCCCGCCCAGCCCGCTCAGCCCGCCGCCCCCGCCAAGCCCAAGTCGTGGGCTGCTCTTGCTGGCGGTGGCAAGTCGTGGGCCAGTTCTGTCGCTGCTGCCCCCGCTGCTGCTGCTCCCGCCGCCCCGGCTCCTACCCCTGCCGCCGCCCCCGCTGCCAAGAAGGAGGCCGCGCCGGCGCCGGCTGCGTCCGGTGCCGCCGCTCCCGCTTCGGGCAGCGGCCGTCACCCGTACTACGAGAACGCCATGAAGGTCAACACCCCCCACTGCTTTGTCAAGCTTCCCAACTGGTCTGCCAACGACTCCACCACCGGCGGTGAGACCATTGACGAGCCTACTCTCCGCAACATTGCTTCACGCTTCGGTGACGTCGTCAAGGTTGAGATCGTGAAGGGCAAGGCCTGCGCCTTCGTCGAGTTCAAGAACGTCGACTCAGCCCGCAAGGCCATCATTGCTTCGCTCGGAACTCACTACGGCGGTGAGGGTGGTGTCCCGACGGCCAACGGCGAGGGCAAGCTCAACTTCGAGACCCGCAAGGAGAAGGACGAGCGTGGACCCAAGGGCCGCAGCCGTGGTGGTGCCACCGAGCAGCAGCCCCGCACTGGCGGCCAGCGTACTGCCACCGGCGGTGCTGAGCGTGGCCAGGGCAACCGCGGCAACCGTGGTGGACGTGGCGGACGCCAGGGCAACGCCGGCCAGAAGTAAGCGGCGACCGGCGAGGAGCAGGAGACAGTAGATCACCCAGTAGACATTATCCATCCCCCATATCTTTATCCACTCCCACACCACAACCCAACCCCACCCTTTTACCCACACTCCACCATTGCATCCGTAATTTCCCCGGTTTCCCGGCTTCCGAGTGACATTTCGAGGAGAATCTTCAAGCATTGAGTTCCGCGGACGGACGGAAGGAGGAAGGCAGGAGGAAAGACGACGGCATCATGGTGTAAAGGTAAAGGCTAGGGCTAGCGGAGCCCCGTGTGTGGAGTGTTGGCATCACAATGCGTGCATTTGTAGTTATGAAAGGCATGTTCATAAAGTGCATTCTTGGGATACAACAGCAGCAGCTTCTGTCATTGACGTCTTGCCCAGCCCTGATCCTGTGGTCGGCTGTAGCCTCCACGACCTCGTCCGCCACCTAACGCTCCTCGCCTGCCGCCGCGACCTCGCCCTCGCCCCCGGTTGGCGCCACCTTGTCCATGGCTGAGATACGGGTTGTCCTGGTGCTGGAGATAGGGGTTGTTCGTCTGCTGCTCCTCGTCATCAGCGGCACCCGGTCGGCTCTTTTTCTCCGCAGGGCCGTCTTCGCCTGATTGCTTGCGTTTCCGCAATCCAGCCTTCTGGATGACAAACTTCCAGAAGGCGTCGACGATTGTTCGGTCTCGCCCCCATTGCCACTCCATTGCTGCTCGCGCCTTTGGAACGGAGGGCGAAGGCGCTTCCACATCGCTTTCCCTATCAGCGTCCGTGGAAGCGGGCGCCTCAGGTTTCGTGAAGCTTAGGCGAGCACGGAACAGTGGCTCCTGGCTTGTCGAGCTCTCTGGTAGAGCGGCTGACGCTTCTTCCCCTCCTTCAGCGTACTGAGCGGCCCGCTGCGCTGCTCTCCGCGCCTGCCTCGACCAGGTGTTAGTTGTTGGGGCGAGGTGGATGACGCCTTCCTCGTCCGCTGTTGTGTCGATGTTCACACTCTTCAAGACGTCGGTGATCGCCTGCCTGACTTCGTCTAGGTCCTTCTCCTCTTCATCATGAACGAATGAGTTACTCAGCGACACCATCTTCGCGAAGCTCGTTCCCTTCTCGACGTGCGCTGGTCTGGTCAAGTTCTGCTCGTCAGCTACCTTGACAGGGTCTGTGCAGCTCACGTCCGGCAGCCGGTAGGGCGAGAACGACCATGCAAGCACCCATCGAGCCGTGTTGCCCTGCCTGAGGGAAATGACGGCGTAGTTCGTCGTCTTCGTGAGGACGTGCTTGACGAGTGGACCGAGAGAGGCATACCTTCCGACGAGAGAGGTGAACCACCCCACCTTGTCACCGTACGCGACCGACTCGTCAATCATCTGCCCAACGAACAGCTCCTCTCCGCCCCTTGTCACCTGCTCGTTCGGCGCGCACGTCGGGGCAGCAGACGCCGGCGTCGCCTTCGCCAAGCGAGCTTCCTCAGCTTCCGCCAGGCTGGCGAAGAAGGGAGGGTTGCACATCGTGAACGACCACGAGTCCTGATCCTTTAGGTGACCCAGCAAGGAGTTGTCGGGAGGAACGCCCTTGATCTCCACTGCCGCTGGTGCAATGGAGTTGCGCGCAGCCTGCTCGCGAGCGTGCGCCAGCGATGTTGGCTCGAGCTCGCTCCCGACGACGTAAGCTTCAGGCCGCAGCTTGTGCAGCAATAGAGCATAGACTGCGACGTGCCCCGTTCCAATGTCGAGGGCGCGGAGTGGACCAGGAGCGGCATACTGCGCAAGGTCGAGGCAGGTCAGCACGTAGTCGAGGCGGTTAGCGACCTGCGGGTTAGCGGTGAGTAGAGAGCAGGCAACCCACGGTGGGACAAAGCCGGTCGTCCCTCAGCTCAATGTCGAGATTAAAGTCATGTCGCAGCAACGCCGCCGTCAGTGCCCGTAGCGCACGGGCGTCGGTGAAGTCGATGCTCGCCCCGTGGTCAGATTTCGTGACGCTACACACGTCAGCTTGACTTTGAGACGCTAGATTGCCTGGCTCACCGCTGCCGCTCACCATCGGCTCACTTACAACGGCCGCAGCGCCTCGTCCTTCTCGGCGAGCGCGGCAAAGTCGGGTTTCCGCACTCGGTACGGGTTGCGCTCGTGCATGACCGGGGGTCGGGGTGGAATGCACAAATTGCGTTTGGGTAACCCAATAACAAGGGGTGACTGGTGGCGAAATGCGGCGCGCCCCGCGTTATAGCGAAGGGGCCGGCTGGGCCAGGAATTACACGTGCCTGGCGTGGCCTGGCAGTCCTGAACGTCATGCCAACACGCGATCGGGTTACACTTGCAGCTATCTCGTCTCCATCTTGTCTTCTGCCATTCCTTCATCCCTTATCCCTCTCCGCCCTTGCCACCCCTACCACCTGCAGCCACCGAGCCACCGCCTTGCCATGCCGCGCCGTCGCCGCGTTGTCGTTCGCGAGGACCGCGAGCTCCCCCCAATCCCCCTGCAGCGGTAAGTCCAACGCGCACCTACCGAGTGGATGGGCGCGAGACACTGACCGCCGGCAGACAACGTGCGCGCTCCTTCAAGTTTTTCCTGTACGTGTTCCCGACGGCGCTCGTCACGATCTTCTTCTACTTCTTCGCCCTCGACTCGCGTTCTCCAGGCCTCCTCATCGGCAGCCTGATATGCGCGTCTGGACTGTGTGAGTTTTCGACATCCGACCTCGGCTAAGGGCGTTTCGCTGACTCGACCTCGCAGTGCTCAGCCTTCGCGCCCACGAAGAGTTCCCTTTCAACCGACGCAAAGTTATCAAGCTCCGGGCATGGGCCAACATCCAGATGCATGTGCGCGAGGGTCTCGGTGTGGTGAGTATCATCAGCTTTGCGACAAGCATTCTAGCTGCAGGCAGGCAGTCGACGGCTGCGCGGTGACACGATGTGTGTGGATGCTGACATTTCAGGCTCAAGTCGCAATTACCGGCAATCCGGCGCTGAACCACTTGCCCACCACGCCATCGCTGCACAACATCCCCATGAGCCCCTTGCAGGAGAACGACGCCCTGCCTGACGAGTCCGTGGTCGCCAGTGACCCAGGAGAGACGGATCTGCGGACGGAGGAGTTCCTTGGTCTCCTTGCCGGCTTCCCGATTGCCCTGCAGCACCACCTTCTGGGCACTCGCGCCCTCCCTCAGCCGCCCCTGTGTGACCTCTTGCCCGCGGATTACCTCTCGAGCCTGAAACGCACTGACTCGCGTGTTCGTTTCGCAGAGGAGCACTCCGGCCCTAGCGGGTCGGGCAACCCGATCGGGAAGAGTACGAAGCCGAACGGCGACGCAAACACGAATGGCGCTGCACCTGGCACTGTGACACACAGCGATGAGGAGTCGGACGGTAAGGAGGAGCCAACAGGCAAGGAGGAGGCGCCTGCGCCCGTCAAGAAGTCGAACCTGCACGCCCCGTACCCCGCCCACCTGCCGCTGTCTCTCCTGAGGCTTCTGGAAGCGTATGTCGCGGGCTTCTCGCAGCGCCCAGCCGAGAAGGGCGGTTGGACACCCTTGCAGACGGAGCGCGCAATTGACGCCATCAAGGGCCTGAATGCCGCCCTCACGGAGGCAGAGTCAATCTACAATGGTGAGTTCCACCTCCCCCTCATCGTCAAACTGACAGCAGCGCCGGACCCGGTCGTGAGCTTGACGCTGTGCGCGTATCTGTTCGTGCTCAGCATCCTCTGCTTCATCGCCCTGTACATGCCACCTCTCGTGTCTCTGATGACGTTTGGCCTGATTGCAGCCGCATTCCCGCCGGCGTTCAGCCGCGCGACGACTGGCCCGAGTCCGTCTTGTGAGTTGCCTCATGTGGTCACTGCTAACTCTCAGCCTCGACGCACCCCCTGACGCACGAGACGCGCATGATGCTGAACGAGTCGATCGACAATTGTCCCGCGCTTGCTACGTACTACCGCAACCGTATTGCGGTGCGCGCGGGTCCAGACGCGCCCGAGGTCGTCGACCTCGACAAGCGCTCGCGCAGGCGGGACATCTGGCTCCCTTCTTTCTGATTGTGTCTCGGACGTGTCCAGTTGTAATCGCCCCGCCTGTGCCCCGTGTTGTATAAGTCGTCCTGTCGCGACATTTGTCTCTTATCATCTTATGTAGGGTTAATTCACGGCCTATGATGTATCCTCCTTCACAATACACGGTGCGATGCAGAGCAAAGGTGGTCATCGTTGTCGCTATCGCACCGAACGCCGAGATTCCAGGGAGTCTGGATCTGTTTGGCGCGGCGGAGTTCCAACAGCAATCGCCTAGCTTCGCCTTCTTAGTTCAGTGGCTAGAATTTTCCACTAGTAGTGTCTCTTCGAGTCTTGCTATGGAACGGTCACCCGTTCGATTCGGGTAGAAGGCATTCTCTTTTGGAACATCGGGCTCTTGCAGAGCGCTTCGTTGTCGTGTGAATGTTCTTTGGGGGGTGATGCGGAGCAGTGCGATGTTCTTATCAGAGGGTGTGGCATTACTCGTGTGAGATAGCGCCTCCGACGTTATAGTGCCTGGTGCCAAGTGACGCTAGCGAGTGGCTTGGGAAGGCTGACCGGCTCATGTAGGAGAGACCGGTGAAGTCGGGGATGCGTTTCAGCTGCACAGCCTGATCCGGCAGACACGCAGTGCCGTCTTGTTTCTCATCTGACAGCATTGTTCGTTCGCCTATCCAGTCACCAACTGACTCGGCGACGAAAACTATCAGATACCAGCAATCCGACTGTCACTCTGGTGTGACCGAAATCTAACTTCGAGCTTCTTTCGCCACCCGCACAAGTCCGAGTTCAGGTGTGACATCACACCGATCGTCCAATGTCAGTCCGCGCGCCGCCGCCCGTTGCGCCGCAGCGCGCGCATGTCTCTTCCTCGCCATCCCGCTTCTCCGCATTCGCCTCGATCGTCTCGCCACACGCCATGTCCTCCCCACGCAGCGTGAATGGTGCCTCGCATCTTTCCGCAACCCCGCCGGGGTCGAACAGCTTGTCCGCGTCGCCGAGCGGGCCATTCCGCGGCTCGCCGCTGACGCCCTTATCGCCAGCTTCCCTATCTTCAGGCTCGACAGCGCGGTCGAACCGACCCACAAGATCGTCGTCGCCGGTGCTTCTCCACCCCCTTCCACCATCGACTGCGCTGGAGAGGGAAAGTAGGGCTGAGAGCGAGCTGGAACTCCAGCGGCAGACGGAACAGGCTCGGCGCGAGCGGCTGCTGGCCGAAGCGCTGCAGGACCAGCGGCACGAGGTCGAGCGTATCGCCGCGCGGAGCGAGAATGGCCTCTGGGCACAGGAACAGCGACAGAAGGCCAGACGGCAGGACTCGTCCGCCCCCACTGCCTCTGAGCCGACGAAACCCTTCACGCGGCCCCCGCAAGCGTACGAGCTATATCAGGCGATTGACAAGCGTGACCTCGAGTTCGTGTCGCGCGTCAGAGACCACTGCTTCAACATGCTGCTGCAGAAGAATGCGGCCGAGTTTCCCATCATCTACGCAGCTAGGATTGGGCCGAGTCATCGCGATATCGTCATCATGCTCGTTGGCGCTTTCTCGAGGTGAGTAAGGAAGAGGAAGGCAGCTTAGACGAGGACGTGCCAGCTGACGACAGATACGTCAACAACTTGGACGAGGAGCAATTCAAGGAGAGGGAAGTGCAGAACACGCTCAAGATGCTCCGGACAAACGTAAGCTAAATGGGTGCTCTCCGCTTAGCTAACACCTCAGCTCAAGATGGCAATCGACAACGCCCTCCTGCCCGCGCAGCAGTCGCACCTCCTCTCATCCTACCTGCAAGTCCTCATCATGTCCGAGGGCGACAGCTGGGTGCATCGGGCGTCGCACGACGTCGGCCTGCTCATGCGCTCCGAGCGGTCCGAGCCAGCGGCTGAGGCCGAGGACCGCGTCCGGCGATTCAGTACGCGCGAGCTGCGCGGCGTGCCCGGCGGCGTGAATGAGGTCGAGGAGTATATTGCCAATGCGGCCATTGATCTGGTGATTCTGGCCGCATGGGGAGTTGCGGCTGGACAGATTGGCGCGGAGCCGCTGCCTGTAAGTCCACACTTTAGCTTTTCGTTACGCGTCACGGTAAGCTGACAAACCAGACGTACACTTTTGCCCGAGACTTGAGGACCTGGACGCTCTTCATGGAGGCGATGGAGGAGAACAAGGCGAAACTCCCGCGCGTGAACAAGCGCACGCGCCAAATCCTCGACGTGCTCAAGAACAAAGCGGGAGACAGCAAGATTGGCGTGCAGGCGCGTCTGAGGGCCATTCGCGAGGCGATCGATCGCAAGCCCGGCTCCCCGTAGCCGTACTGTATCGAACAGTCATCTTTGGCAGCATAGGTCGTGTCAGTTGTATGCTATGACATATTCTAGCTAGTTGTACATGTGCGGGCGATCCAGCGTTTTCTTATACGCGATCGCGGGGTTCCGCTTTTGGCTTGTAGGTTGGGGGCCTACTTCTTCGTCGCGACCCAGAAGGCACACTGACGTCAGCTGCAGCAAGCGTTACCGAGCTTACGTTGTAAATGTGCTCGAGCATGCTGTCGGGGATACCAGTGTAGGGTGAGCGGATCATGTGCTCGTCCTGGCTGTCAGCTAGTGCTCATCGCCCAGCTCACCTTGATGTCAAAGCCAACCAGCTCAGCGAGCTCCTTCACCTCGTCGAGGCTAAGTTCGATCGAGCCGATACCGTTGCGCGGGGCAGAGTTCTCAAAGTGCCACAGGAGCGGGCCTGAAGTCAGCTCACGAATCCAGGCATCATAGCTGGCCGCTCTCATCCATAACGCAGGCCGATCCCACTCCCAACTCACCGACGTTGATCCACACGCCGCCATCCTCGAGCAGGCCATGAATAATGCGCATGTAGTTGAGCACGCTGCGCGCCGTGTCGATGAAGAAGCAGGTAACGACGGCACTCCATCGTCCGCGCTGGTTGACGCGGCCAGCCTCCTCGTCGTCGCTCTCGGAACCGGATGACTGTGGCGTGAACCAGTGCGTCGGGCCATAGATCTCCTCGAAATCGCCCGCGACGAGCGAGAAGTTGCCCGGTGTGATCCCCGCTAAGATGTCTGCCGGTACGACGTCGGGAACGCGCACCGATCGCAGCAAGTGGTTACCCGTCGACTGGTGGTTCGACCACGAGTGCAGATACGGGAATAGAATATGCTCCTCGGCCGTCGTGGTCCTGTTTCGTCAGCTATGCTAGCAAACCCTCCACAGCTGAGCGCTCACTGATTCAGAGCAAAGTGACTCGCAATCAGCATGTACGTGCTGAACTCGTTGCCCTGGGCCCAGAACCCGCGCGCGGCGATCTCCATCGCCAGTCGGCCTAGACCGCATCCCGGAACGAGGACCTTCTTCTCGCCACGGGTCGAGACTTCGGGGAAGTGCGCCTCGAGCGCCTCGAGAAGGGGCTTGTAGCACGCTTCGCGCTCCGAAGCGCCCTCCTTTGTCCAGTCACGCACGAAGGAACGCAGCGTCGAGCGCACCTTGTCCTGCTGGTTGTCGCGGGCCGTATGCGATGCCTTTGGCTTCGGGTTCGCTGGCGAAGGTGCTGCAGGCTCGCCATCGCTGTCACTGTGAGAGTGGGAGTGCTCCGCAGCGTCGTGCGAGTGCGAGTGTCCTTGAGAATGGGAGTGCGTGTGCTCGTGGTGGTCGTGTGAGTGGGCGGAGGCGGCAGTGTCGTCATCGCCTCCGGCCAGCATGTCCGCGAAGACGGGGTCCTGGATCATGAGGTCAATGAACTCCGAGTTTCTGGTGTCAGCTAAGCTCATGCCCAGCACCAGCTTACCTCCTAATACCCTCATCAACAGCCTCGAGCTTGTCGCGATAGCCAATTGCGTCATACAGCTGCTTCTGGTCGTCGGGGAGGGAGAGGAAGGCGAGTCGACGGCTGTTGTTCGCCGATAGCTGAGATTAGCTGTAGCCCCTGGATCCCCCCAGCTCACGTGGTACTGCATGTAGCCATCAAATGCCTTTAAGATGTCTCGCCAGTGCTGGCGTTCCTCTGGAGAGTCTGCCATTCTGGCTGTGTGGTGGTCGATGTTGTTATCAGCTCGTCAGACGGACCGGTCGCGTTCAGGTGGTCGACCTCCACCTTGAGGTGAACCCTAAGCGGCTTAGGCACGCGCCAGGCATGCGGGCAGAGCGAGAAGGTACGGAGATTGGGATAACGCCGAGGCGGTGGCGGGACCTATTTGGCGCTGAATGGTGAGCGGGCGCCGCAACTGCCAGGGCTGGACTGGCTGGGCTGACCGTGGGCCGTGGGCCGCCTGGCAGGCATGGCAGGAAAGTTGAACCCTGGCTGGTGCCGTCTGCGGACGCGTTCATTACCAACCGGACCAGTCGAGTGGTGTTGGAAAGACAACACATACCCATCGCGTCGGACGTCACTCCTCACCATCATGTCGTCCGTCGTCGAAGCTGCCGCCACCGCGACCGCCCGCGCGGCCGACTCCAACCCCGACATCTCCCCCGTTCTCCTCCCCTTCATCTCCCTCCTCTCCTCCTTCCTCACCCAGCTCACGGAGCTCTTCCACCGCATCCCTGGCTCCCCGATCATCCTCCGCTACATCAAGAGCAGCTACCAGAATGACCCCTACCGCTCCCTGCTCGAGGTCCTTCTGTTGGCCTACGCCATCCGCACGCTGCTCATGGGCCGCACGCGCGGTGAGGGTGCTGAGGGAGCGCTCAAACTGTCCGAGAAGGTGCGTCGACGATAATAGCTGGCACACCCGACTCGGTCAGGGTTTCAGCCCAGCCGCTCAGCCACGGTCCCACTAACGCAGCACAGGAGGTCGACGAGCTCATCGATGACTGGCAGCCGGTACCGCTGATTAACGACCTGAGCGAGCTCGAGAGCAAGACGCTCGAGTCGGTTCCTACGATCTACGGACAGAATGGTGCGCACGCCAGGGTGACCCCGAACGGAAAGCCGGTGCTCAACCTGGCGGTCACGGACTGGCTCGGATTCATGGAGAACGACCACATCAAGGATGTTGCTATCGGAACGCTTCGCGAGTACGGCGTCGGATCGTGTGGACCGATGGGTTTCTACGGTACGATCGATGTGCACACTGCGTTTGAGCGCGATGTCGCCGACTTCCTGGATACGGAGAGCGCCATCATCTACTCGCAGAGCTTCCTGACGACCTCGTCTGTTATCCCGGCGTTCGCCAAGCGTGGCGACATTATCATTGCGGACCGCGGTGTCAACTTTGCGATCCACAAGGGCCTGCAGCTGTCCCGTTCGACGATCCGGTGGTACGCGCACGGCGACATGGAGGACCTCGAGCGCGTGCTCACTTCGGTGCAGCGCGAGCTGAAGCGCAAGGGCGGCAAGCTTACCAAGCGCTTCATCGTGACTGAGGGCATCTTCGAGAACGACGGCATGATGTCGGACCTTCCGCGCATCTGCGAGCTCAAGAACAAGTTCAAGTACCGCCTGATTCTCGACGAGTCCATGTCTTTCGGTATGGTTGGCAAGCACGGACGTGGTATCACCGAGTTCTACGGTGTGCCTGCGGGTGAGGTCGAAATTCTTGTTGGCTCCATGGCGAACTCGCTCGGTGCCGGTGGTGGCTTCTGTGCTGGCTCGCATCACGCTGTCGCGCACCAGCGTATCAACTCTGCCGCTTCCGTCTTCTCGGCTGCGCTCCCGGCGATGCACGCGACCGTCTCGTCTGCGGCCGTCAAGATGATGGAGGAGAACGCGGGCCTGATCCCGACGCTGCAGGAGAACATCCGTGCGTTCCGCACGCAGCTCGCCAAGCTCGAGCCCTCCTCTCCGTTTGCCGAGAAGCGCAACGGCGACAACCCCGATGCGCTCATTTCGATCCCGTCGCACCCGGATTCGGCGCTCATCCACATCTTCCTCATCAAGCCTCCCGGCACGCTCGAGCAGGAGGAGGACCTGCTGCAGGAGATTGTCGACGAGGCGCTCGCGAACGGCGTCCTCGTCACGCGCGCCCGTCGTCTCCGCGGACAGGAGATTTTCGACCCCGAGCCCTCGCTCAAGGTCTGCATCTCTGCCCTGCCATCCAAGAAGGAGATGGAGCGCGCGGGCAAGGTCCTCCGGGACGCCATCATCAAGGTTGCGGGCAAGCGATGAGTGTGCGCGAGCACGGTCATCTCGCAGCACCCATCCCCTGCTGCACCGCAATGTTAGAGTCATCACCACATACAGTCAACTATAATACAAACCACGTAAGGGTCTATGCAGTGCATGCAGAGCTATTCCTCTATTCCTATATATGGTGGTCCAAAAAAGTGCAGGAAAAAAGTCTAAAGTTGTATAAATGCTTAGGGGGCAAGAGCCGTCTGGCGGACGGGGATGCCATCACGCTTGAGCTCGTCTTTGACCTCGTCGATACCGACCTCGCCGCGGTGGAAGATACCGGCCGCGAGGGCGGCCTCGACGCCGGTCTTCTCAAAGACCTCCTCAAAGTCCTTGGGGGACCCTGCGCCGGACGAAGCGACGACGGGAATGGACACGGCATCGCGCACGAGCTTGATGAGGTCGAGGTCGAAGCCCTTGCCGGACCCATCGCGGTCGACGGAGTTGAGCAAGATCTCGCCGGCGCCGAGACGCTCGACGCCGCGCGCGAGCTGCACGACGTCAATGTCGCGCACGGCGCGCCCGCCACTGATCGTGCACTGGTACCACCACGCCTTGCCCTGCTCGTCGGGCTTGGTGCGGGTCGTGGCCGTCTCGCCCGTGACGAGGCAGGGGCGGTGCGCCTCGGGCACGGCTTGGAGCCAGTTGGTCTCGGTCGTGTCGTAGTAGACGCGCTTGGGGTCGATGGACACGACGACCGCCTGCGAGCCGTATCCCTTGGCAATCGTCTCAATGCCCGTCTTGCCCGTCAGGGGCTCCTCGCCGCGCGCCTCGCGCGCAAGCATGTCCTCGACATTGAGCACGGCCTCGGAGCCAATCGACACCTTGTCGGCGCCGGCGCGGAAGTAGGCGCCCGCGACCTCGAGCGCGGACCGCGGCGTTCCATCCGGGTCGACCGTGTCCTTGATACCGCCGCCGACGGTGAGGGGCACAAAGACCGTGCCGGCCGAGGCACGCACGACGTCGAGCATGGGCTGGTCCTGCAGCGCGGACGAGCGGAAGGAGGTGATGTTCAGGAAACACACCTCGTCGGCTCCGTTCATGTAGTATCGCTGCGCGAGCTCGACGGGCTTGCCCAGGTTGCGCACGCCGGCACCCTCATCCTTCTCGCGCACGTCGTACTGGTCTCCCTTGGTCACGACGAGGTCACCGGCGTCGTTGGAGCGCACATCGAGACACGCCACGATACGCGCCGTAAGTCCTGTGCCGGCGGCGCGCTCGGGACGGGGGTCGGCAGAGACCCACTCAGAGGCGGGGCGCGGAGCGAGGGGGTGGGGAAGGGCCGAGACGGCCGAGATGGGGGCGGCGAGCCAGCGGCGAAGCGTCTCGAGACCGGCCGGGCCAGACTTCTCGGGGTGGAACTGGGTTCCGAACACGTTGCCCATGCGCACCGAGGAGACAAAGGTCTGCTTGCCGTACCGGGACAGGGTGTGGGCGGCCTCGCGCACGCTCTCCTCTCCGGGCTGGCCGAGGAGCGCAGCGTACGAGTGCACGAAGTAGTAGTCCTCCTCGGGGACGACGAGGGCGTCCTTGTCGGCCGCGACGTCGGCGTACGCGCCCCAAGCGCCATTCCACCCCATGTGGGGCACGCTCTTCGTGCCGCCCTCAGTGTCGAACTTGGTGATCGGGTACGGGATAACGTTGAGGCCGGCCTCTCCGGGAGCCTCGGTCGAGCCGGCGAAGAGCACCTGCATACCGATGCAGATACCGAAGTACGGCTTGCCGCTTCGAATGTACTGGAGCAGGGGCTCGAAGACGCCTCGCTCCTTCAGGCCGCGCGCCGCCTGGTGGAACGAGCCGACACCGGGGAAGATGAGCTTCTGCATGGGGTCAGCTTGCACGGTAGAGGAGGAAGCTAGAGTAGCAGCAGGGATTGGATCACGGGAACACTAGGAAACTCTGGGGCCCTCCTGCATCCGGCGTTCGCTCTGCATGCAGTGACTCACCTCGGCCTTGTCAAAATCCTCGACGCTCTTGATCCACTCGAAGTCATATCCGAGGCGCTCGATCGAGTTGGCGAGCGAGCGCACGTTGCCCGCGCCGTAGTCGAGCACGTAGAGTTTCGGCCTAGCCTGGGTGTCCTGTGAGGTCTGTGATGTCGCCATGGTGTGTGTAGGTGTATGCAGAATGTAGCATGCAACAACTCAAGTCAGCGTTGATCCGTGGCTGCCTACCCCGTCTCCCGGCCCGACTCGCGGCAGGCCGAAATCTCTGACTTTTGAGTCGACCGCCGCAAGCTGCCGCCGCGGGAGCAAATGTTGACTCAGCTGCTGAGGCTGAGACCGGGACTTGTGATCGAGTCCGTCAGCATGCAGACAATGCGTTGCCCACCTCCTGCATTGAGCATGCATGCTGTAGACGGGGGAGAAAGCCTGAGGAGCAACACGAACTGAGATGCATACACTACCGAAAGAAACCGTGTGGAACAAGTCTACCTTTGTACTAATGCAGACAAGTGAAGTCAAGAGTCCTGCGAACGTGAATCGGGCAACGGGGTATCTAATATTGGAAACGGAGGCGAGGCGCCTAGTCGTCCTTGTGGTGCGCCTTGATGAACTTCAGAACGTTTCCGGGACTGCGGTATCAGCTAATTGGGAGGAGTTGGTAAGCTTACTCGTCAGCCGGCTTGACGCGGAAGGCAATGTCGACGAGCTCGCCGGTGCCCTTCTCGAAGATGAAGTGGGAGCGGTTGGTGCTGTACGTTAGATACAGACCTGAAGGAATCATCTCACTTGTTGGGTTGCACGAACGCTCCGAGCCTGGCATTGGTTAGCTCTCATCATACGACGCAGCTCACTTCTTGATCAGCTGGCTCTGCGGGTCGCACAGCAGCCGGTAATTGAGATTCTTCTTGTTGATCCACTGGGGTCAGCTTGACGGCTCCTGAATACCGATGCCCTAGCTGGCAGACAGCAGCTTAGTGTTGGGCGAGGCGAGCGACGCACCTTCTGCTGCGCTGTCGGTTTGTCCTTGCTGAGACCATAAACGTCGTACCCGAGCGCGGCGATCTCGTCGTGCGCGTCACGGTACCCGCACGCCTGGTTCGTGCATCCTGGTGTGTCCGCCTGCATGTTAGCTGGTGGAAAGGCTTTCCGTAGCTTCCTCTCTACCGCTGCTTGGTGCTCTTCACGCCCACGAGTCAGAAGGGTAGATGTCTTGGACGGATCGGTTGACTGAGGGTAGTTGACGCGACTAGCAGCTGCAGTCACACTGAAGCACGCCGATCACTCACCCTGGGGTAAAGGAACAGCACGACGCCCCGTCCTTCCTCCGTCAGCGTGCTGACGTCGACGTCGTCTTCCTTATTGTCCTGCAGCGTGATCTTGGGCAGCTTCTGGCCAAGCTTCAGCGGGCCCTTGGAGTTGGTCGCAGCCTTCTTCTTCTCCTCCTTGGCTCCCTCCGCGGCATCTCCGTTGGCCGCCTTGCTCGAGCTCGACCGAGCTGATCTCTTAGACTCTTCCTTCTCCTTCGAGTCCTTGGAAGCCTTCTTGGTAGACGCAGACTTGCCGTTGGCTGCCTTCGTGCTCGCTGCCTTCGAGCTGTCGGCAGAGGCCTGGGATTAGCTACCATGAGAAACTCGCAGCTTACCTTCGGACCAGCAGAAGCAGCAGCGACACGCGCGCTGCGGCGCGTCGCGGGAGTCTCGGACTTGGGCATGGTGTTTAGGGGTCGGCTTCTGTTGCCTTCCTTTTGTACTCAGTCGGTCCTGTCGAAGGTGTTGAGCGGTTCGAACGAGGAAGGTGACAGAGTGGAAAGTGTCCAAGCGGCAAGAAAGTGCAGTGTGAGAGTCAAGAAACGTGATCTATGTGTTTGTGGAAGCGAGTGAGCGAGTGAACGCAGGTCCGAAGCGGCAATGGAACCGCGTGCATGAACGGGGGGTTCGGTTGACCGGGCCTGGCTTCGATGGCTCTGCGGCTCGCGGCTCTGAGACTTGGACTTGGACATTAGATGCCGATGACGTTTGGGCCAGGCACCAATTGTGCCCCAGCCTCCGTAGTTCTACGCACAGGTACAAGGCTGGCGTCGCGCGTCGCAGATCGCGACCCGGAACCAACTTTTGCACGGTCGCTTTTCAGGTCGAGGAACGTGCTGACGCTGGTGCATTAAACAACAACACGCAGGCAGGTACTGCATCGGGCTCTGGGTCTATGTATCTATGAGGCTTTTTGGAGGAAGGGGCCTACTCTGCACTGTGCAGACAGGACTCGTTGTTATTTCCAGTAGACGAGATCATCATTGTTTGGACCTTTACGTAAATCTTCCAGGGCGGGGCTCCAGGCGCGACGAGCGATGCTCGCACCAGGAGTGGCAACTTGTGGCGACAGGACGTCGAGCGGGCCTTTCGTAAAGTCTTGTTACGACTGGGCGATGTCTCAGACCATGGCGAGACCAAGCAGCGTGCCCGCGAGCAGGCCCATCTTCCCTCTGCGTCGCGACCTTCCAGCTCCACTGTTACTGCTCGCAGAGGATTTCGCTGCTTCGGTCGTCGTGCTTCCGCCCTCAGCAGTAACGGTCGCATTGTGGCTGCCGTCGTTTGTAATTTCCTGCTGCGTGGAGCAGTGAATACCGCCGCCTCCGGCAGCAATGCCATCAATGTTGAAAGCCACGACCTCGCGGTCAGGATACATGGCAGAGAGGATGTCACGGGCATCTCTGTCCGCCTTCGTATCGCCAAACTGGGGCATGATCACGCCGCCGTTCACGAGGTAGTAGTTGATATACCCCGCTGCAAAGTCCTCGTCGTCCTGATACTCCTTCCTGCGCTTGTCGGCCCAGGGCGCGGTAAGCGTGGTCACATTGAGCGTGCGGCCCTTTGCGTCCGTGGCGTTCTTCAGAATGTCCAGATGGGTGAGGGTCACGTTGTGGTCGTAGCTCTCTGGGTCGGGATCGTACGCTGCAACAACGACGCCGGGGCGGATGAAGCGTGCATAGAAGTCGGTGTGTCTGATGTTAGCAGAAGGTGAGGTGCTTTGGCTTACCCGTCGGTGATGTCCTTGCCACGAATGCCAGGTAGCCAAATAATCTTGTCGATTCCAAGGAGATACTTGAGCTCAGCCTCGACATCGGCCTTGCTCCAGCCGGGGTTGCGGTTATCATTGAGCACGCAGCTCTCCGTGATGATTGCGGTACCGTTCCCATCGACTTCCAGAGCGCCGCCCTCAAGCACCAATTCGGTGTGAAGGAGGGGCACACCGGAATCATTCGCGATGGTAGGGGCGACGGTGGCGTCCTTGGAATGCATCTGCTTGTTGCCCCATCCGTTGAAGTTGAAGTCGACAGCCGAGACGTTGGAGTCACGACGCACGAACACTGGACCAGAGTCGCGCACCCACAAGTCGTCGAGTTGCGCTTCCACCAGCGTCACGTTCGAGACACCCTGGAGAAGATTCCTGGCGCGGGGCATATCCTGCGAGCGAACGAGGAGGGAGACGGGCTCGAAGCGACTGATCGCCTCTGCGACATCGGCCAGGTTTTCCTGCACGACTGGGAGGAGGTCGGAAGTCCAGATCGAGGCGTTCCAGGCGAACGCCATCCAAGTACGAGCGTGTGGTTCGCCTTCATCCGGCATTGTCCAGGATGGGCCGGTCTGGATAGTCGGCGCCGCTCGTGGACCGAGGGCTGCGGTGAGCGCGGAGTAGACCCACTTGCGAGGGTGCATGTTGCTTGTGTTGGAGAAATATTCGGTCTGGCTGCTGTCCTCTGAACGATTCGTGCTTATGTATTCGACGAAGTTACCTACGTCCTTGCGTCATGCATTCAGATATATTCTGCACTTTGCGATCGAATCCGTTGCAGAGTGCCTCACTCGGAACCTGCCGATAAAGTTGTTATCATTCCGTCATCGCCAGGGAAAAGAAGCGGTGCAAGTTTCTGGCCCATGAGATAACTCGGGTTCGCACTCCTTCATGCTGTGTGTCTTTCAGAAAGCGAACTGCGGGTCGATCGAGCTGTGCCCATCACCAGATCTGGGGTCATCAATAAACGCTTAAGCGTCGAGCAAGCAGCACCGCGGCTGGGGAATAATGGTGACCCCCTTGCCGGTTATCGCATACCCCACTGTCGGTGCAGCTCGAGAGGCAGATACGTTGGGGATCTGGACGGGTGAGAGCTCGGCGTGACAGCGTGCAGAGTGGAAACGAGTAAGAAGACTGGCAGAAGGGATATCGCTCCGAGCACGACTGTTTGTATCGGTCGCCCAATTGACCAAAGTTCTGGCCTCTAGGCCGCTTACGTTCATCACCTTCGACGTTGGCTGACGGGGTTACGTAACCGAAGCGCTCCGGGGCTCCAAAACCCGTAACCGTAAATTTCTCAGCCAACCTCGAGCATCGCATGGCATATGGCAACAAGATCGAGAACTGACCGATCACCAGATACAATGGCTGATGGCTGATACGACTGAGTGCATGCATCACCTCTATCGGTACACAAGGTGCGACCGGTCCTGCTGCTATCTCTGATAAGCGCGGCATGCGTTAGTGACGTGATAGCAGGCGGCCGATTGCTCAGGCGACCAGAAGCGATAACAACAAAACATCAATTCCATCGTCATCCGGTCCATCTACAACACGCGGCGTGATCGAGCGCCCAGCCTTCCAGCACCCATAACGCTTGACGGCGACAGCCTAGGTTAGTATCCACGAATCGAGAGACCGAGGGTTCGAGCGCAGCCATTGTTTGTGTCACAAATTTTCATCCTGAATCGTCAGCGACCATTGTTCCTTCGACAATTCGCAAGAAAGTGGGGAAGGAAGGAGGTTCGTCAGAAGTTTAAGTTAAGGTAGCGTGGGTTTTTCAGCAGAGGACAGCGGTACCAGAATGGTAGTCGCCGGCCCTAAAGCCAAATGCACTCTGGTCATCATTCAAGCGTTGCGTGTTCGTGAGAACGGCGCGTGGCCCGTGAGTGTGGGAGAGAAAGTGGATTGCGAATAGAGGAAGGTAATGCTCACCAGATATTAACAGTACATTCGAGTTGTGTCCTACGAAGATGGGGTACATGTCAAGAAAGTGGAATGAATGGAACGTCGATCAGAAAGCCCTCCCGTGCCCACGGCGCGGCATCGCCTTTCCACAGAGGGTCAGGTTCTGCCAGCGCCGCCAGCTTCTTCGGAGCGTACGCTGCGAGAGCGCCGCAAAGTGGTCTCTGTGAAAGAGCCGGGAGGGGACTAGATCATCTCCTCGACGTGGAAAATGTGGCTAGTGTGAACTAGCGAGAAAAGACAGTGACTATACAGAGAATCCTGGAGAAAGTTAGCAAGCGCGTCGAGAAGGAGAAGAGGGGGGAAGGTCGCTAGAGCTCGAGAGAAGCGCTGGAGAGGCTCTCTGAGGTAGCTGTGGCTAGGCTCACCTGATAGTATGATCTTCATGGAAAAAAGCTATAGGATGCACGAGCAGGCTCCTTATATACACACTGGCTGGCACACCCCTCCACCACCGGCGTTACTGAAATTTCTCATATCGCCGTGCAGAGGCGGCGACTAAACCGCAGGTGGCGTCTCGCACCTCTCTGAACCAATCGAGACGATGGCGAGTGCATGTCCAGACCTGCCAGTGATTGGGCCTAGCAGGCGCGAGGCCGCGCGAGCGATGCATTCGCATCACCCAGTGCGAGCATGCTCATGGCCGGGTGGCTGGTCGGTCTCTTAAACTTCTGCCGTTGGCTTATGCAAGGGCGAAGGATTTCGATAACCCGGCCAGCGTCCGTTTCAGTGCGAGTGCTGGGCATGCTGGGAGCGAACAGTGGGAGCAACGCTCCCACGAGGGGCGAACTCATTCAGTACCGTGCGACAGCGCTGGAGCGAGGACACCGATGTGATAATGATATCGCTGCTCGCTCCGTTGTCACCAAAGTTGTATCACATTCCGCATCTCTCTACCATCTCGGACCAGTCAACGATCTCCTCGAGAGTAGTTCGGTGTCTTAGACCCGTTCCACCCGCGGCTTAGCTTCATCTCGGCACTCGCGCCTGATAACTGAATGCAAGCATTTCCTCGTCATTGTTGAACTTGTCATCTTGCATGCATGATAGGAGGTCAGCTGGGTGTCGTTGAGCTGGCGGAAGCTAGCTCACGTGGTTGAACTTGACCTCAATCAATCGTCGCTGGCGCGGACTGCGTCTATTCTCCCTGGGTTTGGTTGCTCATTGCTCTGTCTGCGAGCGACATGAAGAGGTCGCCACCAGGTGCTTCCGTTTTCTCCCCAGCTTAGCCCCCACGTGAGCGCTGTCACATCCAGCCGCTCGCTGCCTCTCCTCACTTCACTCCTAACACCTCTTCCACCAACTTCACCTGCCCCCTACGTCTCGATTGTTCGTGGATATCATATAAGTCATCTCCGATGGAGCTACGTACAGAGCCTACATGAGGCCAAATCGTCTACGATCTACACCGCCATGCCGTCGCGCACAGCGCATGGCGGCTATTTCCGTCTCGACACTGCCCAGAAACCCAAAGATCAGATTCTCCCGACAGCCTCTCCGCACACCTGCGGCTCCAGCTTAGTAGCCGGCGGCACCAGGCGCCTTGTCGCCGTCACGCTTCAGAGACAGCAGAATCTCACGCATGCGAGCGAGATCTGAGCCGGCCGAGGTGGGGCGAATCGTCTTCGACTGGCTGTTCTCGAGGCCGATGAGCTCAGCAATGCGCTCCCACGCGGTGCCCTTGGCGATGTCGTCCTTCAGCTTCTCAACGAACTTGGCCTCGTTCTCCCTGTTCTCGTTAGCGGCTGTCATCAGAAAATATGTGCAGCCTAAGTGCGTTCCCAGCGGTCGCCGATCTCTGCATGGCTCTCCATCGCGTTGCCACTCACTTGTTCTCGCGGATGTTCTTCTCCTTCTCCTTGTTGTAGTCCTCGTAGAACTGGTCAATGGCCTTCTCAGCCTTGTTGGCCATCTCGTCGCGCTTCTTCTTGTCCTCCTCGTTGCGCTTGGCGATCTCCTCGGCCTGACGCTTCTTCCACTCCTTGATGGGCTCAGAGTCCTCCTCGGTTTCCGGGAGCGTGTTCTGGAACTGGGGAGCAGGAAGGATCGACACCGGCGTACGGGGCTTCTCAGTGGGCGGGTAGGGGGACTGGCCGTACGGCTGAGGCGAGAGGGCGTTGAAGACGGGCTTCGCAGGCTGCTGTCAGTCAGATTGAGTTCGCGGGCGTCCAAGGTGGAGGTCGCAATGTCACATGAGGTGATTCAACAATGCACCCTCGTGCCGACTGCGGGTCCTTTGCAACTCACCGCAGCGCTGGGGACCTCGGTGGAGATGTCGGGGAACTGGGCCTCAAAGTTCTCGCGCTCCGGGTCCTCGCCAAGTCCCTGCGTTCCCGTCACGCGGACCTCTGTCTTGGTCTCCTCCTCGAGAGCGGGGAAAGCGTCGATGCCGGACGGCTTCTTCTCGGGGCTCGCTGGGTTGCTCAGCGCGGGGCTGTCAGCTGCTCCAGCTGTCTGTTAGTTGTCGTCCGACCATTGATAGCTCACAGATATCCGGGAAAGCGTCGATGCCGGAAGGCTGGGAAGGAACGTCGCCTGAGGCGAAGAGGTCGGCGTCATCACCTGATGTCAGCTGAGAGTGCCCATAGTCCCAGCGCACAAGGCGGGACGCACCAAGAATGGCCTTCTCGCGGGCAAGGAAGTCGGCAGTGGGGTCGTCGGACATGGTGGTCGGGTGGACGTGCTGATGTTGACGAGTTGCAGCAGTGTCAATGTAGCTGCGTCGAGCGTTGAGGTCGCTATGGCCATGCGTGGCAGGGTGCCGTGCTGTGACGCGTGCGTCACGTGGCAATCGCCGGTGAATCCGGGAGGTGGCGTGGTCTGGTTTGCGGTGGAGGTCTCAATGTCTGGCTCATGTCCCAAAGTTAGCCGGCACGCAGGCACGACGGCGGCACAGGCCCGACGCTGAGTGAGCTGAGCCTGGCCTGGAATTCAATGACGCCTCGATCGCGCTGAGCACATCGTGAACTCGCCGTCTGCCGTCTGCCGTCTGCCGTGTTGTCGCCATCACTCACACCTCCCACGCCACGTATACCACCATGACCGCGCGCCAGCCCGAGCTTCACGTCTCGGCGGTACGTACTACCACAAATCTGCAGCGCACCGCATTGCGCAGGGCGCATTGCAGAGTCTTATCAGAAGAAGTGTGCTGACGACAGCTATCGCCAGCGGAATATAAGGCGTACACGCGGTACCTCGACCTGCTGCTTCTGGCGCAGGCGGCACAGGGAGACGCCGGCATCGACCCCGATGGAACGGCACGCTTCGAGCGCGGTGTCGTTCGAGACTTCGGTGCGGGAAGGCTCGATGTGCCCAAGCCGCTCGTCGATGACGTAGGTGCAGCAACGGCCGGCGAGCTCGGACCCAGCTAGTCGGTTTGCGGCTGTAGCTGACAACAACAGGTCTTGCGCCTGATTCCCGGACGCGAACGCCTTCAGGCCGGACAAGTGTACGCCGTCTTGCGTGCGCTCGCGCATGCTGCTGGAGGCAGGCGGCCGGAGCTCGACCTCGTGTTTGTGCCTGGTGAGTGGACGGAGCGGGGAACAAGGTTTCGGACAGCGCGCAACAACCTCCGAGCTCAGTCGCATGCATGCTCTACTTGAGATCGAGCTGACAGACAGCCGAGCCGCTTCCGCTCGATCCAGCATCAGCGCCTCCACCAGCGCCGCCGCGTCGTGCCCCGGCGCAGGCGCCGGAACACAAGCGCCGCCCGTCCCTCCCTGCCAAGCCGAAGCCGCCCTCGCCCCCGCGGCGCTCGAGTAACCGGCGTTCATTACCCGCCAACTCGGATCCGTTTAGGGACGCTCCGCCGCCGCCGCCTTCCCCGCCTGGCGCGTCTGGCGCTCTCCCCCCGAAGCCGGAGTTTGAGGGCGGCGGCGTTCCCAGCAAGAACCCATTCCGAAGTGGCACCGAGCGGAATGTTTTCGATGATAGCAAGAAGCCACTGCCGCCACTGCCCGCCCGGAAGCCTTCAATTCGTCCCAACCTCCCCCCGCGAACAAGACAGAGAGCGTCGAGCACAAGCTCGTCATCGACGCTTGAGACGAGCGGCCGTCCCCCATCCGGTCTTATTGCTACCAGCCTTGCGGCCGCGCGGGCGGCACCTGTAACCGAGCCGGGATCCTCGGTTACCGTCCTGCGCCGAGCAAAGACGACCCGAGAGTCTAGTTCTCGCTATGGCGACCTGAGTGCTGCGAGCGGGGAGCGGGAGAAGCGTCCCGTGAAGGACCTGGCGGATGAAGTCCAGCGCGCCGTCAGCCAAAGTGGTGTCGACCCGCCTCCCCCGCCACCGCAGCGCCATCCCTCTGCCAAGGGCTCACGACCGGCACCCACGGTACGCACTTCGTCCAACTCTGCCTCGAGCTCCACTACTCCTGTCCCTGGTCCCAGGACAAGCTCCATGTCCGCCCCTGCCGCGAGCTCCTTCACGCAAACGGCGGAGCGATACCGGCGCGAGTACCCCGGCCTGCGGACGTGGTCCCTCACGGGTCTGCTGAGCGACACCGGACGGCCGTTGCGGAACCCGCTAGCTCTGATCATTCTGAACCAGCCGATCACACGCCTCGACACGCTTCGGCGGGCCTGGGCTGCTAGTTCGGTCCGACTCTGCGCTGACGGCGGCGCGAACAGACTGTACGATGCGCTCTCACCCTCCGAGCGCGAGATCATGCTCCCTACCATCATCAAGGGTGATCTCGACTCGCTCCGTCCCGACGTGCGGGCATACTACTCCTCGCGCGGCGTCAAGATCAAGAAGGTGGCGGACCAGGACAGCACCGATCTGCACAAGTGCATCGACGAGGTGGAGTCGATCGAGTCCGCCTCAGGCACGACATTCAGTCTGCTCCTCTTCGGCGGTCTCAGCGGCCGATTCGACCAGACGATCGCAACGTGCAGCACAATGCTGAAGATGCAGCGCAAGGCCGCCACTTTTATCATCTCCGAAGACTCGCTGGCGTGGTGTCTCCCCCCCGGAGCGCATCTAATCGAAATCGACCAGACCACGATGGGCGAGACATGTGGCCTCCTGCCCCTCTCTGGCCCGAGCCATATCCGCACCGAAGGCTTGAAGTGGGACTTTGACTGGCTGTCGTCGATGGACGGGCCCGTGTCGAGCAGCAACCACGTGACGGACAAGGACGCGTTCGTGCACACCTCGGCGACGATCTTCTGGACTGTCGAGATCCGGCCCGACCTGCCCGCTCCCCGGCGCAGTAGCGGGACTGTGGAGGAGGTGACGCGGGGCGTGCGCGAGCTCGGGTCCAGAGTCGGCAGTGTGGGACGGGAGATGGGGCGCGAGGTCCAGCGCCGTATCAGTGTGCAGCGCGACAGGCCGCAGAGGGAGGGCTGGGACAGTGACGGGGATAGAGACGACGTGAGACTCAATGATTACGGGGGCAGGACGGGGGGCACGCATACCCTCCATGACCATGAGGAGGATGGGTATGCCCAGCTTGACTAGAGTACAAGTTGTGCCATGAGCCCCGCGGTCGGGGTTTATATAGAGTGTGACATCTAGAGAGCGATGCAATGTGCAGCGAGCGAAGCCAGAGCCTGTAGTGCCAGCCACCACGCAGAGACACAGAAACCATGCCACAAAGCAATGTGGCACCCCCACCCCAACCTCCACCTCCACCTCCACCCACCCAGACCTCTCTCTCTACCAATCGTCCATCACTCCCTCGAGCCTTTCGCACCCTTCCAACAGGCCAACACCTTCAAAAGCATGTAAGATGCTGCGTAAGAGAGCCCCCAAAGCCCCCAAAAAGGGAGTGGAGAAGGTAGGAATCGAACCAAAGACCTCTGTAACTAAGTCTCAGGAACGATTCCTAACTTGGCCGAGAGTTGAGACTAAGGAGGTCAACGTCCAAGTGTTAGCAGATGAATGCTAATGACGCGCTCTACCAACTGAGCTACATCCCCGAACACGTCTGTCTCGCTCTGGGCGAGAGGAGGGACGGCGCGCGGTTGCTCGAGCATTTTTGGGTTTCTGGGGTCGATGACGGGTCAGTTTGGTCGCTCAAATGTTTCTCGGGGGGTGCGAGATGATCCTGCCTCGTAGGGATCACCAGGGGGCTTTGTTGTGGTCTTGTTGGAAAGGAAGGGTGGGGCGGGGTCGCTGTGGCAACATCGATCTTGCGAGGGAGTTGGATGCGTTTGGAAGCATCTGCGAGGCCAAATACCCACCTGAAGACAAAGAGTGTGCAGAATGCAGCTTCAATTTTGTATGGATACATGCGAGTTCTATGATCAATGTTCTATTTCTCCAGCCCAGCCCCTTAGTACAGCGCCTTGTACGCGTCTGCCATTTTGACGAGCAACTCGGCCTCGCGCAGCTGCCAGTCCTGGTCAATCTCACGCTGCACCTTGCGCATCCTGTCCGGAATGACGCGTTTCACCTGCACAGCCAGCGCGGCGCTGACGGGTTTATGGTCCGAGACAGTGGGCTCGTACCGCCTGTAGTTGATGGCGCTGATGCGCGGCGAGCTCGTGAAGAGGATCCGGTCGCACCACGCGGGGATGCGCTTCTTCTCGCTGCTGTCGTACTCGTCCGTGCCCGGGTCATACTTGTACGTGGGGAGGAAGTCGATGGGCGCCTCGGCGAAATAGCGCAGACGGAAGGCGTGGTTCGACTTCATCTCCTTGCGCAGCTGGTCGTGCTCGAGCAGGCTGGCTAGGTCGCCCCGCGACAGGGCGCTAATCACCACGTCGCGCCGCTGGTCGATACGGTAGTTCAGGTCTCCGTTCAGGATCACGAATTCGTGGTCCAGAATCCCACTGCCGTCCCCGCCGTGCACGTACGGCAGCTTGTCGGCAGGCGGGAAGACGGCCTTGTCGTCCATGATTGCGGCTACGTCCGCGTTGCGCGCTGCCTTGTGCCGCTGTCCCGCGGCCAGGTGCACGTTGATGAAGCAGATCGACGTGTCGTCCAGCACCATGCGCGCCACGAGCGCGCCCTTGTTGCCGTACATGCCGCCGATGCCGCGCTTCACGGTCGACACGGACACGTCTCGCAGCGAGTCGCGCAGCTCCGTCTTTACGAACATAACTGCGAAGAGACCCACGAGCTGCTCCGAGTGCACCTTTGTGTACGGACCGAGGTTCTTGCGCACCTCGAGCGAGAGCTTTTCCGCCCACGCCTGGTACACACCCGACACGCGGTCGCTGCCGCCCTTTCCGAACAAAAGCGTTTCTGTCGTTAGCTTGAGGTAGCTCAATGTCAGCTGTACTCACTCGCTGTCAGCTTCTTGTCCGTCAGAGGAATGACCTCCTGGAAGCCAAAGACAATGATGTCGGGGCTCTCGACAGATGAGAGCAGCTCGGGGAGGAAGTTTGAGTTCGGACCCCCGACGAGGTCGGTCGGCTTGGCGCTGTCGATGTTCCACGAGCAGACGAGAATGCGCACCTCCCGGAACTCGCAGTACTGCTCCTGGCGCGCAACCATCTGGCAGTCGATCCAGTCGATCGCGAGCAGACCGTCCCACGCATGCAGCGTGTCGCGGCTGCACGACCACGCCATGAAGCGTCGCGTCGCCTCGATGCTGTACGGGTCCACGACTAGCGTGTGCACTGGCTGATCACCGTGCGCGTTCCAAATATTCGTCGTTACCCACGGCATCTCGTCAAGCTTCCAGGCGTGGATCTCGCCTCGCCGGTTACCCGCCCACAGGCGCTCGCCGACGCCTTCCAGCGACAGGATGTCCGTGCTCGAAACCTTCAGCACGCGCACGCACTGTAGCTGCCCATCGCTGATCGTCCAGAGGGACACAAAGCCGCCCTCGTGGCCAATATACGTGATTGACGGGTCGAGTGGCATCACCGCCGCCGAGGTCGCCGAGCCCGTCCACTCCGTCGTCAGCGCCATGAGTGGCGGCGGCGCCGTGCCCGGGTAAGTGATGTCCCATACGCGAACAGTGGGACCACGCGCAGTCGCACTGTTGGTCGTCGAGCGCACCGCAGGCGCCGTGGCGGCCCACAGCTGTCCGCGGATCATCTTGACAAAGGTCGGCTTCTCGGTGATGCGGAGGTTGCGCACCATCCTCACGCCGCCCTCGTCTTCGGGTCCGTCCGTTGTCGGCACCTCCCACACATTGAGCTTGCCAAACTCATCGAGCGTCACCATGTTGCGACCGCTGCGCATGATATGCGTGACAGCTGCCGAGTGCACGCCCGGGTGCGTGGCCGTGATCTCGCCGGTCCTAATGTCGAGCTCCCAGATGTGCCCATCCCGATTTCCGCACCACAGATAGCGGCCTTCGTGAGCGTCGTTGGTCGACGGTCGGAAGCACAGCGACGTCACTCGCGGCTCCTTCACCTTGCTGTCCAGGCCCATGTGCTTAGGGTCGAAATCCAAAATCGGTCCTTCAGGAAGGTGAGAGTCGTACACTTTCACATGGTGGTGCGCGCACACCACAAATCGACCATACACTGTGAACGCCGTTATCGAGTGAGCAGCCTTGATCTCAATGTCAGGCGAGAACTGTGGCGGTCGCCGGTTCGCCTGGGAGCCGTCAGGGTGCTCCTCCAACAGTCGTGCGGCCATTGATGTAAGTCCCGGCGTTGCAGTGGCGGACGCGTCGTCCTCATCGTCCGAGTCAGCGGGTACCATAATCGTGCCACTGCGTTGAGGCGTCGAAATCGTGTCTCGTCGCGGTGGGGGTGCATAGCCCGAACCACGCGAGCTAACGGTCGAGCTGCGGTGCAACCCGGTCGACGCCGTGTCGCTGCGCTGGGGTGGCGGTGGCAGCGCACCTCGATCGGCGACCGACGATGCCCTGGATCGTGACGCTGGTGATGGCGAATGGCCTGTGGACATGGTGTTTTGGCGGACAGGCAGAGGAGGCGCGCCTGCTGGCCGAGCTCCCGCCACCGTCCTAGAGCGGGGGCGCTGCGGCACAGACTCGGGTGGAGAAGGACTCTTCGGGGTTGGGGCAGCCGGTTTGTTGCCCGGCAAGGGAGGTCGACTAGACGCCTTTGCCGTGTCCGTCGGCAGGTCCGGCGACGGTCCCAATGTGTTGGATCGCTGGGGTAAAGGAGGCGGAGCCACTGGGATCGCACCTTCTCCGGCATTGCCAGTTGGTCGGCGGACCGGCAACGGAGGTTTCGGAACGTTGCCTGTCTGAGAATCCGCTGATCCCGCAGACGCTACCGAGGTCGTCGACTTCTTCGGCGGAGGCGGGGGCGGCCGATGCGAATGCGGCGTCGGCGTGGGTTGGAGGATGACGGGTTCATCTCTTTGCGCAGCGCTCTTCGGAGGCGGCGGCGGAGGTGGCCGGTGTGAGTGCGGAGCCTGGTCAAGCTGAACCGGCTCATCTATCTCAACAGGCGACTCTGACCGCATCAGAACCGGGGACTGGACTGGGGAGGCGGTGAGAGTATGTCCTCCAGGCGCCAGATTCGCAGGCGAAGCAGACCGCTGCAGGTCAGCTGGCGAAGCAGACCTCATCAATCTGGATGGAGACGCCGACCGAGAGATGGGAGGAGGCGGAGGAGGAGCGCGATCCGATTTTTCTGCAGTTGACGCGCCGCTTGAAGCGACCTTCGGTCGCGAATCTGGCACTGCTGGAGCCTCTGTCGTCGATAACGGAGGAGCGACAAAGGATGAAGGCGGATGAGGGCTTCCTGGCTTCTCCTTCTTCAAAGGGGGCAGCAATGTAGGAGCCTGAACATGAACAGAGGGTGCCGGTGACGTCCTCGCGGAGCTAGATCTCGTGCTAGGAGTGTCTCCAGGCTTATTGGCAGTGAGGCTCCCCGATGATGATGGCGCTGCCGCAGCTGTTCCCTTGGCGAAGCGCTCACGGATCGCTGCAAAGGATTGTGGTGCTTCGTCAACATCGCCTGCCGGGCCAGCAGGGATAGGTCCTGGGGCTGGCGCAGGAGACTCCTCCGCTACCAGAGGAGGACCCGGTTCCGGTGACGCCACAACTCTAGGTGGAGGGCTCGGTTGGCAAAGGGGTGACCGAGGTCTGGAGTATCTCTCGTATATCGGCGTCGGTGACAGAACAGGCGACGGGCTCTGAACCGGTGCCTTCGGAGATGCCGACAGAGAGGAGGCAGAGGGTTTCGGCGGCCGCGGCGGCGGAACTTTGGCAGTCGATCCTGCAGTAGGGATATTCACGGGCGTTCCAACAGCAGTTACCACCGTCGTCTCCTTGACGGGTGGTGGCTTGGATGCAGGTTTCTAGGTGGGGGCTTGGGCTTTGACTTGACGGGTTGCGGAACTTTGACAACAAGATTCGGGTTGACGATCGGTACCTGCCCATGTCAGTCATGAGAGCGCCGCGGCAGGAGGCAGGCGACGTACGCTATCATCTTGCGCAACTGGCGGCTCATCAGCGAGGGGAGGATCGACCGCGTGAGGTGCGGTTGCCTCGGCAGAGTGGTCGGCTGCTGGTGTCGCTGGTGGCCTCGGTGATACCGGTCGCGACTTGCTCACATAGTCGCGGGTGTCGTGAGCCAAAGTTTCAAACTTGTTGCGGAGAGCGGAGATGGAGACATGATGATGGTGGTGGTGGTCCGAGGGGCTGCCCGGCTCTTTGTCGGAACCAGTCATGGTATATCGACTCTTGGCTGGTCGTGCCAAGAGCTGTGGGGTATGCTTGCTGGTGCAGCGGTGCCGAAAGAGGCGAGGTTGAAAAGTGGTTGCGGAATAGAGCGGTGGAGACGAACGAGCCGGGTGATGACAGTGCTAGCTGGCGGCAGATGTATACCCCGCGTCGACGCAGTGCGGGGTAGCGGATACGTAAGACGGCGGCGGCGCGTTGGTGAGAGGGTCACTCGCGATCACCACATGGCGTTGTCCTGATCTGGGTTTGAGATCCTGAGGGTGAATGCCGAGTTGTGCAAGCAGTGGACTGGATGACTGCGATGTGCTCCGAAATTTGCTGTGCAGGAAGACATAATAATGGCTTAGGCGCAGCAAGCAGCGGGGCTGAAATGCAGGCGCGGTGGGAGGTGAGGTGAGGGGGTGAGCACATGTCCGTAGATGCAAGCACTCGTGCCCTGGTCCTGGCGCGACCCTCGACAGATTCAAAGGCGATCGATCGCGGATGCAGGAGCAAGGCAGTAGCTTGGACGGACCTCCACCTGGAATTAGCTCTGGGCTGGTCGGATGCTGCGACCTCATAGGACTGGCGACATGAACCAATGACGAGATGTTATGTGCCCCTCCCAATTAACGTCATCCCACCTAATGCAAGAGTCGCTCGCCGCAGACCGGCGCCGGACATTGTTTTCTCATCATCCACCGTTCGCCGCCGCTACCTTTCTTCTCCTTATCAACTTCTAGTCAACTGATAATTAACAAAAATGGCCTTCTCCGACGAGACCAAGGACCGCGTTAACGCTGCTATCGGGTGGGTTGCAGCTCTGACCATGCTGAGAAGTAGCTGACAGACAGTGTTGCCAAGGTTAGTTTTCTCCGATGATCGTCGAGAAGGATTCCAGCCTGTCCTACAGCCGTGCAGCCAGCCAGCCCAGCCAGCCCAGCCAGCCAGTGTGTGACCATTGAGCCTAGCGAACCGTAGACTCGTCCAGCATCTGCCGCTATCACCCCCCATCCCTCTGTCACCTCCTTCCTCGTCCTCACCACCTCCCCTATCCCTCCCGACGGCATCCCCTCTGTCTAACGTATCGGTCTCTGTCCGTGCATGTTGGCGTTCCCACGTCCTCTGGCAGCGCCTCATTCATACCGTACACCGTACACGTAGACCGCCACCCACTCTCCCACACCCTTCTCCGACGCCTGCTGCTGAATCAACACACCAGCCTCGTTTCCCCCGCTGTCGGCATACTCGCCCTCGTCTCTCACCAAACTCGCTTGCATTCCCAACCATTCCTCTTTCCGCATCCGCCATACTCGTGAATCACGATGGCATCCAAATCGGGCGGGGACCAGTCGGTCCTCGATACCAACCCCCACCTAGCACATTATGTGTTCAAAATGTTGGTCACCAGTCTTGCTACCCGTAACGCGAGTGGCCAACACCCTCTGAGCGTTTCGTCTTCAGGCGAATCCGATTCCGACGACGATGATCACCACCACACCGACGGCCACTCGGAGCACAACGAGACCGCGAGCTCAGCCGATGAGGATGGCCAACCCAAGGCACCCCGGTCCAACACCAGCTCGAACGGCAACCGCACAGCGGGTCCGACTCGTGAGGAGAAAGAAGACATCGTCCGCAAGATTATCGAGCTCCTCGACAACGAGCAGGAGGAAGACGTGAAGGACCTGTTGCGTAGTCCTATGGGAGACCTCGGAAAGGTAAGCACGCGTTCCGGAATTCCCTATTGTTCCAAGGCGTCCCAGACTGACCTCAGGACGACACGATTATGGACCAGGTCTGCCTCGACTGCATGCACCGTCACAGAGGTGCGTTTGTTGTTCTTGAACGATGCCGAGCTGATATCAGATGACCTGAGTGGTGTACCTTATCAGGCAGGGGCTTTCACACCCACCCGTATCCGCCGGCCTTACACGCCCACTGGTGTAGGCACACTCCGTGTTCGCACCCCTCTCGCACGTCCACACTCCCCTGCGGGCTCAGGAGCAGCAACTCCGACCTCGTCGCATGGTCCATCGGCTTTGGGTCGCGTCGACTCGTCTAGCAGCGCTCCTGTGTCCCCGTCAACCTCTCCCCGTCAGGCTCTCAACGTGAAGGCGGCGACGTTTAACCCGACTGGCGGCCCGGCGACCCGCAACCTGAGCAATGCTACGATTGGGTTCACCCCCAGTGCCGACCCGTGGCGCGATGCGGAGCCTACCTCGAGGTCCGCGAGCCCGTACGCCTTCGGTGCTGGTCAAAGCATGGTACGCACCGGGTCGGGTCGTATCATGGCAGCTCCGATCATTAGCGACCCCTCGAGTCCCTTCCACTCTCCGCTGGGCACCCCGACTCGCACGCACGCCAAGCTGGCTGGTGACATGTTCGCTTCGCCTGCAATGACGGCTCGCCCGGCCAGCCGGGGTGTAGTTCCCGACGAGGAAGACGACGAGGAGTTCTCTCCGTTCGGCTCCGGTCTCCCCAAACTGCACCACCAGAACGATTCGGGCCTCAACTCGCACGCCAAGCCATTCGAGCCAACGTTTGGTGGTGCCAACCACGATTTCCACCCTACAGGAAGTCCGCTGGCTACACCTTACGGCTCGCAGGCGTCTACGTCGTACGAGTCGAAGTCTTCGGCAGATGCGGAGGACGACCCTAACGCTCCCCCGTCAGGCATGACGCCTCTGGATGTCTTGTCGTCTGTGTTCTCGACCGTTCCTCGTGTGCAGCTCGAGGACGCACTGCACCGTGCAGGTTACGACTTTGAGGCAGCAATGGCCATGCTCGTGGCGCAGTATGCTCACCCACGCTCAGGTGCCTCGACGCCACAGCGCATCAACTCGCCGCGACCTCTGATTGGTATTGATGGGCGAGGTGGGCCTCAGCATGCTCCTGGTCCCGGATACTTCCAACAGGGAGGCCGTGGCTTGGGCGGCAATGTGAACTCGGGCATGGGAGGACCCCGTAACACTGGCCCGACCCGGATGTGTCGGTACTTCCTTAACGGAGAATGCCGTCGTTCGGACTGCAGGTTCAGGTTTGTTTACACTTTCGTCATTGATCACTGACCCTCTCCCAGTCACGATCTGGACCGTGCGCTGTGTCGCTTCTGGTTGCGGGGCCACTGCGCCAAAGGCCTGAGCTGCGAGTGAGTTGCTAATCTCGGTCATTCACTGACCCATGCTCAGGTTCATGCACAACCTTCCGAACAACATGGATCCGAACCAGCTGAACTCGTCCATGGGCCGCATGAACCTTGACTCGCCCGGCGGTTCGATCCCCGGAACGCCTCCGATCCAAGGTCATTACGGTGCCAACCACGGCGGTGGCGGCGGCGACGACTTCCCAGACCTGCTTGCCGCGCGCTTGAACCGTCACGTTGGACGCTTCGATCCTGCCCGCAACCGCTTTGCCAATGCGGTGAAGCGCCCGGCCCCCGCCCCGCCACCTGCTGGCGTCATCCATGTCACTGGTGCCCAGCCTCGCATGGTGTCTGCCCAAGGTCAAGGTCCGCTTGGCGGGGACAGGACCCCCAACAACGCGCCGGCGTCAGTGCCCGTCGTGCCGCGCCCCTCGAACCGTGTCAAGCTGCACGCGCCCACGCTCCTTCCGACGCTGGCGACCGGCTCGGCGGCGAACGAGCAGTACATGACGGCGCGCGCAGCGTCGATCCGCCTCGGTCACGCCCGCAACGCATGCTTGGCCCGCGCGGCGCTTGGCCCGCGCGGCGGACGCGTTCCGTCGCGGCGATGGCGCCGCTGCAAAACGCTTCTCGCGCGAGGGCAAGGCTCTCAACGAGAAGATGCTGCACGAGGCGGCCGAGGCGGCCAATGCCTTGGTCAAGGACCGCATGCACGACGCGCAGCGTGCGGTGCGTAAGCGGGACCCGTCGTGGTCGGATGACCCGCGTGACCGCACCGAGCGGGGCAAGGAGTGCGGCTCGGGCCTCGGTGTCGTCCTCGGTGTGGCTTCGGCCGGCAAGGTGCCGGGTGGTGATCGCCGGGTGGTGATCGCCTGTCGTCCGAGGAACGCACCGAGTGTCTCCTGGACCTGCACACGCTGCACGGCTCGGAGGGCGCCGAGCTCGCGAGCCACTTCCTTGCCGAGCTCGAGCGCGAGCACTACCGGGGTCTCGCGTACATCGTCGTCGGCGAGGAAAAGCACGTGGGTCAGCAGGACCCGGCCCGCGGCGCGAGCAAGGTGCGCCTCGCGAACAGCGTCAAGCAGTTCCTCGCCGAGTGGGGCTACGCATGGAGCGAGAACGCGGGTGTGTTATGTGTCGACCCGTGCCGATAGTTAGAGTAAGTCAGTAGTCTAGAGTCAGCAGTCAGGTATCAAAAGGGCGCGCCGAGCCTGTACCACCAGCCTATCCATAGAGGGTGCTGCCCGAGAACGTAAGAAGTAAGAAGAAAGATAGAAGTCAATGCAGTAAAAGTCCCAGTTCCACGTGAGCTCAGTGAGCACAGCGAGGCCAGCAATCACGAGCAATGAGTGAGCGTATGCATCGGACGAGCAAGCACGACTATCAACGAGATGAAAGGATGCGCAAGGGGAGTGCGGGGCCCACCTCGGCGGGTCTACGTGCGCTTGGATTCGCCACTTTTTCACCCCTCCCACCTAATGCAAGAGTCGCTCGCCGCAGACCGGCGCCGGACATTGTTTTCTCATCATCCACCGTTCGCCGCCGCTACCTTTCTTCTCCTTATCAACTTCTAGTCAACTGATAATTAACAAAAATGGCCTTCTCCGACGAGACCAAGGACCGCGTTAACGCTGCTATCGGGTGGGTTGCAGCTCTGACCATGCTGAGAAGTAGCTGACAGACAGTGTTGCCAAGGTTAGTTTTCTCCGATGATCGTCGAGAAGGATTCCAGCCGCTATCGAGTGCACCGAAGTGTTCAGAAGGGCGTGGAGAGGGAACGGAGAACGCAAGGACATTAGTGGGAACGAGGGAAGGACGACTGGATGAGGTTCGACTTCGGCTTGCGACTGCGGCTTTCGACCGGCGGCGATCGATTTCCTTCGCCACATTGCACCACAAATGGGCCTGAAAGCGAGCTGTTCGACGATCTTTACGGACTCGGGATTGTCTTGCGAGCTTTCGCGTTTGAAGAGAGGGCTCAAGACACGGTTCTGACCGGGTGGATCGACAACCGCGATGTCTTCCCCCGTCTCCTGCTTCCGTCTCCTCTCGCTCATCGACTCATTCAGTATCGTACCCGCCATCGACTCGCTGTGTCGTTTGTCAGAGTCTCAGAGTCCCATCGCTGAGCTCATGCTGTCTCGTCAAGGCATTCGAGGCATCTCGACCACTCATCCTTCCGCTTGCCGCTCTTCCCCGTTCCCCATTCCCTTCCCTCTTCACCCTTTGGATATGCTCTCTACGAGCTTCACCTCCAACGAGAACTAGCTAACCCCAGACCGCCATTACCGTCGGCTGGCTCCCGCTCATCATCTGGATCGGCTACTCTAACTCGAGCCCCCAGCCCTCGCTCATCAAGTGAGTCGTGGCGAAGGGGTATCCTGCGCCAGCAGGATGTCCCACCTGCAATAGCCAGCTCTTCTCTTCTTCGGCCCCAGTAGCTGACATACAGGCTCATCACCCCCCTCGCCTAAGCGGAATGATCGATGAAGGTGAGCTGACCGTTTGTGATTGCCAGCTGATGGGCAGTTTTGTCTGTAGCCCCCCACTGGAACCTCTGGAACCACTCATCAATGCACTAGATTAGCACGGCGGCGCTGCAGCAGGACATCGGGGGTCTAGGAATACATCGGTGGTACAACTAAAATTACAGATTGGGGACAGTGTCTAGGGATTCTTGGGAGTGAGTGCGGGCTCACATGAGGATGACGATGTCGTCGTCGCTGTCGTCGTCGTCGTCGTCGTCGTCAATGTCCACGTCCTTGCTCCCCGACACTGCCTGTGCCGAAGCGGAAGAGGGAGAAGGCGAAGACGAGGTCTGTCTGTCAGCTCAAAGCAAGTACCGGTGAGCTCACCTGGCCAGTCTGGCAGCGCTTAGGCGACACGATGGGTCGGTCCTTTGGCGACACTGGCGCCGTCTGCGCGGACGTGATCTTCGAGACGGGAATACCCTCGATGTGGGTCGGGAGGAGCTTGCGCTTCAGGCCAGAGGAGAGGGTCTGGGCGAGCGTAAGCTGTGAAGTCGAGCTAGCGCTGGCGGCGGACATGCCGATGATGCTGATGGTGCTGATGTTGATGGTGCTGGACAGAGGGGCGCAGGCAGAGCGAGGGCGCGGGGCAGGACAAGGTACGTGTACGGTACGTGTACGGATAGGGGTACGAGTAGGAGTAGAGCCGGGAGATGAGAGGATGAAAGCAAGTTGCGTATGCGTATGCGTATGGGTATATGTAAAGAGGAAAACAGGTATGATGGCAAGTGACGGTGTGAACTCAAGATCACGCGCAGCACGCAGCAAGGGCTCAGGCCCTAGTAGTCTGTCCGCGCCCCCGTGTCCGTGCCCCTATGATCCCTATATTCCTAGGACGGTGTGGGCCAGAAGTAGCGGTGATCGTGCGACAGGGCGCAACATGTGCGACAGGGATGGATGGGTGGGTGACGACGCTTGACACTGTAACGTCGTTCGTGGTGTTTGGTTCGGCGTAGGGTCGTCAGCGTACCAGCGTCTAGTCCGTCTAGCACGCCTAGTGGAAGGGTGGAGGCGGCATTGACCTGATCTAACCACCCCGTCTCCGCCTCTGGTGGCGAGTCGCTCCAGGAGGCCAGGCGCGCCGTGACACTCCAGCCATCCGTGATTCAACGGCTGCACGCATGCACGATGCGTAAGACGCGCAGGCTGAGGCTGGGCTTCACACACCAGTTGTAGAGCCAGGGGGGCGCCCTCATGGTCAACACTCCATAGTTCCTGCACAAGGGCACGCGAATGCATGCACGTTTTGATTAGGATCTGCCTGTATGCTACGGATAATGCTTCTATGCTTCTACCTCCCCGCCTCGGCCCTCGTCACTCAGCGCGCGGACTTCCGTCTCGCACTACGCGGCTGTAAACCGGTACTGCCTCGCCGCTGCGCGGTTCGGCCTAGATGATCTTTTCGAGCCACTCGACGAATCCCTCGGCCTGCTCGTTCGGGTCCTCGTCGTACGCGTGGTCCGCGCCAGGAATGACGAGCACCTCCGTCTCTCCCGTGCTCTTCAGGATCTCCACACTCTCCTCGAGCGGCTGGATCTTGTCGTCGATACTTCCATACACGACGTAGACGGGTGGTCGCTTGCCGCCCGCAGCGCCCAGATCCTTCAGCCTCTTCGTGACAGAGAGCGTCTCGGGTGACGGGCGGTAGCCGTCGAGCCCGTGGCCGCGCGAGCGCTGGTTCAGGAACAGCAGGCGCGGGAAAAGCGCATGCTGCAGCATGTAGGGGTAGAGAATGGAGCGGGGGCCGCCCGACACGGCGGTGGCGACGGGCGCGTCGCGCGGGTTCAGGTGCGGCTCGGCTGCTGACTCGGGCACGGACGAGCCCCACCACGGCACCGGGTCCGTCTTGGTCGCCCAGAACTCGTGCGTCAGGTCCGTGATCGGGTAGAAGGCGCCGATGCCGCGCGGCGCCCAGGTATCGTTCGTGCTGGCGCCGGCGCCGTAGCGTGATGGCGTTGACGGGGCCGCCGAGGACGAGGCACCGGCGCCGCGGTAGCCGCCAACGTCGGCGTCGCTTGACCTTGGAGCGACGGGGAGACCGGCCATGAGCGCGAGGTAGCCTCCAGCGCTACCGCCTGAAAGCACGACGCGTGAAGGGTCAACACGCGCGTCCTTGCCCAGCGCCTCGAGACGGGCATTCAGCTTCGTCCTCGTGTAGTTCACCGCCGAGTCGACATCGGCGAGCACATCGAGGATGGGCGCCTGCGGCGACAGGCGGTAGTTGGGCGAGATGAGGACGCAGTGGTCGCCGGCCTCGCCGAGCGTCTTTCTCGGCAGGCGCCGCAGATGCGGCGGGAGGTTCTCCTTGTTGCCCTGCAGCAGACCGCCGCCATGCCACCAGATGATGACCGGGAAGCCCTTCGCGGGCACAGGCGTCTCGGCCGGCGGGAGGTAGACGTCCATGGTGACAGGGAGGGGCTCTCCATCGAAGGTGGCCGCTGGGTGGGTCACGAACGGAATGGTGCAGTCCGGCTCGGGCACGTCACTCGGTCCTCCCGCGGCGGGAACATACGCGTCCCCGGCAGGCTTGGTCGGTGGCTCGGACGTTGAGCCCGATAAGCTGCCACCAGGGGCGGCCGCACCGACAGCCCCCAGCTTGCAGCCCTCCATGTCGACATTGCACCCCGGCGCGAGCTCGCCATCAACGGCATCAAGCGCCTTGTTTCCGGAGAGCACGAGCGACTGCAGCTCCGGCATACGGGCCGCACCAACGGCAGTAGCATCCAGCTCGCCCTCGAGATGGTTGTTCGACAGCGTCAGCACGCGGATCTTCAAAGGCTCCTTTCCACCCAAGCCCTGCACGGCCGCGCAGGTCAGCGAGTTGTTCGCGAGGTTGAGAACGCGGAGAGCGGGGAAGGCGTGCTTCGGCTGCTTGCTCTGGCGCTCGAAATAAGAAACGAGGAAGCCTGTGCCGTAGGACAGGCCCTCCTCGGACGGCTTGACGGGGTGTGTCAGGTCGATGGTGGAGACGGCATTGTCGGACAGGTTGATCGACTCGAGCGCGGGGAGCAGCTGCAGTGGCGGCGGGATATCTGTGAAGGCGTTTTGCCTGATGTCAGCTCTTCAAAAACCGACAAGCTTACGAGAGGTCGACGCGGACAAGCTGTAGCAGATCGGCGAGCGCGTTCGGAAGCTTGGACAGCTGGTTTCCGTGAAGCTGGGCGTCAGTTGTTTCCAGAGATACATAACTCACGTCCAGGCTCTTGATGCCGCCAAACAGACCGACCTCTAGGTCGATCTCCTTCAGCATATTCCCGTTCGCCTTGAACGAGGTCAGCTCCTCGGGCTCGACCCACTTGCCCTGCGGCCGCGGCTGGTTGAACACGATGGAGCGCGAGTCCTCGTCAGACTCGTCACCGCCAAATCCGAGTCGCGAGAACGAGTCCTCGATCCCCGGGGCGCGGACGCGGTCATCCTTCTTCGCCGGCTTGGGGGGAGGGTTGCTGAGCTCATCCTCCGGCAGACCGAGGAGGTCGGTGAACAGCTCGTGCGGGAGCGCCTTAAGCTCGAGGAGCGCGATGTCGAGCTTACCTGTGGGGTTAGCGGAAGGAGCGCAGCAAAGGATGCCAGGCGCTGATCAGCGCGGCTCGGGCTCCCGGAGTGACGGAGCGTGCGGCGAGCGCTGAAGCACCAGGGCGCCAAGCTGGCCCAAGCTAGGTCTCGGACTCACCGGTCCTGCGGGCCTTAGCGATCTGCCCCGACACGTTCTTGTCCTCGAGGACGTCGTCGCCGACTCCACCGCCGAATCCTCCACCGAAGCCAGTCGAGCTCGCTCCGAAGGGGCTGTTGGCGCGGAGGGGAGTGCTAGCCCGCGCAGGCGTGCCGGGCCTAGACTTCGCGGGGGAGTTGTTGCGCGCCTCGGCGCGTTTCAGCGCGATCTGTTCCCGGAGCGTGGGCATAAAGTTGGGTTGTCGCTAGGTGATAAGGAGTAAGAAGTCGACAGGTGATAGAGCAAAAGGAAGACAGGTGTGCCCCGAACAGGCAAAGGAGTGAGTGAGGTGGACGAAAGCAGAGTGCGGGTGGGGGTCCGTTTGTTTGTGCCTTGCGCGCCATGCCGCTCGCGCTCAGCGGCGTCATGTCTGGGGTAAGGACAATCACGTAATATACACCCTCGCAATGTCAACATGAGGATTTCAGTGCAGCTGAAGCTAAAGGCGCGGCTATCCCGGTCTTACGCATGACGGTGACACGCTGCCTCGGCACACCCTGGGAAGCGGAGAGTTACACGCTTTGGTCATGTGAGAGTCGTAAACTTGGGCAAGACCGAAGTGGGATGAGAAGCAGAGGAGACTTGAGTGAGGGGGATGTGGCACCGCCGCGGGGTGGCCGCGGAGGTGCTAAGAACGATCCCGTCTACGGGCTTATTGCGACCGATGCTGGCCTCCCTTGCTCTCCCAGGGGCTCGGAGCTCTTGATGAGCTAAAGACGTGCGTAAGGAGAGAGGTGACGAGTTCTCGCGGCTCACACAGAGCTATATTTCAGCCACTAACCTCCACCTCCACCTGCCAAGTCCACCACCAGCAAACCACTCGCCAACTCCTCACACCCGTCCGACTTCTCTTCCAACTCTAACTCTTTTCTACACATCTCTGCATGCATTATGAACGCAAAAAGAAAGGTCACGACGGGGATCGAACCCGCAATCTCCTGATGGGTACGCTCAGTTGGATCCCCGTGAGGCCCTTGAGTCGTAGTCAGACGCCTTGCCATTGGGCCACGCGACCGATGTCTCCCTTCGGCGAGGGGTGAAGACGCCACCGCTCGCGCGGGTGCGAGTCTGCGAGTACCCTGACATGTATGCTGACTCGCTACTGCGTCAATATCATTCTTCAGAAGAGATACTCGTTTGGTGTACTGGGATGTACTTGACCACTGACTACTGACGAGGCGGCAGCGTCTCAATGGCTGTTCTCGGGTAGTGGCTCCTAAGCACCCTTCGAAACGTCACACGAATGAATGCATACAACTTCGTCATGGGCTCTAGACCAGACTTAACTTCTGCACATGCCCGCACTCTTGCGGGTCGGTATACTTTTACTTATCTTATCCTGTTATCAGCGCCGTGCCACGGGACGCGGCGCCACCTTGTGCGTCTCGCCGCTCAGGCAGCGACTGCCTCGCTTTCGGCTTCCGCGCTGAAGCCGTCCGACTCGGCGTCGGACTTGGAGACCACCTCCGGCTCAAGACCCGAGTCCGAGTCGCTTGCGTTGCCGTTCGCCTGGCCGGGAGTCTTGCTGGCGCGGGGAGGGACCCAGGAGCGGCCGGGGATGCCTCCCTGGTGTGGGAGGCGAGTGCTGCCCATGAGGAAAGCGTCAACTTCTTCGGCGCACTGTCTCCCATCGTTTATGCCCCATACTACCAAGCTACGCTTTGTTAGCATTCTCTTCGATGTTTGAAGCATGTAGGAGAGGTCTGGGACGAAGGAGGGATGTGTAGGAGGTCGTAAGAAGGAGTGTGGGTGGTGTGCGTGGAGGTGTGGTGGAGGGTGCGGGGTAATGCGGGGTAGGTGAAGGTGGAGGTGGAGGTGGCGATCGGTTACTCACGATTGTCCGCGACGGCAGTCGCCTGCAGCGAAAACTCCTGGCACGGTAGTAGAGAAGCCCTGCGATGGTCAGCGCCGTTTGGCTCGCTCTACGTACCCCAGTAGGCGTCTGAATGTTAGTGCGAGCGTCCTGCTTGACGGCGAATGCCTCGGCGACCTCCTTCTGAGGCCCGAGGAAACCCAGGGCGAGCAGTGCAAGCTGACAGGAGTAGGTCTTCTCGGTGCCCTTGATCTCTTCCATCTTCCATTGGCCGCTGATGTTCTCCCACTCGACGCGAACCGTGTCGATGCCAGTCAGGTTGCCCTGGTCGTCGGATATGAAGCGCTTCGTGAGAACGCAGTACTCTCTCGGATCCTTTTGGGTGTAGGCCATGACCTCCTGGTGTCCGTAGTCGATGCGGCGAATGCGGGCGTAGCCGGGCAGATTGTCAGCTACGTGGCTCTGCATTGACTTACCCAAGGGTTGTTGCTGGCGCGCGCAGTCGGGGGTTGCGGAAGCAGTTCAAAGTTGATGACGCTCTTGGCACCGTGGCGGACTGCGGTACCGATGCAATCATTTCCTGAAGGTTAGATGAATGCAGGCAGCAGGTACTCACCGGTATCGCCTCCTCCAATGACGATGACGTCAAGGCCCTTGGCGTTGATGTAGTTGCCGTCCTCGTGGTTCGAAGCGAGCAGCGACTTCGTGTTGAACGTAAGGAAGTCCATGGCCATGTACACGCCTTGAGAGTCGCGGCCAGGAATCTTGAGGTCTCGAGGGATGGTCGCGCCTGTAGCGATGATCACAGCATCGCGACCGGCCTTGATCGCGGAAGCCTCCACATTGATCCCGACCTCTGTGTCCGTCACGAACTCGACGCCCTCATCGGCCATCAACTGCACTCTCCTCTTGACCACGGCCTTGTCGAGCTTCATGTTCGGGATGCCTTCACTAAGAATGCCGCCGATGACAGAGGAGCGCTCGTAAACAGTGACGAGGTGTCCGGCTTTGTTGAGCTGGTCGGCGGCGGAAAGACCGGCGGGTCCTGAGCCAATAATCGCCACCTTCTTGCCGGTACGCTGTGGCGGAGGGTTGGGAACCATCCAGCCCATCTCCCAAGCCTTGTCGATGATAGCGGCCTCGACAGACTTGATGCCAACAGGGAGCTCGTTGATGCCCAGGACGCATGACGACTCGCAAGGGGCGGGACAGACACGACCAGTGAACTCGGGGAAGTTGTTGGTGACTAGTGATTACGTCAGCATCTGAATTCGCCACACTGCTCAGTGGTACTCACGCATGAGACGCTCCCAGGCCTCCTTCCACTTGCCCTCAAAGACGAGCGTGTTGAACTTGGGAATGACGTTGGAGATGGGGCATCCGCCGCCGGTGCCTGCGTTCGTGGCGGAGCAGAACGGCAGGCCGCAGTCCATGCAGCGGGCGGTCTGCTGCTTGAGCTCGGCCTCGGAGAGGCGGTTCGAGATCTCCTTCCAGTCCTTGACACGCTTGCGCGGGGGGCGGTACGCCTCGTTGAGGCGCTTGTACTTCATGAAGCCGCGGACCTTGTCGAGCTTGCTCGCGCGCGCCTTGTACTGGTCCTCGTCGAGCATCGCGTCCTCCATGTCGAGCACGGCGGGCTCGAGGCGGGGCGAGTTGGGCGTCGTGTGCGGCGTGTCCGTCTCCGAGGGCTTGTTGAGGCGGAGGCGCGCCATGGCACCGGGCAGAACAGGGTCAACGCCGGGGGCGGCGAGGTCGACCTGCGAAGCGGTCGTGGACGGGATGAGGTCGATGTGGCTCTGCTTCTTCTTCTCCTCGAGCGCGGCGGCTGCCTGCTCCTCGAGGACACGCTTGTAGTCGAGCGGCATGATGCGGACGAACATGGGCAGGAAGTGGTGGAAGTTGCGCAGGACGCGATCGGCAATCTCCGAGCCAGTGTAGTGGCGGTGCTCCTCGATGAGCGAGCGGAGCTCGGCGATCTCATGCGGGTCAGAGACCTTGCCGAGCTCAACCGTGCCCATGTTGACCTTGGGCGCGAACGAGTGCGACATGTCGAGGACGTAGGCGATTCCGCCCGACATACCGGCGGCAAAGTTGCGGCCGGTGAGACCAAGGACGACAACACGACCGCCAGTCATGTACTCGCAACCGTGGTCGCCAGTTCCCTCAACGACGAGAGTGGCACCAGAGTTGCGTACGGCGAAACGCTCGGCAGCGATACCGCTGATGAACGCCTGGCCGCTAGTGGCACCGAAGAAGCACACGTTGCCGATGATGATGTTCTCCTCAGCCTTGAACTGCGCCTTCTTGGAGGGATACGCAATGATGCGGCCGCCAGAGAGACCCTTGCCGACGTAGTCGTTGGCGTCGCCCTCGAGCTCAATGGTGACACCAGGGGCGAGGAACGCACCCATCGACTGACCAGCCGAACCCTTCATGTTGATGCGAATGGTATCGCGCGGAAGACCAGCCTCGCCGTAGCGCTTCGACACGTGGTACGAGAGCGTAGCGCCGAGGGCACGGTCAGTGTTGACAACGTCGCAGTCGATCTCAACAGGCAGACCCTTGGAGAGCGCGGGCTCGGCCTCGTCGATGAACTTGTTGTCGAGACGAACATACAGGCGGTGGTCTTGGGGACGCACGCGGTAAGTGGCGACGCCCTCGCGAGGAGGCTTGGCGGGAGTGAGGATCGGCGAGAGGTCGAGGTGGGCCGTCTTGGGGGTGCGCAGCGACTCGTCGACCTTGAGGAGGTCGGCGCGACCGACCATCTCGTTGATAGTGCGGATACCGAGCTTGGCCATGATCGCGCGGAGCTCCTCAATGACGTAGTAGAAGAAGTTGATGACCTGCTCGGGCTGGCCCGCGAACTTGGCACGGAGCTCGGGGTCCTGGGTCGCGATACCGACGGGACAAGTGTTCTTGTGACAAGCCTTCATCATGATGCAGCCCATGGCGATGAGCGGAGTGGTCGCGAAGCCCCACTCCTCAGCGCCGAGCAGAGTGGCGATGGCAATGTCGCGTCCGGTACGGATTTGGCCGTCGGTCTGAACAGTGACGCGGCCACGGAGGTCGTTGAGCACGAGCGTCTGGTGGGTCTCGGCGACACCGAGCTCCCACGGCAGACCGGCGTACTTGATGGAAGTCCACTTAGCCGCACCGGTACCACCGTCGTGTCCGGAGATGACGATGTGGTCGGCCTTGGCCTTCGAGACGCCAGAAGCAACAACGCCAACGCCCACCTCAGAGACGAGCTTGACAGAGACGCGGGCGCGGGGGTTGGCACACTTGAGGTCGTAGATGAGCTGCTTCAGGTCCTCGATCGAGTAAATGTCGTGGTGAGGCGGGGGCGAAACGAGCGTCACACCAGGCGTCGAGTGACGCGTGCGACCAATAGAGGCCGAGACCTTGTGGCCTGGGAGCTCACCGCCCTCTCCGGGCTTGGCGCCTTGGGCCATCTTGATCTGGAGCTCGTCCGAGTCGGCGAGGTAGTTGGAGGTAACGCCGAAGCGGCCCGAGGCGACCTGCTTGATGGACGAGCGGCGCGAGTCCCACTCGGGCTGCAGCTCCATCGAGTGGCGGTAGGGAGTACCCTCCTGCCCCTGTCCGGGACCGGGGATGGGGAGCGAGCGCTCGGCGTCCTCACCACCCTCGCCTGTGTTCGATTTGCCGCCGAGACGGTTCATGGCGATCGCGAGCGTGGTGTGCGCCTCCATCGAGATGGAGCCGTACGACATGGCGCCGGTGACACAGCGGCGCACAATCTCGTTCCACGGCTCGACCTGGTCGATGGGCACGCTCTGCGCCTTGTCGTAGTCAAAGTCGAGCATGCCGCGGAGCGTTGCGGCCTTGATCGCCTCGTGCGAGTTCTTCGAGTACGAGTCGTACGCCGCCTGGTTCTTCTGGCGCACCGCGTCCTGCAGCGAAGCGACCGAGGCGGGCTCGTTGATGCGCTTCTCGGAGCCGTTGCGGTAGTGGTACTCGCCCGACTCGGGGAGGCCGGGGATGCGCGAGATGGCGCGCGTCGGCCATGCGCGCTCGTGGTACTCGAACGCGTCCATTGCGAGCAGGTCAAAGGTCGCGCCCTGCACGCGCGAAGCGGTGCCGACAAAGCACTCGTCGACGACCTCCTTGTGGATACCGAGGGCCTCGAAGAGCTGCGCACCCTTGTACGATGCAAGCGTCGACACACCCATCTTGGAGAGCACCTTGAGCATACCCTCATTGATGGCCTTGCGGTAGTTGTCAATGAGCGTCTCGGCCGTTTGGTCGTCCTTGGCCATGCCCTCGCGCTCAATCTTGTGGATCATCTCCATCATGAGCCAGGGGCAGACGGCGTCCGCGCCATAGCCGACGAGGACACACATGTGGTGGACCTCGCGCGCCTCGGCCGTGTCGACCATGATGGCAATGTCGGAGCGCTTCTTCTGCTTGACGAGGTGGTGGTGCACGCCTCCAGTAGCGAGAAGAGCCGAAAGGGGCACTCGGTTGGGGCCGGTCAGGCGGTCGGAGAGGATGACAATCTTGTAACCCTCGTTGACAGCCTCGAGAGCCTGCTGACGGACACGCTCGAGCGCGGCGTGATAGCCGGGGAGGCCCTCGCCCTTGTCAAAGGTGATGTCGATGACCTTGGCGTTCCAGTCCGAGGTGCTGGTCTGGATGCTCTTGATGGCGTTCATCTCCTCAATGGTGAGGATGGGCGACTTGAGGTGCAGGCGGTGGCACTGGCTCGAGCGCATCTCGAGCAGGTTGCCCTCGGGACCGACCATGGTCTCGAGCGACATGACGATGGCCTCACGAATGGGATCAATGGGAGGGTTGGTGACCTGCGCGAAGAGCTGGCGGAAATAGTCGTAGATGCTACGGGCCTGGTTGGAAACACACGCGAGGGCGGCGTCGTTACCCATCGAACCGAGCGCCTCGTGTCCCTCGTTGACCATGGGCATCATGAGCATGCTGAGCTGCTCCAGGGTGAAGCCAAAGGCGAGCACGCGGGGGTCAGACGCAAGAGGCGAGGCGTCGAGCTTGACACCAATGTCCTCGAAGCGCTGGACGCGGCGGACCACGTCGGGCAGCTGAATCACCTGTGACTCGTACCAGGCCTGGAACGGCTGGCGCTTCGCGACGCTCATCTTGAGCTCGCGGTCGTCGACGATGCGACCCTCCTTGGTGTCGACGAGGAGCATGCGTCCGGGCTTGAGACGGCCCTTTTGCGTGATCGTGGCGGGGTCGATTGAGATGGTACCGACCTCGGAGGCACAGATCATGATGTCGTCGCGGGTGACAATGTAGCGACAGGGACGGAGACCGTTACGGTCGAGATTGGCACCGCAGAAGCGGCCGTCCGAGAAGGTGAAAAGCGCGGGACCGTCCCAGGGCTCCATCATGGAGCCGGCCCAGGCGTAGAAGCCCTTCTTCTCAGGCTCCATGAGGTCGTTGTTCTGCCATGCCTCGGGGACCATCATCATGACAGCCTCGGGAAGCGTGAGAACACCGTTCACGACGAGGAGCTCGAGAACATTGTCAAAGGCGGCCGAGTCGGAACCGCCCTCCTCGACGATAGGGTAGAGAAGCTCGAGCTCGTTGCCAAACTTCTCAGACTTGAGGTGGCCCTCACGGGCACGCATCCAGTTCTTGTTGCCACGGACGGTGTTGATCTCACCGTTGTGGGCGGCCCAGCGCATGGGCTGCGCGCGGTCCCAGGACGGGAACGTGTTGGTGGAGAAACGCGAGTGCACCAACGCAAAGTGCGACGAGTACAACGCATGGTTCAGGTCGTGGAAGTAGTTGTAGACCTGCACGGGAGACAGCTGACCCTTGTACACGATGTTGCTCGGGGTGAGGGAGCAAATGTAAAACTTGTCGTTGCGGTGCGACGCCTGCTTGCGCAGGACATAGAGCTGACGCTGGAAGTACTGCTCGTCAAACTCGCCGTCGGCGCTCTCGAGCCCGTCGCCGTAGTGGCTGCGGAGAACCACAAAGGGCTGCATGATACGCGGCTCCTTGCTCTTCGCGGCGGGGCCGAGGATCGAGTTGTCGGTCGGCACGTGGCGCCAACCGAGCGTGCGCAGACCAAGCTTCGACGCTACCTCCTCGAAGACCTTCTGCTGCGCCTCCCAGTCCTGCGGGTCCAGGAACACGTTGCCGACGGCGTACGTGCCCTCGGCGGGAATCTTGGCCTCGAACGAGTGAGGCGCCTCGCGCACGAAGAACTCGTGCGGGATACCCGTCATGACTCCGGCTCCGTCACCATCGCGGGCATCGGCACCGGCTGTTACTGTCAGCTACGCATTCCTAGAAGAGCTAGCCGGAACTCACTGGCGCCGCGATGGGTCATGTTGCAGAGGATGCTGCGTGCATCGCTCACGATTTTGTGGTTGCCATGGCCCTTGATGTGGCAGATGAACCCGACACCACACATCCTACGTGCAGAGTCAGGTAGCTTGGCGGGTTAAGGTGTTACGTTTAGTGTGTCTGTGAAGGTAGTCAGCAATGCATTCGATGCATGCAAGGGTCGAGGTCGTCTGACCTACCACCACCAGAGATGACGGCGGCGACGACCCAGCTGGCAACGCACAGGTAGTGATAAGAGCCGCACAGGCCCTAGAGTGCAGGGAGGTGGTTAATAAGAGCGGCGTGCGGGTTGTTGCGGCAGTCGGCGGTGTGTGAGCTCGCGATCTGGATCCAGCTACTTTCGAGCGAGTGTACAACGGTGATGAAGAGAAAGCGAGAGCGATAGTGAATGGGTATCGCAACGCTGCAGCGATTAGCGCCAGAGAGAAGGGGGGATGTGACTTTTCTCGCAGCGTAGTGAGCGGGCCTCCGCCCGACTTCTGCGCCCGACTAGTCTAAGAGGTCTCAGCCCCTCCCTATCGGGAAGGAATCTGGCGTTCGCTAGCTGACCCGGCGGCAGCCCACAGCAAGGAACCAGAGCCCACGGCGCCCACGGCAGGCCGCCAGTGACAGCATGACAGAGGCCACAGGCCATAGGGCGAGATCGGTACCGCGTATCCATGCCGCAAGCCGCGCCATGCATCTGCGCCCGAGATGCCCGATGTGCCCGGCGCAAGCCAGTCATGCTTGCGGCGCGCGGCGTGCGCCTCTCACCGAGAGCCAACCTGTAGTGGTAGAGTTACAGTCAAGCGGACTGACTCTGTCCCCGGCTGTACGGTAAGCACGGCAAGCGTGCGGCTAATTGAGACCGGCGCACTCTGATTCGCTGGAAGCCATCCTGCTACACTCTGCTCCCGCCCGCTGCGCGCGACTGATAACGGGCGATCGCTGTCTGGCCAATCAGCGTCGTGCGATCGGGAGAGGTGGCGTCGCAGCCGGGCGTGCCAAAGAATCCCATCCAAATGGGCCCCCTCTCGTTGGTCCTCGGGCTACTTTGGCTTATCCCAGCCTTCCTGAGGCGCTCTATCTCGCTCCGACTTCGGCATACCAAGCTTGGGCCTGCGATGTGGGCATACCCCAACACAGGTACATATGCAGCCAAGTTGTGTCGGTGGGGGAGGTCTTAAAAGGTGGGAGGGTATGTGTCCGGTGCGGCCTTATCTCTCACGAAATTTCGTTCGCTTGGCGACTGAATGAATATGCTAATAAGGCCCAAGGCACGTCCAAATCACCCTCTGGCACTAGCACTAAGGACACCCATGCGCCCATGTGTCGGACCGAGGCCGTGGGTATGCGGCAGTAGCGGCAGTGGATGTCCTTCTTTACCCGAACACTGTTGGTGCATCAGCTGAGAGCAGTCATCGTTGCAGCCGCGGTCCAATCCATACCCGGCTCGCTTCGGCAGTTACCGGTGTCAACAAAGGTAGCTTATCGCCACGTGCTGCTTCCGTTCCGACGACGGCGCCGCCCTTGTCAAGCCAACTCCGCAGTGGACAAGAGAGTCTAAGGAAGCGTCGGGCGAGTCGGGCGTGTGACAGAGTGGAGGCGGTCACGGAGGCAGAGCGGGCCACCGTCATCTGCTGACTCCCGAACCGGCGGCAGGCGGCTGTGGGCCGCCGGCATTGCGGCATCTTCAGATGCAGCTGTTGACATGGGGTAGGCCATAGCCGAATCGACATGCATGTTCCCCATGCGATGCGGTTGCGATCGGGAAGCGAACCTCTGTCAACGGGCAGTCCTGCATCCCCACCGCTGTTGATGCGTCTGCAAGCGTGGGGGAGCTGCTTGGCGCCCAACAACTCACGATCGCGGGTGAATGCGTAAGCTTCAGTCAAGTGAATGAAAGATCGGTTGCTAGCAACAGGCGCCGGCGATGCATACAGCCGAGCTCATGAGCATTCATCGGCCACGGCGGACTGCGTGTCCGCTCAACGCCTTCGGTGTCTGTGCGCAAGACATGCGTGCATGCTTCTGGTATTCTGGATTCGAACACAGTTCCGCTCTTCGACGCCCAGTGTGCGCCCTCAGATACACCCGATAAGGCAGCGAATTGGTCTCAGACACGATCGCCAAGTCTATCAGACGTCACGATGCGGGGCAGTCTGTATGGCGTGTGAACGACAAGTGTGCTCGTGTGCGTCACCTGTCGGTACCTGCATGCGTGCAACGGGCCCGGCGGGGCTCCCACTCCGCCATCGTGATGCTGCCCAAGATAGCCCGCGCCAGCAACCGGCAGCAGAAAAGTCAGACGACTTCGGCCACCGACTGTGCCGGGTGTTGCTGGGTGCAGAACCGAATGCCGAGATGCGGCGAAGCTCTGCGGCCCATCCGTCGCTGACGGTGTCCTCGTCTGCTCTCGCCGACTCACAAGCTTTCGTCAGCACCAGATACTCTACAGACGTGGTTCATGAGAAGACGATGTCTTGGCGAGCCGTGCTATCTCGCCAGTGATGTAACTGTTCCAGCTCTTATCGCGAGTCGACAGACTGATGACGCAGCGCCGCGGTTGTCTTCACAAGCAGCTGATGTGGAGCATGCCTCCGTGAACTACGTGTACTAGAAGCTGTAGATATGGGTGGCAAGTTCAACGTCTGTACAGCTCGATCATCGAGGAGAGCGCGGAGAGCGCGGAGCAAGCCCGCAGTGGTGTCGCTCCTACGGAACGGGGAGGAGTAGTAGCGGCTATGTCTGTCGCGCGATGAGACAGATGTGGAGTACGTGGAGACCTGCCCAGACGTCGGAGCGACAGCTGTTTTGACAGCAGCTACAGCAACGCGTCTCTGACACCTCTACGCTCCGAGCCACCCATTCCTGACAAGCTGTAAGATCTTGTTCCTCTACCGGTACTGCTGGCAGACACAGGAGCCACTGAGAGGCACCGTGGGAGACGATTGTGAACTGTCAGTCGTGGGAAAGCTACCCTCCAACGTCTCTAGCATGTCACGTGAGGGCACCCTTCCACCTCTTCCACCCCTAACGCCCTAGGGCGCGTCGGCGCGTCGCGTTTCATTCAGTCGATTGCGAGATTACGAGCGTGCACCACGCTTTACCCTCAGACCCGTAACACCTGCCCCTGTCCCCTTGTCTTGTCGCACACGAGTTTGCGAGTTCCGAGCGGATTCCAGCTGAACTTTCTCTTCATCTTCGGGACTTTGCAGAATGTTATTGCTTTGCTATTGCTGAGACAGAGGGAGTGGGAAGAATGGGGACGGGGATCTGGCTTAGAGCCGGTCTGCGCCCCCTCGGCCGTCGGACGCCTCTCGGAACCCGACGCCCTCGGCTCCGTGCCTCTGTCTCACCAGAATTAAGATGAAGCCGGTCAGGCTGGGGCAGCAACACATGGCAAGAGGAGACACTCGTGGTGACATGCAAGGACATCGGGGTAACGAAGGGTGACAGACAACCCGTACGGTGCCGCACAGAGCGCACAGTCCAGCGAACGGACACTGCGGAGAGACGGCGCTACGGAACTCTTCCCCTGCACTCCGGCCCTTGACCCGGCGCACCCGGCATCCATCCCCCTGCCCTGTGCCGTACGTCCCCTGGCCGTCCCCTGCTGCGTCGCATACGTCGTGCACTTCGGCGCGGCGTACGGTCTCGCCGTCGGGACAGACAGGACGCTCCCAAGCAGAGCAATGACCGGGGCTCTCGTAAATGGTACGTATGCACAATGTTCTGGAGGCCGTCGGACGGCCATCCCCTTCCCTTCTGTCCAGAATCGGCGTGCCTGCTGCCTCGTTGGTCAGTCGCCACCCACTGTACGCTGGTCTGCGTACTCTGAGGACCGAACGGACGAGACACTCTGCAGCCACGCCAGCTGACGCATGAGACGAGCCCAGCGACGTTTGCAACTGCCTCTTTCGGGAAGCAGCTGCATGCGCTGACGCACGAACACAGGTGCATAGTGCCGTTTAGAATGTCTCACCTGGCCCCGATCGTATGCTAGCAGTTACTCCGGGCTGGTAAGCCTGCGACTGCCCTGCACCAGCCATGCCAGCCGGGCCAGCGGGGTCAGCTCCACGGCCGCGCTGGAGATTTGCCACCCACTTCGATCATGTCTGTTGACCGCTGCACTGCAGTCACCAACAACACGATCTCAATGAATGAGTGGTAGCTTCAGAGTCTGTGCAACGGTGTCTACGTGAGGAACGGAGAGTGCATGGATTGAGTTGTCGCGAAGCTTAGTGAAGCTTGATAGGACGAGAGAATTGTGTCTCACAGTGTAAAGGCTGCTGGGCGTGAAAAAATCGAATTGCGGCGGCGACAAGGGCCCTTGAAGCCAGGGCAGGGGCTGCCGGTGTCCAGGTTCATCGCCACCCTCGGTCGTCCTACCTGGCTGTCGTTTCGTGCAGACACCAAACCCAAACGCACACATGCTGATGCAGGCCCTAAAGCCGTAATCGTCTCACACGGGCACACGACGATGCATTAAGAGGATTGTTTACAAGAACCAGAAGGGCCGACGAACATACGTACATGCAGATCAGTGGCATTCCCGCTGTTAATTCAATGTGTGTGTGCTGGGCGGCCTCGGCAGCAGCGCAGGGCGACAGGGAGCAAGTCCCGATTAGCGTCCTTGCATTGAATCGTCTGAACGGCACGGCGGCACCGAGCATTAGGAAAACGGACAAGGCGTATAGAATAGTCACCCACTGTATCCACCGTACGCTGTGCTGGCTGGCTGGGCTCGCTGGGCTCGCTGGGTCCACTGTACCACCAGTTCGAGCTCCAGGTACCACGCCCAGGGACGACGGCCTGTGCAGTGAGCCATTCGTCCCGTCCCTCACAACTCTTCCACTCAACTCAATCCAGACACCTGCCTTTGCCTAATCACCACTTGCAACCACCTTCACTCTCCACCTCACCACACTTGCACACCACCAGTACACACCCATCACGACCACGTAACGACCACGGCACCATCCAACCACCCGGCCCGACCCCGCACATATCCACACACTACCTCGCCCGCTCCACCGGCACTCACCACCCCCGACAGGGCCTGTCAGAAAACTCGATCCCTTCGCCACCTTTCCCCTTCCCTGCGACGCTCGAGCCGTGCCTCCCTTCGGTCCTCCAGAGCCATTCGCCCTCCCATCCACCTTTTCTCTCCCCAACGACCTCGCTCACCATATCGCCGCCGCCATCGACGCTCCCCCCGGCGACCTCAGTGACTCCCCCGGGCTACGCGTAGTGCTCGTGTCGGGTCATGAGTAAGCCAGCGGGGCCGCGCAAACAAAAGCGCGTCGCCCTTACGACCCCACCGGCCACACCGCCAATGCCTAAACCCCTGGACGCCGTGCCCGGGCCCTCCTCGTCCCTCCCAAGGGCAGGCTCGAGCGCGAGCGTCACTGCTCCTACGGCTACGGTAGCTGCCAGCGTAAGCATGGCAAGCATGCCCGTCGCCAATGGAAGCGGGAACCCCGCGTCTGGAAGTTGTCATGTCAGAGTAGACTCACCACAACCCATGTCGCCCCCGGCGGAATCCGCGAGCGTCGTGAGCGCGGCAAGCGCCGGGAGCGCCGGGAGTGCGTACAGCAGTGCGGGCAGCGCGGGCGGCACCATCCCCAGCATCCCGAGTAGCAGCAGCACGAGCGAGCTCCCTGCCGCGCTTTCGGCCGCAGAAATGGATTCGCACCTCGCCGCGTTCGAACTCGGCCCGCCTGGCGCGCAGCGCAAACCCACAAGAAGAGTTCGCAGCATCGAGCGGACATGGCAGTGGGTCAAGTCTCGCTCCTCGGTCTACGGCGGAATAGAAGGCTACGACCAGGAAGAGTTTGCCAACGCCATCGCCGGCCCATCACGCCCCATCACGGTCGCTACCCCCATCACACCACCCGCGTCGTACTCTCCGACGGAACCGCGGCGACAGAGCGCCGACGTTGACCCAGACGAGCGACGACGAAGACGGCAGGGGCTCACTCCCGAGTCTGGTCTGCGACCACCGCCGCGCCCCCGCCCAGCATCACGATCCTTTACATATCCAGCATCCCCTCTGACGCCAATGGGGAGCCCTCCCAAGCATGGAACACCGTTCCCAGTCATGTCCACATCGACGACGCAGACGAGTCTCACGACAAGCTTGGGACACGACCTCAAGTCGTCCACACCCTCCCCGACGAAGCGGTCAGACAGCAGTGTCTCACCGAAACGGGCTCGACCCCGGCCGATCTTTCCTGGTTCGATGGAGCCGCCCCCTTCTCACCTGTCCAGGTCACCGTCACATCCCCCGACGTCTCACGTGCCGCTGGCGACTTCGCCGACATCTTCAGCTGGAAGCCACAAGACGCAAGTTCAGTCTATATCAGACATTGTGCGAAGACACTCGGCGGCCATGGCGATGGCGCAAGAAGCAGCCGTCGACCGGGCGCGAAGCGAAATGACTGCTTCCAAGTCCAAGCCCTTGCCGAAGAGCCCGACCAAGCTCCAGCTACCTGGCCCGCCCTTGAATGGACGTAGCAGCAGTGAGCAACAGCCGGATCACCCGACGGAACGCACAGAACGCCCGGAACGACCAGACCGACCGGAACGACTGCCGCGGCCTAGCAAGCCGGAGCGAAAAGGAAGCGAGGGTGGCGACCGTGTGCGCGACCGCGATCGACCACTTTTGCGTGACCGGCCACTGGAGCGCGCTAAGAGTGCCTCTCCTTTGCCGACGCCGCCGCCGAAGACGAACCACCGACGGGAACCTAGCGCGTGGTCGACGTACTCACTGAGCAGCAGCGACAATGACAGTGTCGTACGCGACTTCCGGTTAGCGCAAGCGGCTTACGACCGGCTATCGGGTGGCCAGTCGTTACGACCTGTCTCGGAGCACAGTACGAAGAAAGGTTCGCAGCCGAGCGCCCAGTTCCCGAAGGCGCTGTCGCCTCTGCCTAAGGACGCAGAGTTGCAGCGGACACGGAGTGCGGTATCGCTGACCGGTGCTAGGAGCGCTGGTTCATCGCCGCAGCCGGACGACGACGCACTGATGGCGATGTACTTGCGATCGCCGCAGCTCAACAAGATCCTCGCTCTGCCCCGGCCGTTCCCGGACCGGCCACTGCAGGTGTCACTCGCGGATCTCGGAAAGCCGGATGGAAAGCCCGTCGTCGTGTTCCTCGGATTAGGATGCGTGCGCTACCTGATTGCGCTGTACGATGATCTGGCGCGAGCGTTCGGCCTGCGATTAATCTGCATCGACCGCTGGGGCCTCGGCAAGACGGACCAGGTGCCGCAGAACCAGCGCGGACCGCTCGACTGGGCCGACGTCGTGCGTCGCGTGCTCGACCAGCTCGGTGTCGACAAGTTCCAGATTGTCGCACACAGCGCCGGTGCGCCGTACGCCATGGCAACGGTGCTAAGGCTCGGAGACCGTGTCGTCGGTCGCCCGCACCTGCTCGCGCCGTGGGTCGGCGGCGATGTCGAGGGCTACAAGTGGCTCAAGTGGGTGCCGAACGGCGTGATCAAGAGCGCGATTGCGGCCGAGTGGCGCCTCGAGTCGTACTTCCTCGGCAAGGCTCCGTCGCTGAAAGCGCTGAACAAGGCGGGCATCCCGACCTCTCCCTCGCTCGACGGTGAGAGCATGCGATCGCTTTCTTCCGCCTCGTCGCCCGTCACCTCGTCACCGATCTACAACAACTTTGCCTCGCTGCCGCTCTCGACGTCGTCCGTGCACGTCCCGGCCAACATGTCCGAAGACTCGCTTCTCGTCACGAGCAGCCCTTCCTTCCTGACAGCGTTAATGCAGGCGTCGCACGCCGAGTCACTCTCGGGCACGACCGCCGACCTTCTTTCCGTCATTCTCGGAAGGGACTGCAAGCCGTGGGGTTTCAGCTTCACGGACGTGAAGCGCGCGTGCAAGATCTTCTGGGGCACGATGGACGACAAGGTGTCCGAGAAGAGCATGCGGTGGATGGAGCGCAGCATGGACGCGGAGCTCGTCACGCTGAAGGACGAGGGGCACAATCTCATGTCCTCGCGCGGGGTCATGTACGATGTGCTCGACAGTCTGGCGAATGATGAGGGTGTGGCGCGATAGGCCGAGGCGCAGCCGAGGCCGTGACGTCTCGCAATCTACGGCCCAGATGCCACATCGCCCTGCCGTCTCCACGAGGATATCTTTGAGCTTACCTACCCGCTCATACACATCAACAAACTAGCCCCCAGGCCCAGCTAGTCAAAACAGTAGTATAATCGAGCCCATCATCATTCCTCCTACCAACATTCCCTACCTAGTTTTAATCCGTGCCAAACTCTCTGCACACACTCACTACCCAACCCCACGATATGTGCCAGCGCGCACACGCCTCTGTCGCTTTCTTTGGATCTTGGTTTCCATTGCGGACATGTATTTTTTCTTTGTCACACGATGTCTCTGCCAGCGTTGATGGTCACTTGGCCTGGATTGTAGCAACGGGGGACTTGGACTGACTGAGGTGTAGCACTGCGCACAGCTCGTGATGTCACTGTCTCACTGTGGGATACCTGTTGCATCCGTCCTCTCGGCTGCGTTTTAGCTTTCTCACACCCACGACGAGGCCGTACCGGCCGACCGGGCGACGACGGCCACACCTCGGCTCGGAGCGAAACAAGACAGGGCAACGGGGCATTGCGACGTCTCATGCGCAGGACTGCATCATGATAAAAGTCTAGATAGAAAAAGCTAATGGTATATAATATGCGATGAAATGCAGGACAAGGAATGAATGATATCGACGCTGTGTTTTTGTACACTGCTTACAAATGTCCATGGCCCTCTCACTCTCCTCTCCCAGCATCATCGCCAGGCCCGCTCCGGCGCTCCGCACGCTCACGGATACTCTGCCGAGGGCTACCTGCTCGCCCAACAGCTGGGCTGAGGGCTCACTCGCTCCGCCCCGCCCGCCCATTCTAGTGAACGCTCGCTCCCTCCCTCGCTGCGCTCGTTCGCTCGCCTAGAATGGCCTCTTCTGATCCCCCGGATACACGTTCGCCTGCTGCTGCGCGACCTGGCCATAACTCGGCGGCCGGCCCGAGATATCCGTCGTCGTGTACTCCGAGTCCCTACTAAACTCTGTCTGCGGGTATTCGCTCACGGGACTCGTGGTCCGATTCGCGACGAAGAACTGGCCCGACGGCTGCGGTTGCGGCACCTTCATCGTCCCCGCGGACGTGTTGCTGCCCTCTTTCCTATGCCCGTGCCCGTGCCGAGCTGGAGGCGGCACGGAGGGAGTAGGGGCCGGGGCGTACATCGTGGTAGTGGGCTGGGTGTACTGCGTATACTGCGATTCGAGGGATTGGTGCTGTGCCGCGCGCTGTGCTGCCGACTTGGGCGGAGGCGCGGGCGGGGTGCGATACCGCGGATCACTTGGGGATGTCGCCGCACGCCCGATCGCCTCGTAGTCGTCGCCATAGTCGTACGCCGCCTCGGCGGGGTGCACGCGCGCAGTCGGGTCGTGGTAGTTGTCAGACGAGTGGAAGGAGGTCCGGTTTCCGCGCTCTTGCCCGTGCCCATTCGAAGGGGCGAGGCGGTTGCGCGTCCCGGCCACGGCGGCGGCGGTGCTCGCTCCGGCGGCGGCTCCGGCACCAGCGCCGGCTGCTCCAGCGTAGTAATTGTTGTGCGCCTGGTCATAGGCGTTTCCGTAGCCCTGCGGCGTGTTGTCATAGTTGTACGCTGCATTGCCGCTGCCGTTGTATGCGTAGGGGTCGCTGTAGGTTTCTGGAGGATGTCAGTTATGCAGTGGAGAGGCTGAACTCACGCTCGTAGCCCGCCCGGTTGTAGTTATCCGCTGTTGCGTACTGCTGTGTCTGCGGGACCTGGTACGCCGCGTATCCCTCGTAGCGGTTCGGCACCTCCACGCCTGCGCCGCCGGCGCCGACGCCGGCCGCACCCGCCGCCGTGAACGTGGACCCGACCGAGGGCTGGCGCTGCACATTCGCGTTCCCCGTGCGCCGGCCGTATCCGACGCCGACGCCCTGGATGCCGTGCCCGTCGTGCGGGAGCGCGGGGACAGTGTTGCCCGTCTCCTCGTAGTAGTACTTGTCATCCACGTCGGACGTGAGGGGTTGCCGCTCATACGTCGCAAAGTTGGGCAGGTCCTGCTCGTGCTGGCGCAGCTTGTCGTCGCGGATCGCCTGCATCCGCAGCGCCTCGTCGCGCCTGTACGCGGCCTCCTCCTCCTGCCGCTCGCGCCGGGTGCGCCGGCGCGTGCCGCCCCGCTCGCCAGAGTCCCAGCAGCACGCCCGGCCCATACCGTAAGCGCAGCCGGCGAAACAGCAGCACAGCCAGGCCGCGAGCGTCATCCACACTGCGGCGCCGATGCTGGCCGAGGCACCCTGGACGGAGTTGATGCGCGCCCGCGCAATGTAGAAGATGGCAACATCAAAGATGAACACGATCAGGGCCAGGCCGCCGGCGATGCCCGCCAGACAGGTCGGGAAGCACATCATGACGCAGCCTGGGATGAGCTCCATAAGCCCAGTCAGGAGCGCCAGGACGGCGAATCCAAGCGAGATGATGTGGATGATGAGAACATAGGTCAGGTACTTGGACACGGCGGTCGGGATGTTGAAAGGAGCATTCTGCAGGTTGAGGACCTTGTTCAAGTCTGAGGAATGTCAGCACGCATGCAAGACAGGACATTCAAGTCAGCCATCGCATCGACTGCGGCTGACGCCATTGAATGTCTCGCCGTGGAATTGGGTTGTTTCTGTGTTCCCAGGCAGATTGTGACGTACCGAACTCATATCCGACCTGCGGACCTTGGCATGTAACCTTGCCGGCAGTGTCGAGGCAGTAGCCTAACGTGCCGAGCTTCAGGATATAGTCCTCAAATTTGGCTTCGAGGAAGTAGAGCTGCTTCAGCAGCGGGGTATTGAAGGAAACAAGCGCGAGAAGCACGACCGCGGCGATGATCAGCAACAAGCCGGGGAGGACGGATCGCGCGCCCATGTTGATCGGCGAGATCTGAGGGCTGGAAGTGGCGTCGGGCCCAGAGTCGGCGGGTTAGGACGAAGACAACGAGAGTGAGAGTGAGGGCCGATAGGGAGGAAAGAAAGTGTCGAGAGTGTGTGTAGATGCGGTTATGCGGTGGAGAGGCCCGAGAACTGGAACCAGAGGGAGCTAAACAACAGCGTCTAAGGGACTGTCTTGGCGTGCGGGGTAGGCCGTAGAGGGATCGGCTTGTGCGGTGTGGAAGGGGGCGCCGGGTGTGACCGATTCAATGTTACAGGTGTCGGTGAGGGGTTCTGGGTCGGCGATGAAGAGATAAGAGACGATGCCAAGATGTCGAGCGTTGAGTGTTGGGCAAAGGGAACCGGAATCGAGGAGGGTGGTGGTGGGATTGCAGGATGGACGGGGCGCTTGGACATAGGATTCAGGACTCGGTGCGGGCCCTGTTACCCTCGGAAGGCTGTGCCTCATCAACTCGTCCTGGGTGAGAGTCCTGACCACTCCGTCTCACTCTGGCCCCGTGCGTGCCCCGCCTGGCCGCCTGCCCCTGTGCGTCTACTGCCTCCATCGCTGCGTTTGCCACCGCCACTTGTCCACTCGTCACGACTGTGAGCCACACTGCACAGCTCTTTCCACCGCCGACACGAAAGCGTCGCCGAGCTCCGTCGACGTCATGGTCCCAAGACTCCCACGCTACCATCTCGGCGTCTATGGCACGATGATAGCAGTAAGAAGGAAATCCATCGCAGTATGAGATCCTCCGTCAGACATTCCAGTCCAGTGCTGATGGCGCCACTGCAAGGCGGACGGGCAGAGGATGGAGAGCGAGGGATGGCTCCAACGGCGCAGCGTGACATGTCCGTTTGCGCTCCACACTTGTCTCGCTGGTTTAGTCTACTGGTTCAGGCAGACTCGAGCGAGACTGGGTTTGGGGCCCTGCTTGTCCTCGTTGTCTGGGCCGACTGCACAGTCGATACATGAAACTTTGTGCCAAAGGGTTTAAGCGCAGTGCTGGGCAGGTCGAGGTAGGTGGAAGGTTGGGAGGGTGGATGCATGTGATTCTGTCGGAGATGAGATGCAAGGGGTCGCCACAAGCGCTAACCTGTTACCTGCTAATTGCTGATACGCTAATCAGAGTCACCTGAGTCTGGATTTCTGCTCGCCCCCGCAGACAGGACAGGCTCCAGACGCGACTTTATGAGGTTGCGAGGGTGGGACCCAGGCCGTGACACTTGAGCCAGACGCGCAAAAGGGCGAGGAACCGGGCAAGGTCCTGAAACCCTTTCACCCATCAACCTCAGTTTCAGCGCCTCCTCGCTTTCCTCGAAAAACTACGGACATGGCCGCGTTCTCCGTCAGATCTTCCGATCGCCGTCCCAAACTTCCCACGGCTGCCTCGTTCGCCTTCATCCCACGCGAACTCCCCTGACCCAGCTCGCCAGTCGCCAGTCCAGGCACAACAATCGCCCTGCAGCGGCCACAGACACACACTGCACAGCGACGAACAACGCAAGCATCCCCTCTGATCCTTCTCCCACCCTTATCTCCTACTCTTCCAAGTTTCCTCTCACTCACACTCCCCCTCCACTTCCCCTCCTGTCCCCTCGCCCCCTTACTCCCCACTCCTCCCACCTGCGTTCGACAGATTCCCATTTCTTCGACACAGATACCCATCGCACCCGAATACTCCCCCAGCACAGCTTTCTTCGGCCAACGTCGCTTTGACTCTCACAATGTCACGCTACTACACAGACGGCGCCGGGCGTGCCCCCTCCCCCGATCCCGAACTCGAGTACGACCAGCATCGCGGACGGTACACCGACACCTCGGCCATGCGCCCCTTACGCAACGACTACCAGGAGCCCACATATAGGGACCCGAGCTTCGACGTGCGCGCCGACTTTGACGGCTTAGGCCCGCGCTGGAGCGAGATGCACGGAGTCGCCAAGCACGAGACGTAAGCTGACTTGACCTGTAGATAGCTGACAACAGATACCGACCTGTGTATGACCATGACGCCCCGACGCGGAGCGGCAGCGGAAGCGGACTCGGGTTCAAGATGCAGGAGCCGAACGACCCGGAGATGGTGTCCGTGCCGGTGCTGGGCCCGGAATGGACCAAGGCGGAGCTGCGCGGTATCTCGAACCGTGGTAAGAACGACCGGATTCGGGACAAGCGCGTGAAGAACTGGCGGGCATGGAACCGCGACCAGAAGGGCTGTTGCGGCGTCAAGTGGCTCACGCGGACTGTGTTTGTCTTCTTCGTCTTCTTCTTCCTCGCCGCGCTCATCGTGACGCTCTACTTCGTCATTCCGCGTGCGGTCAAGTTTGAGTTCTACCAGCCGGACCCGCTGTCGATCAACAACGACACACTCGTCTTCAACCGCGTCCCGACCAACTTCTCCTTCAACGCCGACCTGCACCTCATGGCGGATGCTTCGAGCTCCTACGTCCCCGTCCAGATCAAGGCGGACGCGACCGTCCTCGACCTCCGCACGAGCAAGGTCATTGCCAGGGGCACGCTCGAGCGCCGGACGCTCGACCACAAGTCGAACATTCCCATCTTCTTCCCCGTTACGTTCGAGTACGCCGCTGTCAACACGTCAGACGCCACCTGGGACTACATGTACAAGGCATGCCAGCACCGCTGGAACGGCGTGCAGCGCGGCGACATTGAGCTCCGCGTCGAGGTCAAGCAGAGCATCATCGGCGTCGTCGGACACCCCATCTCGGCGTCCAGCGTGCACTCGGTCCCGTGCCCGGCAGAGCTCGGCGAGCAGGTCTAGGCGCGCAGGGCGACTCCAGCGGTTGCGACGTGCTCCTTCGCATTCACTTGATCAGACTGGGCAGCCTAAGCTGCCTCACGACCTCACTCACTACGACTACCAACCTGAACACTTTGTTGGCCCCATACTCTCACACAAACACCTGGACATTGTTTCGCCTGTAGCCCTGTACCGTACCCGACCTGCATCTGCATGACTTTCATTAAGCGAGCGTGGAGGGCGGAGGTAACCGGGCTGCGACCGCGGGTACGCTGTGGGCGAAGGAGACTGCTGTGCATCAGAGCACTGATAACTGGACACCAGGGTGTGAGCAGCAACCGCTTGTAACAGAGCCATGGAGCATACCTCTGACCAACAGCATCTACTGACGTCAGAACAGCAGCCCTACAAGTCAAACGATGAACAAAGAGCAAGCTCGCTGGGAGCAGTGCAGTGGCACCTGTGCCGTGCATTGTACCTCATCCCACCCTTCTTTTCCACCGTTGTTCCTCTTCTTTCGCTGCCATGGTGCGAAAAGCGAACGAATACCAGGGGCTTCCGTTTCAAGCATCCAGAGAAAGCTGACAGGACCGACATGATTGATCGGCCGCTGACGCCAAATCCGAGTGGCACACCAGTGGCACAATGACATTCCGTACCCCAGCTCACTCCCCGCTCACCATCAGTGCCTGAATTTGCCTTCACGAGCTGATCATTTCTGACGAAGGATGCTGCTGAACAAGACGAGGATGGGCTCATGGGCGATACACTTGTGTGCATGTCTGTGTGCATCAGCGTGCTGCGCTGGGCGGCGCTGACGTCTGCGAGAGGAGCGAGGAGACGCTCGAGAAGCAGATATAAACCGGCCCTTTGAAGGTCATATTCCCCATCCCGCTACCACTCGCCGAGCTCGCACTGGTGGACACACTCACGAGTCGCGCTCTGCTTCGCACCTTGCCTACACTCACAGTCACACTCCACGTCTACTTAAGACACTCCTTTCGCTCACTCCTTCCCAACATCCCCTCCCACACACGCTTTCCTTCCACGTCTACTTAAGACTCCCTCTTTCACTTTCACTTTTCCCCAACTCCCCCTTCCTCAGCTCGTTCTTTTCCTACATCCTCTTCATTCCCAACTATTAGCTCTCGCTCACTCCGAGCCGCAGCTCAGCTAGTCCGCCACCCGAGGCCTCATCAGAGGTCGACTAGGTGAACCCCCTCCACACCGTCGCCACAGCCCATGGGTAACACCCATTCCGTCCCCAACCGCGGCGCCGACGACGACCTCCTCTCCTACCTCTCCGACGACGACTTCTCAGACGGCGAGCGCAGCCCCGACCAGTCTGGTCCCAAGCTGTACGTCCGCCCGCCCCGCTGGTGGCTCGCACACCCCTACCACGAGTACCACGAGTACGCGTTCGTCTCCCCCTCGCCCGGCCACACTGCGCGTGCATCCATGGCGCCCAGCATCCGCACCAGTAACCGCTTCGCTGCGCTCGAGGAGGCGCTCGAGGAGTATCGTGACATGACCAGCCCCAAGGAGGAGGAGCAGAAGCCGAATGAGGAGGAGCAGAAGACGCTCGATGGATTCTTCCGTGATGTCCTCGCCATCAGCGCTGGGGGACGGGTGCCGCAGCGCGGCTCCATTCCGTCGTTCGACCCGCCTTCCCAGCCTGTCGAGACCCCGGCTGGACCTTCGGCTGGGCCTTCGAACCAGAACAACGACAACGACGTTGCCGAGGACGCCACCGCCGACACCTCCGAGGGCTCGCAGGGCTCGCAGGCCTCGCAGGCCTCGCAGGCCCCGCCCTCCACCTCGTCCAGCCAGCTTCTCGCCGGCATCCAGACCCCCGCCGACTTCCTCAGGTCGGTTTGCCAGCTCTTCCACTCGGACGGCTCTGAGTTCGAGTCGGACTCGGAGTTCGATTCTGAGCTCCTGGCCGCTTTCCACGAGTGGGACAATGAGGGCTCTGACGCCGCGCCGAGCTTCAGCGAGGCCATGGCTGCTGTTCAGGACTTGATGACTGGACTGACGTCGCTTCAGACTATGCTCCAGGCTGGAAACGCTGTGCAGGCTGGCGAGTCTGAAGCCCAGGACGACAACGGGGACGACGAGGCTGAGGGCGACGACGACGAGGAGGTTGAGGAGGTTGAGGAGCTCGTCCAGAAGGTTAACAAGGGCAAGGGCAAGGCTTCGGCTGAGGACGACACCTCCAACTCCGACGCCGAGGTCGACGCCCCCGCCCCCTTCGAGACCAGCAGCCCCGGCACTCCGACCGCGTCTTCCGCCCCCGTCTCCGACACCCCGGTGCACCGCACCATGTCGTGGGAGGCGTTCCAGGCCTTTTCGCGCTTCACCAGCTTCGCGAACCTCTCCGACGCCGAGGAGTATCACTACATGATCCTCTTCGGGGAGGCGGACCGCGAGGGCCGTCTCCAGGAGCTCGTTGACATGCTTATGGGTCATGCTAGCTCTGGCTCGCAGGTCGCTGAGACGGTCAACGGCAACGATGGCAACGACGCGGTCAACGAGGCTGCTCCTGCCACTCCTGGACCTAGCAGTGCTGGCACTGCTGGTTCGGAGGAGACTGTCTCGGCCCCTTCGACGCTGCAGCCCCGCGGCTCGCCTAGCAAGCTTAAGATCAAGAACGGCTCCCCGAAGCCTGCCACCTATCTCTGCCCTGCTCCCGTTTCGTCCCCGACTGTTCAGTCTGTCGGTGTTCAGACCGCCCCCGCTCCTGCTGCCATCGCTCCTCAGCCCGCCACTCAGCCCGCTCCTCAGCCCGCCACGACTACTCGGCCCACTCAGCCCAGCCTCCCGACCCCGCCCTCGTCCGGCTCCTCGTCCAGCTCTTCCTTGTCCTCGACACTCTCGCTGACTCCAGCGGAGCAGGACGAGTTGGACGACCTCGAGGCCAGGCTGTCGCGTTACCCCGTCGCGCTCATCACGCGCCACGCGGAGGCGCAGGCCGCGCAGCGCATCGCCAGTCTCGAGGCTGCGGTCAACGCTGCTAACGACCGCGCGCTCCTTGCTGAGCTTAGGCTGCAGGCTATTAAGGAGGGACACGTCCCGGCCGAGGCTTGGGTTATGCGCGAGTTCCGGCGTAAGAGGGGCAACAACGGTAATGGTCCTGGTTCTGGTTCTGGTTCTGGTGGTGGTGGTCCTCCTGGTGGTGGTGGTGGTGGTCCTCCGGGTCCTGGTGGTTCCGGCCCCTCGGGCGGCTCTGGTGGATCTGGCGGCTGTGGACCTTCCCAGCCGAAGAACGACGACGACCTGAACAACAACGGCAACGGAGGCAACGGCGGCGACGCTCCCAACGGCGGTGGTGGTGGTGCTGGCGCTCGTACCCGCTCCGCTCAGCCGTGGTACCCCCGCTCTCGCGCTCCCCAGCCGCTCGTCGACGCCAACGACCTTCCCGTCGTCGCTCCCCGCCGTGGTCGCCCCGACCCAATTGCTCCGCCTGCCCGCGCCCCGTCTCGCCCCGCTCCGCCCCCTCCGGGCCGTATCCGTTTCCCGCCCGGACTCTCTGCGGCCGACATCCAGGCTGCGCGGCAGCAGGCCGGCCGTCCGTCCCTCGGCCCGCAGCTGGAGATCACGCGCTCCCTCGCCCCGCATCTGCACCAGGTGCTCTACTCCCCGCGCGAGCTTGGGGATGGCTTCGCTCTGCCGGTGCCGGAGGAGCAGAGGATGTTCGTCAGCGAGACGCCCTTCCCGGACCCTCAGCCTGAGGAACAGGGGTGGCGCCAGCTCGAGCCGCAGGCGGAGACTCGTCTGACTCGGCAGTGGATCCCCCAGCAGGTCAATGGTCAGCTCCCTCTCAACCAGCCTGAGCGCCCGTACCACGCCGAGCAGTCGTCCTACACCCCCGTGCAGGGCTACCGCCAGCTTCAGGCTCACCCCCTGCAGCCGCGCGCTCCGTACGCTCCGTACGCTCCGCCGCCGCCGGTCTACGTGCCTCCTCATCTCCGTCCTGCCCCTGCGCCTACTGCGCCGCCCGCTCCTCCCCCGACGCCGCAGAACTACCTCCAGCCCCAGCCCTCGGCAAGGCAGCGCGGGTGGTACTGCCCCCAGCCCGAGCAGCGCGACTACCACGTCCAGCGCACCGAGGTGCCGGCGCTCGTCCTGCCCGACTCGCCCGTCTTCTCCCGCGGAATCGACTTCACGGTGCCTCCGCCTCATGACGAATTCCAGCGCGAGTTTGACCGGGGCCGTCCCCCCTCCGCACAGGGGACGAAGCTGAACGCCGCCGCGCGCCCGTTCACGCCTGGAGTCGGGCTGCACTCGACTGCGGAGGAGTTCGTCGTGCCCACGACATACCCGCCCAAGACCCACTTCGCCAAGTCTGCCCAGTCCGCCCACTCGGAGCAACTGGACGAGGAGGAGGAGGACGAGGAGGACTACGAGAACCACGGACTGGGGCTGTACGCCGGTCTCTCACCCGCGTGCTTCCGCGAGTCCCCCGAGATCGTCGCGCCTCGCCCCCGCCGTGGCGACGTCCCGTCCCACGTTAGGCGGTGGAGCGACGCGCTCGAGCGCGAGGCTACCGATAGGAACAGTGGTGAGCTCACCCAGTTCCCGACCTACAGGTCGAATCGGCACTTCAACCCCGAGCCCGCCGAGCCCGTGGGTGAGCAGGCGAAGAAGAGGTGGCGCCGTCCCGACTCGCCTGCGCCCTTCGCCACCTTCTTCCCCGAGGACACTCGTGAGCCAGCTCGCGAGCGGCGTGAGCGGCGTGAGCAGCGTCCGCAGGAGGAGGCGACGGTGCGTGCTCCCCGCCACATGCCGCGCGGTCCCCGTCCCCCGCGCTACCAGGACCAGCAACAGGACCAGCAACAGGAGCAGCAGCAGCTGCAGCAGCAGGACCTGCCGCCCCGCTTTGCCGCTCTCGCCGCGCTCGCCGACGCCGAGAGCCGCCTCAACCTGTCCCTCGCTGCCATGGGCGCCAACCGCACGGAGAAGGCGAAGCGCCCCCGCTCCCCGCTTCCTGAGACTTACAGCGTCCCGAGGTCCACTTACCTGGTCTCGAGGGAGGGTGAGCTCGCCACTGCGACTCCGGGCCAGGAGGAGGAGGGGGAGGAGCTACGTAACGACGAGGAGGAGGACACGGTGCGTCCCCGCCGCCGCCAGCGCAGGCGCGGGCCTCGTTCCTAGGCAACTCGATACCTGCTGTAATACGGACGACATATACCCTGCAGATCGACCATATACCCCGTCTTTTGGGCTTCTTTGGTTTCTGTTCGCATCATACCCGTGCTCAGCCTTCACTTTGCTCTTCTTTCTTTAGTCTCAGTTTCGGCCTTCAATGTATATATTAGGCAAACACCCGCTGCACATCTCACTGACTCACTGCCTGCTCGCTCGCTTGCCGAAAACCAAATGCCTATGGTACATCCCTCTATGATATGTACAACAATGCCCGTCTCTACTCTACGGGACACCCTGCGCGCCGTGCGACGTTACACTGCACCCAGCGGGTCCCACGCCTTCGAGCCGCTGAGGGCGGCCTCGTACAGCGCTTTGTCCTCGTCTGAGGGCTCCTGCTTCCTCTCCTCCTTCTGCGGCGCAGTGACCCGGGACGCCTTTGGCGTCGCATCGTCCAGCGTCAAATCCGCCAGCGAGCGGGACGACGGCGTGTCGTCCCACGGGTTCGCCCACGAGTCCTTTGAGCTGCTCGACGCCTTCTTCGCAACGGCGTGGTCACCGGTGGCCGTGCCCGCGCTCGCGTCCGGAGCGGCACCTAGTCCGCTTACACTCGCTGTGCTGCTCGAGTGGAACGAGCTGACGTCGTTAACGCGCGTGCTGTCCCATGGATTCGTCTCGAGTGGGGCGCGGATCCGTCCCTCGCCAATGCCCGTGCCGGCGGCGTACTTGTGCGAAGCGTTTGAGGTGCCCCACGGGTCCTCATCCTCGTGCGCAGCCATGTTCTGGATCGCGTCCGTGGCCGTTGCCTTGAACTGGCTGAAGGCGCTGAGCGCACCACTGCGCACGCTTGTCCAGTTCCAACCACCGCCGCTCGACTTGCTGCGCGGGACCCCTGAGGAACTCGCAGTCGCTAGCGGTGTCGACGGTGCCGACGACAGCGAGTTCAACGTCGAGTGGCTGCCTTGCCGCCTCGGGACAGAGAGCGGATCTTCGCTCTCAAGCGACGTCCCCGGTGGCGAAAGAAAGTCACGCTCGCGCTCGACGATCGGAGCGTTCATCTCGTCGTCGCCGCGCTTGAACAGGCGGTGCCAGAAGGTGACGTCCTTCGTGTCCGGGAACAAGACGCCGTCGTCGCCCTCCGAAGGCGCGAACGAGGCATTCACGTACCGCGACCGCTGGGCCGGGAGCGACGTCCACTCCCACGCGCTGACGGTGCGATCCGCGCCCGCCTTGCCAGCCGGCACGCGACGCTGCTTCTCGTTGTCGAACAGGAACGTGCCGAACTGACACGCGTAAAGGTGGTAGTGCAGGTCGAGAAGGTAGTCCTCGGTAAACTCGAACTCGTCGGGGAACTGACGCTGGATCTGGCGCACGCAGTCTAAGAACTGGTGGAAGACCGGCGATACCTCCTTCAAGTGCGAGTTGGAGGTGAACTGCTTCTGCACACTGGCGAAGAAGGCCTGCGCGCCCTTGACCGCATTGCCGAAATCGTCGTCCGACACCTCGTCTCCATCCAGATTGTCCGGCGTCGCCGTGAACAGTTTAGTCGACGACAGGTGCCCGCTCCGCTGGCAGAACATGTGCCCGAACGACAACCAATCCTTCTCGACCAGCACCTGGAAGCCCGCTATCGTGCGGTAGTACGGGTCTAAGCAGAGCTGCGCGACCGCACTCAGCTGCGACGTCCGGTCCCATCCGTCACTGCAGTGAATCAGGACGTGTGACGAGTTGACGTGGATGTTGCGCACAATCATGACCGATCCGTCCAGAATAGCACTGATGTGCTTCAGCCAACCAGACTTCCGCAGTCGTTCGCGGTCTAGCGGCAGACCAGATGCGTCTGCTTCAGCGATCGCCTCCACGATCGTCCGCAAACTACTGCGCATGACGTGAATGTTGTCGATGCCGAGGTACGCCTTCTTTCCGAACCGGTACCAATCCATGTTCTCCGTTCCGGCGCCCTTGGCAACATTCGCCATCGCGTTCGTCGTTGGCCGCGCGTCAATGATGAGATTAGTCGCGGTCGCGCCAAAGACGGGCGGTGACGTCGCCCCTACTCCAGGTGACGCTAGCGGCGGGGTAGGGCTCAAAGCCAACGCACTGTCCGAGCTGTGGTGGCTCATGAAGATGCACTCCACTAGCCGCTCGTCCTGCGCTGAGCGTGCGTTCTTGATGCCAACCATGGGCTGCGATGATCGGGTGATGGACGCCTGAAGTCAGCTGGCAAAGACGTAAAGCGAGCTTACATGGTTGGCCCAGTGCAGGTACGTTAGCGCGGGAATGCGCGCCTTGCTGCGGTACTTGGCGGCGTACGACAGCACCGAGTCGCTGATCCTGCTGGGAACAACAAGCTTGGAGGGGTACGTCGGGCAGAACGTGTAGTCCTTATTGATGTCCGTGAACCGCCACGCTTTGGTGCGAGTGCCAAGTCCTTGCCGTGCGAACTCCTGGCGCGGGTTGTAGCAGCCCCAACCGTCTACGGCCGCCGCCGCCTCGATCGTGGTCGGTTTCTCGGGCGAAGCCGAAAGCGGCGACAGCGGGTTGTCGCTGCTATGCTGCCTCGCTGGCGTAGCAAGCAACGGTGCCTTCGCCGCAGCCGGTGACTTTGGTAACGTGTAGAAGTAGGCATAGAGTTGCTCCACCGACTCTGAGAAGTCAGCCTGTTACTGACACCACAAAAGCTTCGCACTCACGGACTACGGCACAATCGCGCACACTCTGCCAGACATCCTCTGCGCCGCCTTCCCGGTCCTTCGCGAACCACAGAGTATAGTTGTCGAAGGTCTTGGTCCCAACCTGCAGGGGGTAGCCGTCCTTGGTCGTCGGGAGACGCTGGAAGAGGACTATGGTAGGATACGGGATCCAGACCTCTTCTTGCGCCGCCGGGTGTGACGCATCGGTGTCACCGTCACCAGACTCTGTCGCCGCCGCTTCCTGAGCGTCCGGCGGCGACGGCGAGAAGAAGAGATGGTGCGGTGTGAGGTGGAGAGTACCGGTGACCTTGAGCTTGGTATGCGGGGGCTCCCTGGTAGTGCGACCGAGGACTACGCCGTCGATCTTTGCGACGCGAAGGCCGTCCATGTCGGTCTAAGGGGTGGTATATGGTCAGCAGCCAGCAGCGCATGCGCTCGATTGCATCGAGATCGTCTATGACGAGCGTGCACGCCCAGCCGCATCCGTTATATGCAACCCCCGGTTAACAACGTGGCTGCCCGTTCCACTCCGCCAGAGCCACGACGAAAGATCAACTCGACCCTCGTTCCGCACCCGGGTCAGTCAGTGCACAGAGTGCAGTGCAGAGTGATGAGCCAGCTTTGCGCCGTGCCGTCGCCTCATACACGGGCACAAAGGCGACTCGGAACGATGCAAGAGGAACGAAAGAGCAAAGAGGCTGAAAATGAAAATGGAAGACGACGCCTCGGCCCTGGCGGGCGTCCGGGCGTCGAAGCCATTCGGAACGATGCGGACTGCCTTGATGGTGGGCACTGGACATGTGATAGTGAGTCACTCGTACCTGCGCCAATCTACACCAGGTGACAGGCCGCATGTCACCTCTGCTCCGAATTTTACTGTGGCGAAACGAGCATTCGAAGAGCAACAATACGAGCGGACACCGACAGCTCCGCTCCGAACGTCATCAACATCCCAGCCGCTTGGACTGTTCCGGAAACCTTTCCTTCTGCCGTCCGCAAGCATGACTCGTACTGCCAATGGATCCATGCATTTTTGTGCTACTTTTAATTATGCGATTACTGCTTGTGGCTGTGAAGCGTCAGTATTTGCTCTTCATGTCTCACCGGCTCTCCGTTCCTCGCTATTCCTTCGGCTATCGTCGATAACTCACATGTGGTACCAGGCAGCGAACTGGACAAGTCAGCATGTATTCTACGTCTGCATGTCATTCTGCGGTGCGCAGAAAGAACGATGCGCCTCTCGACCATTAGCCGAGACAGAAGCCAGCCATGTGATCCTGCACACACCACGCCGACCTCTTGGCGCTCTCGTTTGCACTCACGAAGGGGAGACCGAAGCCGCAGATGGTGTAGGTGATCATCTTGGCGGCCATACCAGCCTTGTTGCGGGTGTTGCCGGGGATGGTGCTGCGATGTCAGTCCTGGGTGATCGAAGGAAGGATGGCCGCATAACGCGAAACCCAGACGCGGAATTTGCCCGTTCGTCTGGTAACGTTGACGGCCTGTTTGGCGGTACGTACTGGTCGACGACGTTCTCGAAGTGAGCGTTGCGGACCTGGAAGGCCTGGCGGCGGGCGGCGACGCGGAGGGGGGCGGCACGGAGGAGCATGGACATGGCGGGCTAGAGTGGTGAGATGGGATGGAGAGAGATCGATGCGATGTGCGATGCGACTGGCTCCATAGGCTCTGACTCTCCCCTCGCCTACTCGCCCGCCCGCCTGCCACTACCCACCACTCACCTTCCCTGCAGCTTCCTGGCTCACATCATCCACCGTCGGAGAATCTCGGTGTTAGAGGGATGGCGCATCTCACGTGGCAATCCTACCCAGCAGGCTCGTTAACATCGTGGGAGAGTGGAGGCCTCCACTGTTGTGATCGACCGAGCGTTTGGGCTTCGGGGCTGACTGTGCTGCTGTCACTTCATGCATACTCACCCCTACACACAACGATGAGTTCAGAACCCCACGCCAGCGGATCGAAGCTCCCCTATTCGGTGGGAAATCGCTACATTCATGCGAAGAACAAGGCTCCGTTAACACTCCGCTACATCGGCACCTTGCCCCCCGGTTCGGATGACTCACAACTTTGGCTCGGTATCGAGTACGACGACGCGCGCCACGGCAAACACAGCGGTACCTTCAAGGATGCACCCGTATTCCAGACTCAGCAACATGGTGCTGGTTCATTCGTCAAGTACACGCATGGCTCGCGCCCGTTGCTGTATGGCGAGACCGTCGTCTCGGCGATCGAGGATCGCTATGGCTCCCTGATCGACCAGCCCGATAAGGAGGAGGAAGGTGCTAAGAACAGAGAGGAGGAAGCTGTGGTTCTTGGCAGCTCGAATGCTGCCATCGTTGTCGAGGCACCGAACATGGACAGCGTTCGGAGGAGGATAAAGAACCTCGAGAGGCTGCGGGAGGTTGGTCTGGAGGGCCAGTCAATCTGCGCCCTCGGCGGCGACAACGAGAGGCGGTCAGTGCTCAAGGAGCGGCTGAAGAGTGAGCTTGTTTTACCTGCATGAAGCTGACACATAGGCGTCACCACGCTTGACCTCTCCCGCAACCTAATCGCTGACTGGGAGGAGGTGGCAGCTATCGTGTCGCACTTCGTTGGCTTGAAGACGCTGGTTCTCAAGTGAGGTGCCCGTGGGGAAGATAAACTAATATAGCAGTCACTCACGGGTAGCCCCGTTATCTGGAGCTTCTGGTGACGCCGAGGACATCCGACGAGCACTCAGCTGCATCTCAGAACTGCATCTGGGCGACTGCGGGTTGGATTGGAAAAGGGTATGCTTTGTCCGGACGACCCAAACTGACAACAGGCTGTCCGGATAGGCGAGCTGTTTCCTCATCTGAGGTCACTCTTCCTCAACAGCAATCAAATTACGTTTCTTCGGGATGACGCGGCCACGGCGTCGCTCGCCAACCTAACGAGTCTGAGTCTGGACGACTGCCCGATCGAGTCTTGGGAGGAGGTTGCTCAACTGGCACGGCTGCCAAGGTAAGATGTTGGGGGGTGATCCGCTAACTGTCCACAGCCTCGAGTCACTAAACATCTCGAGTACACCGATTACATCCATCCCTGCGCCTGGAGAATCGTTCCCGCACCTCACGCGGCTCACAATGTCGGGTACGCAGATCACGCACTGGCCGAGCATCGACAATCTCGCAGGCTGGGCAAAGGTGGAAGTGCTTCGTCTGTCATGCGCAGAGGCAAAGGAGCTCACGCCGGAGGCAGTGCTGAAGCACGACCCGACGAAGCTCTCGGGGGATCCGCGAGTGGACCGACCATTCCTCATCGCGAAGCTTGAGCATCTGACCATGCTGAACGGTGTGCCCGTTTCTAGCACGGAACGCTGGGATGCGGAGCTGTACTACGTCCACTTTATTAATGCCCTACCATCGGCCAACCCTGATCATTGGGGACGATACGACGAGCTGGTCGCGAAGCACGGCAAGGGCCCGAAAGCGGTCTCGAAGGGCCCTCAGACTTTGAAATCGAAGCTGCTCAGTGAGTCACCTGCCAGCTGGTCGGGGTTCGTACCGGTCGATCCGGTGTCGAATAAGTGTGGCCAAGGCTTAAGTAGAGCTCAGCTGACCACAGATCTGAATGTGATTCCGCCGTCGGGACACTCGTTCACATTACGTGCTTTGCCGAGCATGAGCATTGCTATGCTTCGGAAGAAGATCGCTGTGAAACTGAAGCAGAGCGCCGACACGATCGCGCTCTGGACGGCATTCGCGCACAAGGATCTGGACGGTTTCTGGGAGCGTGGAGAGCAGATGGACACATCTCGCGATGTTGGGTGGTATCTGAACGAGCACGACGGAACGGTGCTGGTCAGCATAGAGGAATGAGGTCATCATCAGGCGGATGTCGGCCCGTGCCGCGCACTCGTGACTGTTCACATCGCATCTGATTAGATATACACATGCATATGACGCTTGCTCCTGGCACGGTGAATTGCAAGACATGCACCGTGGGCGGCTCCTTCCTGAGCATGGGAATGTAGAGCTAGCTCGGTTCCTCGGCACGTCCGTTATCGTATTCGATCACGCGCGTGCCTCGATGATTGGCTCAGTATGACGTAGATGCCGAGTGTGGGGCATCCTTCGAATCTCATGTTGGAGTGACCGCGATCCGCATCCGCTCCCTTCCCTCTGCCGTCGTAGGGTGACTCCGCCGCAAGCGACGCGAGTGTCTTTTGTTGGGGTGTGGCAGAACACGCCGATGCGTGCCAGACCCCAAAACCTTAGTTCACTGTCACGCCACGGTCTGTTCGAGGTCTTCCACGGTCTCGCTCGTCTTGCATTGTTGTCTCATCATCCATTGTTGTGCGGATATACCCCTCTTCTCTTCCTCCGCACCGTGGAAACTGGGAGATGCATGTCTCAGCCTGTCAGTTGTGGTACAGCCGGCAAAGTTTGGGACACTGGGTCCAGGCGCGGCGCGGGCTGTGCTGTCGATCATGACACGAGAGAAGATACGAACTAAAAGTTGCGAAGGTGGGAATTCGAACCTCATTGCAGAACAAAGCACTGCGCGATAAACATTCAGACCTCTGTGCCCTTGCGCCGCTGCAATCGACGGCTCAATAAAGTGCGGCGCCCACAGGTGGCGTCCGCCCAGCCCATGCACATGGATGCCTGGGTGTTTAGAAGTGTGACAGTGCTGCAGGATGCACGACGCTCGATCCCCAAACTTTTCGCGCACCGTTACTTCGGATACCGGCACGCTTTACGGACAACTCCTGAATGCTTCGACAGGCTCTGCACAAGCTTACGCCTCGCTTACGTCCCCCGTGCACTAGCTCCAATGTCGATAGATCCATCGATCCATGGATCCTCCTCTCATCCATCGGACGAGGACGGCTGATCCCTCCCCAGCAAGGTTTATATACCGACACCACCCGTTTAGAGTACGGCCAGCCGGCTCTGGCCGCACCACGTACGTCGTCACTGCGTACTGCGCATCGGGCTATGCGACTTTGGGGCGCCGTGCACCGGCGGAGAATCTGAGGGTGCTGTGGTGCTTGGACTTGGGGAATTGGGCGTGCGCTCATCCATTACGATGCTTCGGAGTACTGATTCTGCTCAATCTCGTCCGGTTCGTGATGAGCGAGATGCGGCATTCTGCGCTAGTGCTCCCCAAACAATTCAAAGCTCCCTGCCCTTTGCCTTTGCCCGACGTCGTACGTGCCGTGCAATGTACGTACATGTCGTACGTTTCTGCATTCCGCTGCTGCTACCCTGCGTTCGTCATCAAGATGCACGATGCCAGCGCACATGCATCCAAACCCATGCTTCGGCACACATGGGCATATATACCCCACACCCGTGGGGCCCTACCCAGATCGCCCGTCTACATGAGCAATTCATCCCCCGCACCACGCGCCCCAGCCATCCAGCTAGTGTCACCGTCGCCGCAGCTCTCGACGACCCAGTGGCAAACACACAGCTTCGCCTTTCTCACTCCGTAAACATCACCATCATCGCAACGTAGCAATCATGACCGTAAGTACAGCATCCACTTGGTAGAAGCACGATCAAGGCTGACACGCGGCAGTACGACGTCCACGACTCGGACAAGGGCACTGCCCCTCTCCTCTACCCGCCGTTCGGCCCCAGCTCGGCATCAAGTGCTGCCCCGCGCAGCCGCGCATCGACGCGCCCGTCTACCCGTGCCTCAACTCGCCCCTCTACTCGTGCATCTAGCTTCAGCGAGTTCTCGCTTCGCTCAGCGCGCTATTCGAGCATGTCGCTCGCTTCCAGCGTGCCGAGCAGCGAATCTTGGTCGCCTTCTGCGGAGGAGTGTGGATGCTGCCCCTCTTCCCACGACAACAACACGCAGCTGACCACTGCGCCCTCCTCAACTCGCAAGTGGAGCGGTAAGGCGCGCGAGGGGCTTTTCACCTCACCCGAAGGCGATGCCGTCATGGGCAAGCTTGATGGCCCCCTTATCCGCGTCTATTCTGCTCGTGCGTGCAGCTGGGTGAACGGCGACTTCGAAGAGGTCGGCGAGTGGTTCACCTCTCTCATGCTCTCCCTTGGTATCCCCGTTTACCCTTCCAACGGACGGTTCCATCTCTCTCCCACCGGCCCCAAGTTGGCCTGGCTGCGCGGCTCGATCGACATCTTCCGCCCGACCGACGATGCGCGCTGCAGCCACTGCCGCCAGCACAAAGTCCGCAACTGGCGCGGCACACCGGTCACGTTCCCTTGTGTGGTGGAGGCCGATTGCGCCGACGGCCCCGTCCCGGTCAGCTCCTGTATGGGCTGCAAGGCCGCCGGCCTCCAGTGCGACCTGTACCAGGGCTCTACCCCCGCGGTTGCGCCCGAGATGCAGCGCTTCGAGCTGTGGAACTTCTCGGAGCTGCTCGCGGTCGCAAGAGACGCAACGGCGACACTCGACGCGCTCAGCCGCAGCAACAAACAAGGGGCCTGCCAGCAGGCAGCGATGCAGGACGTTGCGCGCAGCATCGGCTGGCTCACCGAGCAGCTCGAGTGCGCCAAGCGCCTCGATCTCGACGCAGATAGTAAACTCTAATCTGGCCTGCGGGTCGTCGGCCCGTGACCGTGTGTCCATGCAGCAGGCCATGGCGGTCAAGCGATCGCAGACAAGTCATTGTAGAAGTAATTGTGGGCGATAGTAATCCGATCACGAGCATGTAGATTAATGATATGACCTCGAGGGCTCTAAGGCTGGGACTGACCTTGGGCTGAGTGAGACAAGACCGAGGCAGGTCTCGGCGCACGATCGAAGCCTTCCAAGCTTGATTCAAGCCTAACACGCCCTTCTGTACGTCCGGCAGACAACCGATACGAAGGCGACCCGGCGCCGCCGAGCGCCACGGGTGTTCCTGGCCTGCCGGGGCTGAGGGTGGTTGCGGGCTCAGCGCGGGTTCGGAGCGGCACTGGAACGGGGCGGCACGGGGTGGCACAGGTGGCAGTTGTGCCTGTTTCTGGGCCTAGCGCTGGATTCTGTCGACTGTCTATTGTCTTATGTTTCCAGCGTTGCGTGCTGGCGACACGAGGTGCCCTCGGTGTGCACTACTGGCAGCACAATGCGGGGAAAGACTTGCGACCAGTCCGTCTTGAACCTACGGCAGGCGCACGGAGAGAGCGTCACGGCTGCACCGGACGTACCCCGGATGCAGACCGCGGTCCGCAAACCCGTGAGCCCTTCATATGCCAAACGTCCGCCTACTTTCTGCCAGCGGTTTCCAGCTGTCCGCCAGACGCAACAATAGACGGTGCGAGGGCAACTTTGGGTCGAGGCAGCAGACTACTTCTGCGACGCGAAGCGGCGCCAACAGCGCGCGCCCCCGTCCGCCTTCTTTTTCTCCCTACTGTCTTTCCCTTTCGTTCTTCCCTTCTCGCCCTTCGTTCGTTTCCGGACTTTTCCTTCTCACCATCAGATACCGTGGGCGCCCAAACGTACTCCGCAGCGAGTTGAGCAAGATCCACATTCCGCACGAGTCTTCCATCCCAATCGCACGGCTCAAGACACCGAGACCTCGGCCTCCACTTGTGCATACACGGATCCGCATAGCTGGTCCGCAGTTGCACTGAGCATCTACAAGGGAGGGAGGAAGTAAGGGAAGGAAAGGAAAAGTGGGCAGATGTCGACGCCTGCCAAAACGGAACCATCCACGCCCTCGCGGCAGAAGGGTGCGCGGCAGTCGTCCTCCTGCGCCGAGTGCCGACGGTGAGTTAACTTGCACACTCTACAGCTAACATATCCAGGCTCAAGCTGAAGTGCTCGCGACCATTCCCTTGTGCATCCTGCTTGCGCAGAGGGTGTGCCCCGATCTGTCCCGAAGGCACCATGAGCGCGAAAAAGAAGCGGTAGGTTCGATGACAGCCACAAGCCTCGGACAACCCATTCGCTGACTCTCAGGCTGATAGTCTCGGGGACCGAAGAGCTGCACGAGCGCATCCACGAGCTGGAGATGGCGCTCGCCGCAGAATTTCGCAAGACTTCCGCAGGAGAACTGCATCCTCTCCTCCGAGCAGAGCGAACACCCGAGACCGACAGAGGCATCTGGGTCCGCCCAGCTACACTCGTAGCAGGCTGTCTCGTCGGCAGTGGCCTCTCCTTAACTCCCGAGACTGTCCTCCCCTCCCTCCCTCCAGCAGACGTCGCCGCAATGCGCGGGCGCTTACCGCCCTGGCCAGCGGGCCAGGACGCCCTGCGTACCGTCCGCGAGCTGGGGAATCCATTGCTGAGCCCGGAGAAGGAGGGGGAACTCCTCACTCTGTGTGCCGATGGGAGCCAGGGGTCAAGAGGCACCCTGGGACTGCTTTTCGCACATCTGGCGTTGGGGACGCAGTGCAACACTCTGCTCGTGGAGCCGATTGCGGCGCGGGGTTTCGCAGACGCAGCACGCACCCTCGCCGACGCGAGTACGGCCGGGGTACAGGCTGGAGCCATACTGGCCGAATACGCAGCGAACGATGGGCGGTTAGGTGACGCTTGGGCCATTGCTGGAGAGGCATTGGTACGGGCACATGGGGTAAGCTCCTCCCGCCGAAGGTAACTGACACCAGATCGGCCTACACCGCGACGGATCAAAGATCGGCCTCCCAGAACCCGACATCGAGATAAGACGGACGACGTACTGGGAGCTCGTGGGGTGGTCTCGCGTCCTTGGCCTTCTGCTGGGTCGCCCAAACCAAGCGCGAAACGATGCAGGCGATGCGAAACCGCCACAGGGGGAGCGATACCGATTGTTCTCGCTTCTGGAATCGGTTCTGGACTTGGTGCGTCGCCACACCGCCACTCGTGCTGATCATCAGACCACATCAGCGACGCCGGTATCGCTCGACGCTCTCCGGCGTGCCGACGACGCCCTCTCCGCTTTGCGCAACGACCTGCCCCCGATCGCGATCGCGCGCAGCGTCCCGCCAGCCAACACGGTGGGCGCGCTGACACTGCGCCTGCTCGTCTCTTTCGCCCGGCTCATGCTGTGCTCTCCCGCCGAAGCGCTCTTCAGCACAGCGTACGAGGCTGCCAACGAATGTCTTGAGACACAGCGGCGATGGGTCGTGTTCCACCCCCGTCTGCTCGAGAGGACAGGCTGGGTGTGGGCCGTCGCCGACGCCGCGGCCACTTTCCTCGGCAAGGTCGTCACCTCCTCTCCCGATGGGGCTTATGCCACCCCCGCCTTTGCCGCGCTGACGGGATACGTTGAGATTGTAGTCGCTGCTGGCCGGGCGCTGGGACCGCTCGCGGCCGTCGTTGAGGCGTCGAGGGCGGCTGTTGGTGAGCGCTCGTCAAGGCAGACTGTGAGCCCTGTACAACAGCTCACGGCGCTCTCGCGGCCGGGTACAGCCGGCAACGGGCGATACTTCGACCACACTGCCCAGGCATTCCAGCAGCACCAGTCACCCGAGACTGATTTCGGTGGGTATCCAATACCACAACTCCAGAGCCAGGCGCAAGCCCCTGCAACAGCAGGGATGCAAGAGTTCCAGCGCGGGTTCAGCATGCCCCCGCCCCGCGTACCGATTATACCGCAGGTTCCGAGGATCGATACGCAGTTCGCGCACCCCTCGCACCAGACGGCGCCGCCGCATCCCCAGCCCTCCCAGGCGAGAGACGATGCGCAGCCCTGGTCGAGCTACGAACTCCTGCCCCCCGGTCTGGGGCTGGACATTGTCTTCTCACCCCGACGCGGCAGCGTCGGAATGGAGAGGGAGCGCGCTCCGCCCGGGACCGCCATGGGTCGCGCGATGAGCCTGCCCGCCCTGCCGGCGGAGATGGCCCTCATGCCACAGGTCGGACAGCAGAGCCCGCAGCAGATCCTGGGCATGAGTCCGCTCATGCCGAGCCCGAGCCCGATGAGCGAGCAGGAGGCGCCCTTCTTCTTGCGGCCGGGGACGGCGAGCTAGCTGAGTACGTCAGTACTGTTAGGGGGGAGTGAGGGTGTGAGAGTCAGTGCAGGGGAGTATTCATACAATGCCATCGCTCGTATATGGAAACAGATGGGGTCTACGGTAATTTAGATATGCGACTTGGATATAATCGCGTCATGCTCAGCGCCCAGCGCCGGTGATTAGTAGGCGCTGCCGGGGAGGACGTTGTCGCGGTGGATACGGCGGCGGTCGCTGCCGGTGCTTGCGTTGGCGCTGGCGCCATTGGGCGAGACGAGAGAGACGGGCGAGCCTGCGCCGCCGGGGCTCTCGGGCGCGCGGAAGCCGGCGACGTCCTGCGGCGTGCATGTCCCGCGCCACGAGGCGTGCTGCTGCCACCCGACTTGCGGGTCGATGCGCTCTCCCGCCGGCTGATACGTCATTGGCGGCTGCTCAGGATGCCCGGGAGGCGGCACAGGCTGCGTCGTGTATGTCTGCGTGGCGTAGCGACTCGGCGCTCCCGTCGCAGGAGGGTAGCTGGGCTGCGCGCTGTCGAGGGGCGGATAGTCGCGCTGCTGCGGGTGGTAGTGCTGGCGCTGGTCGACGAACTCCCAGTCCGCCGGGCCCTGCGCATACTGCTGCGGCACGCGGTCGTCGTCGTAGTAGTCGTGCACTGCATGTACTGGCTTGCCGTACGCTGTCGTGGTCGGGTATCCCGGCTCGACGTCCATGGGCGTCACCGTCTCCCACTGGTCGATCGGCTCCGTGTTGTACCCGTTCAGGCCCGTCTGGTCGTGCGTCACTGCAGCGGCAGGCGGCGCGACCCATCCCTGCTTCTCGCGCCATTGCGTCAGGCGCCGCTGGTACCGCTTGCTGTACTTGGACGACGGCCACATGTCGCCAGCGAGTGTGAGGAAGTAGAAGAAGAGGATGAACGCAATTGACCACTCTAATCCTGCGGCGGCGGACGAAACGAGGTCGCACTGGTGTGCCGTGCGGTTGCCGCGAGGCGCGTTGTTTCCGTGGCACACGCCGTAGCACGCCGCGAACGCGATCGCTCCAGCGACCGCAGTGACGACGAAGAAACACTTCCAGATCGAGTTGCGTAACAGAGACTTGCGGTAGGGGTGGTCCTTGTGCAGACTCCACACCTGGCCCGTCTGCAGAATGGCGGACAGCGCGACACAACAGATGAACACGCATGCCATCGACCAGTGCACGGTGCTATGCGAGAAGCAGTCAAACTGATGTCAGCTTGAAAGTCTTCAAACTAGCCGAGGCGTTGGATACTCACCACACCAAGCAAGATCAGCGCCGCACCGCCACATGCGGCGAAGATGATCGCAAGCCAGCCGAACCACACCGTCCGCCGCCGCACGTCAGGAGGGAGGCGGTCGTGGGAGCGCAGCCAGCGCTCACACAGCAGCGACGCGACATAGAACCCGACTGTGCACGCACACAGCGGCACGAACACCCACTGAATGTCAGCTCGTTTCCTGATCACTACGGCTCGTTGCAGTCATTGACCTGCAGTACGGAAACCGGCCCACGTTGCCGGGTGGTACAGCTCCAAGTGCCAAGACTTCCTCCCGAGACGCCGATGGCGCCGGCGGCGACTTCGTCTGGGCACAAACAACATGCAGTGCAGCGACCACTTACCTTGTGCTTGCCGGCGACGTTGGAGATGAAGACGGTCGACGGCTCGTCGTCCGTGTACCGCGGCTTCCCGCTTGCGACCCACAAGCCCATCATGGCGAGGAGGGCCGCGAGCCAACAGAACGCACACGCGAGGGGGAGGTACACATAGGGCGCGTACACTGGCAGTCAGCACTCGCACTAACAGATTGTTCTCGTCTCGTATCGAAAAGGCCGGATGCGATCTCGGGTCAAACGCAAGGAGGGACCTAAAGGTTGGGACATGAGATCTTCGGTGGGGCGCGGGGCGTTCCGCACCATAAAGAATGGAATGAGGTAAACATACACGTGTGGTTCATGAAGGTGCGCGTGTTGAGGAGCCATGGGAGGGGCTGGCCCGTCTCGGGATCGCGTTTGCGGAATCCCATTGCTGACTTGGTTGCTGCTGCTGGCGGTGGTGGTGGATGGGATGGAGATGCAACTCAAAGTCTGAAAAACATTGTTGGGCCTGTCCATGGAGTTGTGGTTGTACTATGCACAGCGGCACAGCGGCACAGAGGCACAGCAGCGCAGTCAGAGAGGTCTCGGAGGAGCAAAGACGCGGTCCAGGGCAAGAAAGTCAGTTCCCCTGGTTGTTCCAAGCAGAAAGTCCTGCATGGCATCCGAGGGCGACGTCGCGATTGGAGTAGAGGCTAAGGGATGATGTCACTGATCCACCCGATCCACTTACCCAGCCGGTGGGACTGGTGGGACATGACCGTGGGCGTGCCCGCTGTTGGCCTCATATGGCCTGGGCCGCGCCGCAGACCTCTGAACGCTTCCACATTTCACGTACGCTTCTATACGGGCCCACCAGACATGCGAACGGTGCCTTCTTGTGCCAGCTTGTGCCAGCTGTGTGCCTTTGCTGCAGCTGCTTCTGTTTTTTCTCAGCCTGGCACGCCGTCGTCCCTAATATCACCGGCCAATTTTCCAGACTCTGTGGTTGGCAATAAACAAAGCCGTCAAGCACAACGTACAACCCAGGCGGACCTTTCAAGGTTAATCGAAACGTTAAACTGAATCCAGCGCCCAGCTGCCCATTCATCTGCCACTGTCACTGCCTGTGACAGATGACTGCTGCCTGCGGAATGCAAATGAGCCCACTGACGTCGCGGATTGCCCGTGCCGCTCCACGGTGGTATGCATTCTGCTCCGCATGCGCCGAAGCGAGCGCCTCCCTAACGAGACAAACAACACGCAAACAGAGGCATGCGTGCAATGCGGCATGGCGCGCATCTCGCCAGTGCTGAGCCGTGCTGGGCGACGAAATGAAAAATGGCTGCGCCACCCGATCCACAAGAGGCATATCAGCGTCCATCCCTGGGAGGGCCGGACGTCATGGCGCTTCGCGATTGGTGCATATCGTGCCGACCAGGGCTGCCCAGGGCTACGGTGACTGGGAGCACAGTGACTGGGCGGTCCGCACACCGATACGGGGCACGATACGGGTGCTGGAAGGTATGCATGTTCTCGGGGCTCTCGGGGCGGCCAGCGGGCAGGGGGGAAAAGGTCGGCACGACGCCCCTGGCGCCCGCCCCCGCCGACAACCCGGCCGTGCTCGGCCCTCTCTCCCTCATGCTGTTCGCTGAGCACTGCGGAAGTTTTGCACAGATCTCCACTTCTGTTGGTCGGGCGGAAGCCCGGCGCTATGGGCTCGCCAGGCCGAAGTGCGCACACGCAGACTTGCTCGCGGTGACAGACTGGCCGTCAATTGCGGACGTTCCTTCGAAGGCACGAATCCTCGCGGTACCCGTCGTGCCTGTGCGATGCGGCCACGTGCTGGACCTCTTCCGCAATATTGCTCCCCTGGTACTTCGTTCGCTTGGAACTGTCTCGGTGAGGAGGAAGAAACGGGGTCCGCAGACGCAGAGATGGAAGGAGCTGGCAGCCCACTGCTTGCTTGTTTACGTCCCCATGTCCGCACCCGGCCGCAATCAGAAGCAAGGGCGAGGCGTTCTTAGGCGTTCAGGGGCCGACGCCGCCCGACGCCGCCTGCGCCTTCGTCCAGCCAACTGTGACTCAGGCTCTGCGGTTGCCGGAGTCGCTATGGCCGAAAGCGAGGTGTAGGAGGTCGAAGCGAGCGGAGATGGCTCCGCGCGGAAGTGAGCTAAAGCTGCATGTGAAGTTTGCCCACGCCGCACAGGGGTCCGATATCGCAGGGAAGGATACATGCAGACGAACCTTTCCCCCTTCCGCTGCGTTCGTTGTGTTACCCAGTAGTGGTAGTAGGCAAACAGAGCTTGAGCGTGGCGATGACTCATTTAGCAATCCAGATCGCCGCGGCTGATGGCCGGGAGGCGTCGGTGAATGGCGGGCGTATCGAGCCATAAGTCTGCGGATCTGCAGCCGATGAAAACAGCACTGGCTATTCTGTGCATCGTGCTTTGCTTGTACTGCAACCGAGCAGTGCTTGGCGCATCCGTGAAAAGAATGCAAAGACGAAGCCATCCTCTCACAGCAGGGGTCTCGCAGGCAGAACATTGGACCGTAACGGCATGGTGATGTTCAGGCCAGGACTCGGAATTAAGGAGCCTGGGGCAAGTGGCCAAAGTGCCCCTCTGCATGCGGTGGACGAGGAGGGTGGAGGTTTGGGGAGTGAGACGGTGGGGCGTCTGAGCGACGGGACATCAGACAAATACAAGAGTTGCGCGCATCTGCGTGTTTAATGGCGGGTTTAGGGCTCGAGCTAGGGGACGCCAGGGCTGTCTTTGATAATCACTGAAATGATACAAGATAGTCGATTTGACCGAGGATTATCCCTTACTCTTTCCACGATCCCTCACTCCCTCGGGGCCGCTGTTAGTGTCCTTTTTCTACCCGCCCTGAACCTGCCCGCCTGAATCCTTCCAGCAGCTTTCGTTTCCCCGTCCTTGTCCCATGTCTGGCTTCGTTTGCGACCCTCGCTCCCTCGATGCAGATAGTCGTGTCACCCACGAGTGCAACGTCAACATGCTCCACGGCCTCACTGGTTATGCGTATCCACGTCTTTGCGGTTTGGGTCTTGGCAGCGGTCGACACGCCGGAAGGGGCCCGTGCCTGGTTTTGCGCACCCACATGATTGTGCAGTGTGTGAAGTGCCAGCGCTCGGTAGCACAGACTGGGCCGACCAGGCTGACGCGTGATTCCGATTCTGCGGATTCTGGCGCATTGCCTAGCGCCTTGTGTGACCTTCTTCCGTCCGTGCCAGACAGCTGCGTAGTGTCGTGGAACTCGCAGCCGGTGGCGGGGCGTCACGGTGATCACTGACATGCACGGGGCGAGTGGGCAGCAGGCGGCAGGATTGGGTTGATGAGACGGAGCTACGTGATGGTTGGAATCAGGTTATGGTGGCAGAAGTGTCGGTACTCGGTAGATTAGAATTCTGGCTCAGCTGTATCTGGCATCTGGCACCTACGGCATAGGGCATTGGACACCTCGCATCAGCACGAGCGCCGCACGTACCTGCGACTTGACGCAAGTGGAGGGGGATCGAGAGGAACAAGCCAGCCAGGGCGCTCCAGGGCAGTCAGGGACTCCAGGGTTGGCAGGGGCCGGAGGGCCGGAGGGAATGGGCGCTTGAACGAGGCCGGCGAGGGCCGGTGACCACTGCTCAGGCATACTAGCAGAGGCTAAAACCACTCTCACCAGACATCCCAGGGCTCATTCAGGAACACTCAGGGGATCAGGGTTTCTGCAGATGAACCGGCGTCAGGCCTGCTCAGGCCTCGTCAGGCCAGACAGCATCAGGCCCAGTCAGGCCCCGTCAGGCCTCATCATCTCAGGTCGTAATCTCAGGATGCAAGATGGCCAGGAGGAACTGAGCACAGGGAGGACCCCAACGCTGCCAGTATCGGTTCGGTAGCCTTCGACCCCTCCTGAGGGCCGCAACCTCTTCGCATGGCTACTCGCAAAGAACAGTGGAAAGTATGCTGACGGCGGTGGCTGCTCGAGCTCGTCTGCGAATTCGGATCGCGGTCCGCGGCTCACCTTCCGATGTAGCGGTCACTGGGGCTGTGACCTATTGGGTTCGGTGCCTTGTAATCACCCTCTGCACGCTCGTCTGCCCCGGCCTTGGGCCGTCCACGGTGCGCGCGCAGACATCGTCACTTACTGGTACTCGCCCTCGCCCCCTGGTCCGCCGAATCGACGAAGTGTCGAACCGCCGGGCCTTGTGGTCCTGACGAGCCCGGCTTCGGCTGCAGAGGCAGACTCTGATCTGAGACTTGAGCTCCATAGACATAGTCGTATAGTCGGTTTAGTCGCCTTTTGACTTCAGACGATAATCGCCCCTCCTGAGGGTCCTCTCCGTTCCCTCCACCGCCCCTGTCCTTCCTGGCTCCTGGCTCCTGGCGCCTGTCCCTTCCGTCCCTCGTCCCCTCAATCGCTCTACACACTACATGCCATCCACCCATTTACTCCGACAACTCACCTCACACATCTCTCTCACCCATCACCTCCCTCTCACTACCACCACCGAACTCCCAACCCCGCACCCACTCCACAACATCCCCGTTATCGTAACCTGCATCACCACTAGACTCTACAAGCACTTCAACTTCGTCAACTTCTTACACACGTCGGCCTCGTCCCTTCGCCTTCGTGTTCCTAGCAGTTCACGACTCCCTCTTCTTTTCTTCTCCCTCTGACCGATCACCCCCTCTCTATCCCGAGATCCATCAATCAGACCTTCTCCCATTTCATCCACACCCAGTCGGCCTCAACAGTTAACTCGGTAAGTACTATTCCCCACCTCTCTTGTCCCCACTGGTATCTGTTCGCGTCTCGTGTTCTTGGTCATCTTTTCATTGTCTTGTGTCAACACTCGGTCTCTCGTCAGTACATTCTATTTCCACCACCCCTTTCCATTGAATGGTCCAGGCCCCTTGAATCGTTTCCATCAGTCATCCCCAGCCAGTGTCTCAACCGCACTGCATGCATCGCAGAGGTGTCGGATGTCTTTCTCGCTCATGCATTGCATTGCGGAGAGTCTGGAGAAAACTGCTGGATTGGGCGGCGAGAGGGACCTGGTGGGGGGAGGGAGGGGGACGACACGGCAGTGACTGTCACCGGGATTGGGTGGATCTTCCATGGCTATGGTCTCCGCTAGTCCTCACCTTGACTCTTCCTCCGTGACTTCACTTCTGTGCTCTGTTCGCTCCGAGTTTCTGCGCGTTCCTTGCCCCTCCATTCTGGATGACTGGTTGAGCCATGCGGCATCGTACTGCTACCGTGTCCTCTCGCCTCTCCCTTCGAATTTCCGTGAGGGACACGGCGTCTGGACACACGACCCACATGCGTCTGCCGTCTGTTGGACGGAGTGTGGTGCATTACATGCTCCTTCTGTGTTCATGATCATACGTACACGTAACGGGGAACCGGGTATGTGTTACACCTTCCATATCATTCAGTCTGAGTGTCTCTCGGCCGCTGGCACGGATCGGCCTCCACCATCGGTTCCAACTAGCCCCAACACGTTTCAAGCCTCATTGCCTCATTGTCTCAGAGGTGGGCTGCGTGAGAGGGGCACAAGTTGGGCGGAAGACGGTGACGAGTCTGCATCTGCGCTCGCATGCGCGCTGGTCAAGGATGACAAGAGACACGAGACGTGTTTGATGTGTGCATGGGAGCAGGATCGGCCGCTGGCGATATGGATTTGGGTTCTTGGGTCGTTTGGACAGTCGGGGCGGCGAGGGCGGGAGACGCAAAGACCTTTTCGTGTGGGTCCAATGGCGCGCGCCCCCTCATACCCAGCCGGCCCTGGATCCAAAGCCAAGTAAATGTGCACGTAGCCCCCAATCTCTATAACGAGAAAAATTTGTGTTGTTGCTACTGCTTTCTCGCACGGCACAATGCATGGGCGGCGTGCATGCAAGGCAGAAGGACGATCGCAGACGAGACTGTCGTCTGCGTTGTGTGCCCGCCTGAACTTGGTGTGCATGGGGTGTGTGTGTGCGTGCCGAGGGAGGAGCGGCAGGGCGTGTGGCCTGGCGCCAGATGGGAGGATGACATGAGGGGACGAGTAGTGGTATCCTGCGGCATCCCTGGCCCTGGCCTAGCTGGGCTGGCTGCGTCGTGCGCTTGGTGGGTGCTCGCGGTGGCATAGTGCTCATTTTGGGTGATCAGGCTTGCGGGTGGCCGCGGCGGAGGGTGTGCATCGGCAGGGCCAGGAGTGCCATGAGCCGCTGGTCGTCTTCTCCTGCCAGGCTAAACTGGACCTGAATCGTCATCACGAGCTCTAAATTGGATCCGCCTGGGCTTCTGTTTGGGTGGCAATGGGGTCTCCACAGCGCACAGCCGTTACGTAACCTTTCCGAAACTGTATCCCGGCCGTTTGGTCCCTCGCCGCCCCTGATCTCCTGTCAAAGTCCTGGCGAGTCCTGGGCGAATCCTGGCTCCTCCCTGCGAAGTCAGACTCGCCAGCCCAGGACCAGGACCCCGTAGCGCCAGGCCGCCTCCATTGCCTGGATTGCCTGGATTGTAATACTCAGTCGCGCTGCTCTCCCCCCTTCCCCTCTTCCTCTGTCCGCCTGCAGCCCAGCCCGCCCAGTCATCCCTTCCGAGCACCAGACCAGCACCAGACCGCACACCACCACCAGATACCTCACACCCCTTGCATTTCAATCATCTCGTTGTTATTCCACAGTATGCTTACTTGCCCCAGAAATCGACACCATTGATACATCGAGTTCTCTGTCGACGTCCCAGCACCGCCCTCCCCC